GAGGTTGAAGCACAAATAAGGGAGCAGATGCCAAGGGCTCCAAAGCGTGCTAGTCGGTGTAGCAAGTGTGGTTCCTTTGCTCACACCTTCAAACACTGTACAGTAGATTGAATAGTATTGTTATATAACACATTTAAGTCTCAAAGCAATCTATTAAGTATTGGTTGAGATAATCAGTGTTAAAGGTGGTAGACACGTAATTCGTGGACCACGCCGTGGGGTGGACCGCGCTCTGGTGTTTGACGTTAAGTCCTGACGACTTAGGATTAGCTAATCAGGGTTATCACATACGCTCATACAGCCGCCGTAGCAAGTGCACGTGTATGCAGCCTTAGCATTATGTTTCTGTCTTCAAAGGCACACGATGCGATGATCCGTTGCTACCTACTGTCGTGTGCGTGCAGGTATTGAGCCCGAGACGATCGTCTATCTAACGCAGTTCAGCAAGACTAATTATCTCGAAGCCGTACCATACCTCACAGCCGTTTTTCAAGAATCTTTGAGGGTATGTTTTCCTATACTGTATTCGTAGCATATGGCAACTTGGACATCACTAACAAATGTAGGGTGCCCACGGAGTCGCAGGCCGCCTCGTACGAATTGCACCAGACGAGGATATTGACTACCACGGTCAAAAGATTCCTAGCGGAATGACCTTTTCAGTGACGCAATACATCCACAACGTGAATCCCGGGATCTTTCCCGAGCCGCACAAATTCATCCCTGATCGCTACCTTGGGCCCAATGAAGCTGAAACGCTTCGGTATCTCGCACCGTATGGAAGAGGCCCGGGAATGTGTTTCGGACTCAACCTGGCTTGGCCGGAGATGTACTTGACAATCACTGCGGTGATTGGAAGCCTGGACTTGCAGCTCTATGACACCTGCAGCTCTATGACACCACTGACCGGGACGTGACGTGAGTACGTGTATCATACGTTGGGAATCTTCAGCTGATAATAATGCATAGAATCATGCGGGAGCATTTGATCGGTCTCTTCCCGGCGGATAGTAAGGGCATTTGGGTCAAGATTAAGAGATTCCCGGATCGTTGAAAAGTTGGATCTCAGCCTATCTGGTCTCTCTTCATAGCTGTTGCAGTTTTCAGCGACGCTGGCGCTATAGTATTTGTCCCATATGCTGCTATCCTCAATCGACAACATCAATTCGATCTGAGGAGTTAAAAGCATACGGCAGAAAGGCAGCATAAAGAGGCCGGAAAAGGCGACAAAAGGTTAATGGAGATCTTATTGGAGTCCACATTCGAAAATTCCCTCGCATAGTCTCTACGTTGTGGGTCGACTGACTGCATACATCTTTTATTAGAGTGGCACTCGTGATATCCCGAATTGTCACTCTCTTCAGATGATACTCACCTGAGCATGAATGACACTGCTCCAAGACACTTGCTCTTACCGTATGCCAGCGGTGCTGAATGTGCAAAGAAGAATCGCATATGCGTTGCTTAGTTTCTGACACGCCCTGGCAAGAAAACGCTCCTCCTGCCTCTTTCTTTGTTTACCGTTCATAGTGCTCTGTCCTCGCAACATAGCCCGAAGGTTCGCTCGGCTCAGGTTTCTCCAGGTTCGCCGACGTCCTCCTCTTGTTTGCATACGAGATGCAACCTCATACACCCTGTTGCTTTTCTATTGTCATCCTTGAGCCGTGAGCTCAACTGCTATCAGTGTCAATACTAAAAATCTGTTTGAGGTGTACTGACCTTCCGGACGCAAGAAAACTAAATGGTATTTGTACTTTCAAATCTTCCGGTCAGGGACTACCTCGTCATCGAGAATGTCAAAAGCGTAAGCCTGATGACTTAGGAACGTGTATCAAGAGGCACTGCGGGAGAACCTTGTGGCAGGGAAGACGGCCGGCTGAAATCGGCAACGCATGACATGAATTTGTGATTTTTCGCGATGTTTATGAATTCAAATGTCAAGATTATGGCCTCTTTGAACAAGACCTCTGATTGGATTGAATCAGAAGCATTGCGTTAGAAGCAGCCACGAGTAACGATCTGAAACAAGCACAGAAAGAGGGTTCGCTAACAGAGCGCAAGACTACACCAATCTTCAATGCGATGATAGAATGCACGAGAGCACCTTAGAACGTCGGCGCATCCTGCGCAATCGGCTTCAGATCACCCGGGCCCTTGAAAATCTCCACTAGGCTCGCCTGCTCTGATAACACCAAACGATCGGTCTGCTTCCCGATCTCGGCCAGCTTCCTCCAGCGGGCCAGATCCTCCGGGTTGCGCTTGTCGCCGTGCGCTTGCTCGGGATTCTCCCAGTGGCCGCGCGAGAAGCCGAGCATTGTGGAGATCTTCTTCAGCGGGATGTCGTAGACCAGGGAGACGATGGTACCGGTCTCCTCCAACCAGTTGACCTGCCAAAGCTCGCCCGGGCGGATGCACTGGTAGGTCGCAGTCTGGTAGTTGATGCGGCCAGCCATCGGTCCGCCGTGGATTGCGTAGACGATGCGGCTGTCAGAGAAGAACCACATCTCGTATCGCCATTTCTCTGGATTGCCGTCTTTGTCTTCAGCGTCGTAGTCGTAGATCAGGTGCGTATCGCGGATATCGTCGTCGAAGGATGGATGTAGTGGTGTGTTGGTCTTGTAGGCGGGATATGTGGTTGTCATGCTTGGGACTGGCTTAGGTTGATCTTGAGAAGAGGTCTTTCGTTGACGCAGACGATTGGATTGAGGTCAATACCGACCACGATTGGAAGACTTCTGCTTGCTGATTTGAGGTGGAAAAAGATGAGGACGATCTGGATATTCGATGAATGTAAATGAACTTGTCAATTAAATTCTCACGATCAGCGACAACAACATCCGGTATATATATGTATTGCGGAATGCGGATCGCGGCGGCCAGTTGTGTCATGAATGGCCATATGATCTCATTCCGCCCATTTAGGCATGTAGCGCCGCTCTCTAAAATTTACTAAAAGCGGTATACGAGCACCTTCACGCGGTTATGTTCAGGTCAACTGCCGTTCCAATTGCCGTCCCCGGGCGTCGAGCTAATAGGCCCCAGACAAAAGATCTGGGAGACTAAAGGTACCTAGGTAGTAAGAGAAAATTTCCGCACATAAAGAAGTACAAATAGCCTCAGAATGACTATTTAGTTGTCGCGAGAAAGCCACAATGTTTGTAAAAGCCGTGTAGGGAGGGAATGTCCACCTGCAGTGTATTCGCTTTCGTTCTCACAACACCAATATGCGTCAAGCGGAGGTTTTCAAGCAGCCAGCTGAGCTCTTCTCCTTTGAGTCTAGTGCGGCCACTGTGTGCATCCCGACATTACCTGTTGTATAACAACGACGCAGTTGAGCATCCGTAGTGCATCCACGACCAATGTCAACCATGGATACTCTCCACTCCACTTCCGTTCGGATCAAAACACCCATCATATAGGAAGGCATCTGTCATATATGAATACATGCGGGCACAATTGTGGGTGCTTGCGCGGTCCAGACCGTAAGAATGCAGCACCAAAAGCGAAAGTTACCATCATGTAGCTCATTTCGGCCAACTACTGCGTCGATATCGCATACGGCATAGCAGCGGGATGGCCAAGCACTTTTCTTGGGTGCTTATTTCCATCGGCCAAAGCATCACACGCGCGAAGCGGATAAGTTGTTAAGGGTCGTGCGAAAGAAAACCTTGAACACAGTTCCTAATTCTTTTCGTCAAGTGTGCTTGTTTCCGGAAATTGCAAGACTTCTGTGACACTAGGCGCCTAGTCCGGAGTGAATACTCGCAGATAAGTACAGTGTTTTTCGCAGCGAGCAATCGTGGCCTCGCCTTATCGGCCAAGTTCGCCTGTCACTATGCGGAGCATGCTGTGACTTCAAGTATTATGGTACCCCACTATCAATCAGACGTGGGGAAGAGCTCACTTGAATGCCCACAAAGCTCCCCAACTAACACGTACGGGGCTCTGACATGCACGGGGCTCCTGGATCATCAGCTCTGTCGTATCTGTAGCCGACCATACGCCATTTGATAACACATACTTATGTCCACCTACACATCTTCTGCGCCCAATGAGTGTTCTTTCATGGTGAGTTCACTACACTACCGCACGGTCAAACGCTTCTTATTATTGTTTCCAGTCATTCCTGCCCCTACGTCCAAGGCAGCGATGTCACTTTGACCTTGACCAACACTCAGGTGGTCGGGGCCAAGATCCTAGATGTCAAAGCAAGGACGCTATCATGCGTAATGACCGTACTGCTCACTTCGAGTTCGGAAGTCTACATTCTCAAGCTCTATGACCGGCGCTTCTCGGAACAACTACGAAGAGACGAAAACGCGGCAGTATGGGACTCGCAGCTGGACCGTCGGTACCGTGATTTTGTACGTGCTGGTCATTCGTCAAGACTGTTCGAACTTTGGTCTGCCGCATTCCGTGAAGACCAATACTACGAAGACGAGCAGCGGGACCGTTGGGATGAGGCGATCTTTGAAACATATCTTCAATTTCTTTGCCAACAAGCATATGAAATGGAGACGCATGCGTACAACCTTCTGCATGACTTACAGGGAATTTGCATACCGATGCTGTACGAAAGTGTGACCCTGCCCGAGGAAAGTCAGGACACGGACAACCATAGATCGAACACTTATCTACGGTGTCCTGGACTTATTTTGCAATATATAAAAGGTTTTCCACTCACAGATCTTGCGACGGAATTGCAATGCGAGCGCTGGCAAGAAACATGCGAGAAGGCCATCAAAATTATCCATCAAGTCGGGGACCACGGTGTTTGCAACAAAGACGTGAAAACGAGAAGCTTCATCGTCCAAATTCATCCTGGTCGAGATCTTAATGAGATTTTCATGATTGACTTCGGATTTTGCGTATTTAGAGACAGTGCGAAGAGCGATTGTGAGTTTCGAGAATGGCAGGCAGATCAAGATGAGGAAGGTGCAATCGGATGTGTAATGGAACGTTTATTGAATGGCGGATACAAGTACCAGCGCTCAGATAGGGGGTCACAACTACTACGCGAGTTCAAGAGTGAACATTAACAATGAATCGTTCCTAAATCACGCCGCGCCGCTTCCAGCCACGTGCCGGTGTGTAACCTCGTCATGGCCATGCGTTAATCGCCCTACCCTCGCTCCCTTGGAAGCCAGTTCCACCTACCAGGATATAAAGTGCGGGCTGATGATGAGCCTCGTTGAAGATATGCTCTGCGCATAATATTCTATCACATATGTAATCGAACAACGCTTGCATCCTGGCGTGCAACACATGGGCAAGGCTTGCCATGGTCAGTGGTACCCCTGCTAGATAAGCGGTCCCATTTTGAAGCTCGCTACATTGAGGGGCGTGGACAAGGCGCTTTGACGCCCAATTAAACGCACTTCACATAATTCGCAGGATTTTCTGTTTTTTTGAGGCTAGAGAGCACATTTGCGAGGACTTCTCCATGCGCGTGAAAGCAATAAACCCGCAAGGGAGCTACCCAGGTATCCATTCATCAAAGTAGTATCGAATCCTCCTCAGCCATTCACCAATATATATAAGAATCAATCTTAGGAATCGTCAGTTGAATGCAAGCTCATCCAAAGGCGTCCTGCTGCCCCGGAGAGGCTCGGTGCTTGGCCAAGAAATGCTTCGCGGATGACTCATACGAGCGGAACGTGATTGCACAGGGGCAGGATAGAGCTAGCCTTCCAGGGTGTCTAGTGTAAGGGGTTGTCGAGGCGCGCACTTTCGGACGTGGCGCCACTTTGGCCACGGCTTGTACTGAATCGGGCAATTTGGAACGCTGCTTTCGAGTCTGCCTTTGTGGAATAACAGGAGCATTTATCGCACGGTTGAGCTTCCTTTGCACCATGTGGGCGGCAATGTAAGCACTGAGTGCTTCGTGGCTCCCAACCAAATCATCACATTTATACTCTGGGCATTCCAAAGTCATACGGACGTAGTCGGACGCCGATGGTGTGCGACTAATTGACCACTACACAGTCACTCATCTCCGAGCGCTATGCGAACGGTCAAGTTGCGCGACCAGAATGGTTCTCGTTCGAGACCGATAGAGATGGATATGGGAAGAGGAGATCGACTATTTTTACCGGGATTCCAGGAGCGCGAAATTTTGGCGGGCACGTTGGATAGATTGGCCCACGCGAGCGGAGGGAGCTAAAAAGAAAGGCTGGTAGGCCGTTTTGCCCGACTAGCCCTGATTCAGAGGAACACATAAGCACTACTGTAAATCAAACCCTGATACTCGATCTTGACCGAAATTTAGGGATGCCTGCAGAGTCCCGCCGCGGCGGAAATGGTTGACACCAAGCGCCTTTTCACACTCATTCTCCCGTTGAGCCGACTACTTCCTTGCGCCATCTACCTCATATCTTGTCAATTCGGCCTGACTGGATATTCCTGCAGTCACCACAGTGGGCGCCATCGTTGCAGTCGCCGGAACGCAATCATTGTCCCGCACGCCGAACCAAGTCCGCAATTACGCCTACAAAAGACACGCTCTGCCGATCGGATCCCCTCGACGAAATGTTACTCTCTCGATCCAGTTTGCTAGTGCTCTCCGCCGGGAACGCACTCGTTGCCGGCGCCGGCGCCGTCACCACCACCGCTACCACCACCGTAGGCACTTCATGCTTCTTCCGAAATGGTAGCATCGCGATCGGGCATCGACCTTGCCCGGGCCAGAGCAACATCTGTTGCAACACCACCGACACATGCACGACCAATGGTCTTTGCAAATCGCACGAAAATCACTGGCCGGATACTCGATTGACGCCCTGGGTCAACGACCCTGTGACGGGCGCGCCCTCCTATGCCAATTTCACCTTCCTCTATCAGACATCGACTTGCACAAATGCCGACTACTCCGGCTGCTCAACGCAATGTACCAACCGTAGGTCGGAGAAATATCCTTGCAGTCACCATCATCCATCATCCATCATCCATCATCCATTCTCCTTTGCGTTCCTATCGTAGCTCATGCCGCTGCTACTAATCGCCTCTCCTACGTCAAATCTTCAACCCTCTCACACACTGACCGCTCCTTTTCGGCCCATCAGCATCGACCTGGAATCAAACCTATGTCTGGGGCTGCAATGACGAAGTGACGTTATTCTGCTGCAGGGTCATGCCGTCGCTCTTGAGTCAACATCGGAGCTGCTGCGGCAACACGGTCGTGGAGTTCCAGCTCCCACAACCAAGCGTTGTCTCATGGAGTAGTACGGCCGCGTCTACCGCCTCATCGTCATCTACATCATCATCATCATCAACGACCGTGACATCTCCGTCTACTTCTCCTTCCTCTACCTTACCCGCAAGCTCCGCAGCTGATGGTAGCAAACCTCAGAGCACGACAATTGGCATTGGTGTTGGCGTCGCTGTAGGTTTTGTCTTCTTTCTTTTTCGATTTACTCCGCGTCTAAATACCGCAATACTCTGAATGGTATGCTTGCCAGAGATAGAGGGGGGAGGGAATGTAGAGAAACGGAGAGACAGAGAGAGTGAGGTCGCGCGCGCATGTATGCACGAGAAAGTGCGATGGAAGATGAGCCCGCCAACTAACACCTCAACTGTACACAACAGGTCGGAGTCTTCTGCTGCCTCGTCCTCCTCGCCGTGCTGTTCTGGCGCGTCGAAGCCCTCCGGAACCTCGTCCGACGCGGCGACAATTCCTCTCCTTTATCACAACAACAACAACAACAGCAACGGCAAGGACAACGCGGATACGAGCCCGTCCCGGTTTCCCACTTTTACAGCACGGAGAAATCCCTCGCGACTGCATACGCCTCTCCTGCTGGTTCGCTTTCTTCGGGTACACCGCCGCCGCCGCTGTTCCCGCCTTCCCGGCATTCGCCGCTTGCCGAAGCGGACGCTTCACATGAACTTTTCGAAATGCCGGGGAGGCGGGACCGGGGAGAGATGCCCTAAGGGTAGTGGGTAGAGGGACACGAGGGGTGGATGCCCGTGAAGGGTTGAAGGGAGCGTGGGTGTCGCGGTGGTGATTAGGCATGCACTCACTTTTTCCGTTGATGCGAGTGTTTATGTCCTTGCGCCATCTACATACCTCATCGCTCGACATCTTGCCGGTCTGGGAATTCCTGGAGGTGTCGCTCGTTACACCGCTGCTGCACCATCGTCGTCGTCGTCGCGTGAGCGGGATTCTCGTTCAGCGCGCCCAACTAGCCAAGCACATGCGAACAACCTCACGCCAGACCAGCTTCGCCGACGGAATAACCTCGTCGAGATGTTGCTTATCTCACGGTCAAGTTTACTGGTGCTCTCCGCCGGGCATGCGCTCATCGCCGCCGTCGCCGCCGCTAACCCGGTGGGTACGAGTATCGCAAGACGTTGCCGAACTACTTCGACAGGACGATGATGATGATTTCCTGTAAAGAAATGAAAAGCAACAATCACACAGCATGCCGGTCAATGAGCGAGCGTTGCTCCCGTTCTCCGGTTGCACGGCGCTGAATCACAGCGTTCCGCGCGCCTCATCTCCAAACAACTCGGCCTTCAATCCTTTCTCGTTTAGCACGTTAGATCCGGCTCTGCAAGCAGCTAGTTCCGAGATATCACCATTTTACGCCACAAATCCAAACGTTTCCGGTTTCGCAGCGTCCGAGAAATTTATGCTCGAGCTCTCGGAAGTACCAATGTTTACCCATACCGAGCTCATGTGGATTGAAGCACCAAATGAAATGGCCACTATGTCCACCGATGATGTTGAGCACTGTCCAGAGCTTCTCACCTGTCTGGATTCGGACTCGTCCTCTCCGCAGCAGCTCCTCGACGTCTGTTTCTCTGAGACCGCGGATTCATCATCCTCATCCTCAACAATATCTTCCTACCTCTTCGAACAGCAGCAACAGCCAACGATCCTCGACGCAGAGGACCGCAACGACGACGAAATACCTTTCCCGGAAGCTGAGACCGAGACAGACCTCGAAGTCCCCGAAGATCTCCACCAAATGGGCCGCCGCGCCAGCGGTGATGGCGTCGACGGCGACGGCTGGATTTGCCGCTGGGGGTCCTGCAAGCAGAAGAGAGTCTTTCACCGCGCCTGTGATCTCCGGAAGCATTTCGCCACGCACCAAAAGACGCATGCATGCGCGCAAGCCGACTGTGCCATGGTCTTTGCTTCGGCCAAGGATCTCCGACGGCATAGCGCATCGCATATGCCGCAGATAGCCTGCGCCGCGGCGGGATGCCCTCGTATGTGTTCGAGAGCGGATAATATGGCACGTTCGCGCGTCAATATCTTTGTCCTCATAGCGTCTACTCCGCCGATGACAAGGAAGCTTTCTGGCTTTCTTACTGATTGTCAATTTTGCGGAATGATCATTACAGACGAGTTCATCGACATAATAGGGTGCAGTGCACCGGCGTTGCATTCCGAAAACCAAGGTGAAAAACAAAGACCGCGGCGTTGTGATTTTGCTTTCCGGCAAGAGTGGGCTCCTTTGAAGACCACTTTCTATCAAGCGAAGAAAAACAGTGCGTCGTTGTCCATGGGATGGCTTTTTGATATCGCATTGGCTCCATTCTCGGTCTTGGATTTCTTCCCTTGCATTCACAAAAGCGAAGGATATGCATTGAGTACACGAGCCAGGCGTGAGAAACAAAAGTTACCGGGATCTTTTCATGTTTCGCTTTTTTTTATCGAATTCACCGTTCATTCAACAAATTGATCACTTCACTCGTTCCTGAGGAGAGCAACGCCAGGTGCACCAATACCTACATACCTACGCACGCAACGACATGACCTCTTACAGCTCCGGTGCAGTGGTCCCGCAAAGATGATAGGCCCTTTTGCGCGTTCGCCAGAAACGGGAGTCTTTCGATTAGACACCTCACAGGGACTTTACATCACGAACAACCCTCGCATTAGGAGAACACCTCATTTAGTGAAGAAACATCACATCCTCACTGCGTCAAGAAATATCACATCTATGGTCTGCAAAGATGACTCACCCCAGAGAGATATCCCACCTCACATTCACGAGACATTTGATTTATCCAGCTCACCCAACTTAAGACAGCTAGCGACGCCTCCGAGCCGAGGTCATCGATTCCCTCATCCAACCACTTCGCCGTCTTGAATCCGAAACTCGACAACGTCGTCAGAGAAGAGCCTTGCGGGCGGGACTTGCTTGTTCCAAAGTCGTTTGGGAACCCGAAGTCGCTGGGGAACCCGATCGTCGCTGTCGGCGGCGAGTTCATCCTGTGAGGCCCAGCACCACCACATGCCGCGTTCAATAAGATGGATTTCGTACCGTCCATCGGGCAGCCTTCCTTGTATCGGCCAACCGATGATGGATTTGGAGATATCCACCAGCCTGACCACAGGACGTCCGGGCTCGATCGTCACCATGTCGTCCAAGAGAGGTGCGGCCGCTCCGCTATAGCCAGGGGGCCCCTGCGCTGTAAATGGTCGTGGACTTCGCACGATGTTTCCTGTTGCTTGATCAACGATGCGCAAACACGTCTCGGGAAGCGACTTGTCCGGATGGATGATCCGCCACATGTATTCAAACTGCGGTTCGCCCCAGAGGTCCGTGGAGTGGATATACCACTGTTTCCCACCTGTCTGGACGCTGACGGGCTCGCTGCCCGATTGCGTTATGGTCACCTTGAGGTAGACCGCCCGCTCCCCATTTGCAGTAATCTTTGCTTCGCTTGCAGGGGGAGGAGCGAGCTCTAACTTTGTAGCAAGCTCAGGGGGCCAGAGCAGAGATGGCACGACCTGGAATCTGACATGCGCTTTCGTTGCACCTGCACCCACGAGTGTAAGAGGCTCGGAGTCACACAGAGGTCCAGTAGAATTGCCAACAACATCCTTGGGATCGCCATAGGCGCACCACCGTACGCCCAAGTCGCTGAGCATGGGTGTTGGTCCAACCCTTGGAAATCGAATCTCGTATTTCGTTCCAGGTCTTAGCATCGAACCCAGCGCACTATCCTTCTCGATGAGGTACTCGAACCGGGTGACTATATCTGTCCTGAGCCCTTGAGGTCGATCAACCGGGGTTGGAAGGGTCATGAAGGGCTTCATTTTGTCGTTATCGAGGTTGGGAAGCTCGCGGAGGGCCTGTGGTATGTGTGTTTCTCGCGGAGCATCAATGAAACCACCATCTATGTTGAACAACCAGAGAAGTCCATGTGCGATGGCGTAGGGGACGTCGAGGGCCGACTTTCGCGTGTCGATAGTCAAGGGCCGCGGGTCAAGATCGTCTTCCGAGTGGCGCGTCAGTCCAAAGAGGACTATAAACGGCAATTCTCCAGTGCGATCGAATACGTCGTGTCGCTGCGCTATTGTGGTACGAATCCGGAGTCCACTCATGCTGAATCTGAACGGAGGATGTGAGCGAGAGGGAAGGCTGTCGTGCCCTGAAATGAATAGTACGTGAAGTCGTCCAGAGGTATGGGCGAGTATTCGAGACTATGATCGGATGCATCTTTTCTGGGAGGGCGGATGTTTGCTCCAGTGCATGTACATAAAGAAATGCGACACAGCGGAATGACTTATATCAGGTCGAATTGGGGACACTCCTCCGCGCGTTGGTGAGCCCAATCCAAGTTGTGCCAGGCGGGTTCGCGACTGACGTCATTGCGGCACAGTGTTCAAGGGCTCGCAACATCAGCAGCCTGGTCGAGGAGTATTGACTGTATCCCACGATGCGAGCGCACTGGGTCTGGTTGAAGCTGGCGCAGCGCTTGATCACTGTAGAGGGGACGCCTAACATGGGGCGAGAAGAGCCTAACATGGGGCGAGAAGTGTCCGAGGGAGTGCAGTGCATATGCAAACAACAACCCAAATGTCCACCATATCGTCATGCGAGGGGCCACGGGCAGAACGACGAGCGATCCCAACGAATCCCGATCCAAACCCAACGGAGAGCTCGTCAAATGCTGGCGTCAAGGTCAGATCGAGTCATCATTCAGCACTGCCCGGCCGGAGGCACCTCGTTGGTGAGGGCGACTGAATGCTTCCATTGGCTCCTCCAACAATATACTGGCAGACTTATCAAAAGCTCTCTGTCTCTCTTCCTCAAATGAGAGGCATGAGTTTAAGCCGCTCGATTGAGCTATCCCGTCATGTCACCGGCGGGGGCCTGACCCAACTCACTGCATGAATCTCCGCGTAGGTTTCGTGTAGGAGCTCGATCACGAGCATTTCGATTGTGCTGTGAGAATGGCATTTGCGGGTTGTAACGGAAAAGGTATAAGAGACTGCAAAAGACTCCGTGAGTCCGATCCGCGCACATTCCCATTCACTCCACGTCCTCCTCTATCTAATATCCTCGATCATGTTCGCTTTACCAATCCTCCTCGTCGCTGTGTCTGTCACTGCCTACGCAGTGCTTACACCCACTCATAATCTTTCGGCTCTCGTCGATCGCGCAGACCCCCCTGCCCCATCGTCGTACCCCCTCGCTGCAACATGCGGGAATGAATAGCAATACCTCAACTTCGATACTTCGAGCGGCACCGACATGAATCACCTTGGGACGTTGCACAACTTAATCTGCTCCGGCGAGCTGCGTGCCTACCTTAGTTGGGGGTACAAGTCAGCCACGGATGAGAACAACATCTTCAAGTGCTTCTTTAAAGCGGATGACGAGAAGGTCCCGTAGGAAGCACGGGCGAAGCCTGTGCCTCGTCTAGGGCTTGCCCTTTACAGCCGTTAGCTCCTAGAGCTCGTCGAGGCTATCGCCGATCGCCTAGATCTCTTACTACTCTAAAAGCTTTAGGTTATCGAGTACGGTTACGAGTAGCGCTTATACCTTACTATCGCGGCCGAAGAATACCGTCTTAGTACCTCTCTATAGGAGTTTCCTCCGATCGTCGACGTCTTTCGGACACGCTTTCCGGACGATATCGCGTAGCTCGGCGAGGGCGGTCGTATACTACTAGAGGAGCGGCTATACGTAGGTATAATTGTCGTTAGTGGCTCGGCCCTCGTCGTACGCCTCGCGTATACCCTCTAGTAAATCTTCGATAGCGGGGAGCTTATCGAACACATCGCGCAGCTTCGACGGCAGACCCTACGCGTCGCGTACGGCCCGGCCGATATCGAGGATAGTCTTAGTAATACCGATATACGCGTCGATAAGCCCGACTACCGCGATGCCTTCTACGCCCGATATTATTTTCCCGCGAGGAAGTGGTGGAGTGAGGGAATTCATGCAGTACCAACGGGACTCGGTTGGGACCACCAGCACAACATTTCGTTGAATTTTTGTCACAACATGCTGCGCCTTCGCTCCAAAAACTTCGTTAAGACCGTAGAGTTTGTCATTGGTAAGGTCACAGTGTATCGGAAATGAGTGCCAGCTTGGGACTAGGCAACATGTGAACTTTCAAACGTCACAATTGGTGCTATCGTCTAGGTTAAGGGTGCTTGCGGGAGAGACACGGCACAAATTGAGCTAATAAAGTCTCTAACAATCGTCCGTATAGAGTTCTTGATGAACTCACAGATTCCCGGCATCAAGATCCAATCCGGCTGTGCGAACTGGGCGATCGTGAGGTTCAATACTACATCTACGCGGACAGCTTGGCTACTGCCTTCGATGAGAAAACGGGGTTTCACATTCTGTAGATCGCAATTCTCTCTGGTGATACGGTGAAGCAATGTACAGGAGCCAAGAATTTTGATCGGCGGCATGGTTCCAGCGACCAATTCCAGGAGGCATTTGACGGAAATCATTTGTTCCTTATACAGCTCAAATTGAGCCGGGTGTCCTCTGCACGCGCAGCGAACGCGAAATTGCATCCACGCCGACCCGCTTCCACGGGAATCACAACATCTAAGTTGGATAACCTCGTAGACATATTAGAGGGTTGCGGAGATAGTGTCTCACTGCTAGATCGCGGAGGATTTCTCGTGGCCTGTCTCCATCGTGGAGCTAATCGCTTCAATGTCTTCAATACCGTCAGCCTGCCGACCTTTCGCAGTACGCATCTCGTTGGCCTGAATCAAAGGCCAACATGCTTACGCACTCGTATTGTTTTCCCAGAAAAATCGATGACAAAGCTTCCATCTGATACCTAGTTTTGCTAATCACGTATCGAGTGTGTCCATCTCGTCCACTATGTTCAGGTTCAGAGCGAGTTCTTCATGAGCAGAGAGATTGGTTGGGAGAACGGCGTGCCTGCGTCGATCTCTTCGCCCATTTCGTTAAAGGGTGCTTCAGCTCCGGGTCGGATTCCACGGCACTTGTCGCCAAGGGCGAGCACACGTGCTTCTTAGCGGCGGACAGTGCGGAGCCTTTGGAGCGGTTGAAGGTGCGGAGGAGGAATGAAATGCTCAGACCTACGGCTGCTTCATCGCGCTGAGTACGCCGCTCTGTGTAGACCCGGCATGAAGTCCAATGAGCGATCGCGCAGCTGCGGCGCGCACACTGAGGCCGACGTCAGCGAGAAGCCTGATTTGGCATTGTTGCGATTCATCAGACTGCGATACGTTCGTGATCCGACGAATTTGGTCGCGAGATCTGTGGAGGCCGATGACGCTAGCATCGCCCAGGAACTGTGGTGACCAGGTCCCGGGTCATCGGCGCTGTTGAAAGAGATCGCGGACGGAAGAGCGGCCGCACGGCTCAACCCGTGCGACCGGCTCCCTTTCTACGACTTCAACATATCGTGTTCTGGTGCTTCATTCGTCGTCTGAGGGTTTGTTATATCCCTGCCGGCTCCTCAAGCGGCAGTGAGGACTTGATTCAATACTAACTACTATGAACCCCTACTACTGTATTGTCCAGTTGCCAAGGCCCATTGGACCTCGGCCTGAGGCCAGCTTGGTTGCTGGGGTGCCTCAGGCACAGAATAGTGGTCTCAACACGAGGACATCACAGGTTACTGGTCTTGTAGATTGGCGGCAAAGACCGCGATGCAAACGGCACGTCACAGCAAGAACTCACGTGAACGCCCCCACTGACTCCAGCGTAGCAATGAGGCACTGTCCTCCAGACAAAGGACAACCCTGATCTTGGGGAGATATGAATGAGCGATGATCCTCAATCCGTCAACCTTTTCCGTGAGTGAAGATCAGGAGAGCAATAAATCAAGCTGAAGTATCGTATAGTCAGATGATCGGATCCCAGTGGCAGAGCAGCGCACGGCCTCGCGACGCTCCGTTTTGGGTTGGCGCGTTATCGCGAGGCTGCGAGGCTGTGCATCGGGCAGCGTTGGTTAGCGATACATGAAAAGGTACATTTCCCTTGATTTTTCATAAAGTAACCGATGACCCAAGTGGAATGCTGGAAGTACTACAATATATCGGAGGAACATTGACTGCATCGCCCGCCCTGCGATGGCAAATAAGATTACAGCCGCTTTGACTTCTGTCACTCAGGAAACCACCGTTGCATTAGCGAACCTCAATTTCGATTTCGCGTTGTTCAAGGTCGAAGCGCCTCAGGAATACTCTGGCGTCGGACAGTACTTGTCCAAGAAACGCCGTGATGCAGCAGAAAATGGCAAAGAGCACATTATCGCACGACGATTGGGCGCGCTCTTTGGTCAGGCCTTGCCCGCTACTCCGACCCTAATCAAGGCGTACGGTACCCGGTGCTCTGAAATCGCCAAGGAAGCAGCGGCTAAACAGAAGTATGTCCGATCAAAAACTCTGTTTGATGATTGGATCGGTGCAGATGCTACGAGCATTTGGGCGGCCGCGACTTCCGGGAAAGGAGCGATCGCTGTGCATCTCCTCGCGTGCATGCTCGCGCGGATATGGACTGCTCATGAAGCAACAGCAATCTGGGAGGAGTTGATCGAGAATCGCAAGGCTGACCTTGGTACCGCTGATTCTGCTGACCCGATGGACATCTCGTCGCTTGCTGCATCCCGAATCGAAATTACTCGAGATCAGATTTCAAGATGGGATGCGAGTGCGCGAGCATGGATCAGTGTTGCAGATGGTGTCAAGAAGAAGCAACAGACACAGCTGATGCTTCTCATGTCAAATCTGAGCCTGCCGATTTCCAAAGGCGGGGGTGTCTACGACAGCGTGATGTCTGCATGGAAGGGAGCCATGGAGATCATGGAGAAGGTCCTGAACCATACCTCGCAGTCTGTTCAGGACGGCGCAGGGCTTGTCGGTTTAGCGTCCTGGCACCTGTATCCGGACATCTACGCGCTCCGAGCCGTTGTGAAAACCGTCAAGTTCAACGACCCTTTGGTACCTTCGGACGTACTCGTCACCCTGGGCGCGGGACATTCATCCAGCACGGATGATACCAGCGTTCATTGGTCATTGCCGCTGGCATGCTTACGATACTATGGAGACCCAGTTCCATCGTCAACGACCATGGCGGTCACTTCATCCAGACTTTCCATGTTGGAATGTTGGTTTGTCATCTTAGGCTCGACTATGAGTACATGGGGGGATTTGACTCAAGACCTCGACTCCGCATGCAAATTTATTATCGCCCTATCAGATTATGTCGTATTCGGGGTCAGTCCGCAACTCCGACGAGAAACTACCTGGCTGCAGCACCTGTCTCATGCCGCACAAGAATTTTTGACTTCGCGAGAACCCGAGAGAGACATGTTCCAAAAATTGATCGCGAGAGGTTCTCGACGTTATGCGCACTTCCTGGCACCCCTAGAAGGTCACCCGGGTGGGATGTTTGGTCTCGATTCTGTGCGAACGCTGATCAGTATGATCAAGCATCCGGATAACAAAGTCGCCGTGTTGAGGCGCATTGCAGAGAAAAGAGGCGAGCTCAACAGCAATTTGTTAATCCGCTATCCTCGACCGGAGCCTCAGAAGCAGCCTTTGGCAGACTCGTGGGATGAGATGCCTTTAGGGGACGAATCGGATTTTCTGGCAGACTTCGTCTTATCCACGGACTACGACCGTCCTACCGATGCCCTTGATTTACTCTCCGAAGCCGCTCAAATGACTGATACTGAAAAACGGCTGAAGGCCGATAAGCACGCAGACCATATGTCGTTTTCAGAAGACAAACCCAAAAACACGGACAACTTCTCCGTTTCCCTCAGCAAAAACGCCTCTGTGAGTTCTACTTATTTAAGTAGCGACGTACGTCAGGAACCCGTAGACCTGAGAGGACAAATGAAGCGTGAGAAGAAGTCGCTCGACTGGGAATTCGCTACTGCATTGGCGAAACAACCCTCCAAAAAACGAAAACTTGATCCACAAACAGATATGACTGGACACACTCGATGGGTAGAAGAAATGCGACACATTGATAACGGAGAGCTCGTAAAAGTCCTCGATAATATATCAATCGTCGAATCTGGCCCAGACAAATTCGTTTGGATCGAGGACATGACCCAAGAGGAACAGGAACACACCGGCTCGCTCACATATAAGACTTCATATAAATGTGTACTTGGCGATCAAAGCGATGCAGCGATGTTCATTCCAAACGCCAACTTCACAACTCCCTGGAAGGACAATTCGGTTGAAGTCGACACACTGCTTCTGGCATTCAGGTGCTCATGGATTGATCATGCTATGCTTGTTGAACACCTCAATAATTTCAACAATCCAGGCCATTCAACGAACCATCTTCTGCAATACCGGACAAGCCTGTGGAACATGGCCGCAGCCGCGAACATATACAAGCTCATGCCGCACGCAACTATCAACCCCAGCATATTCACCCGAACACTTGCGAATGCAAGCTGGGCCGTGACAGCCGAACAGTCGGCTCCGCCGCGCGCATTTGATTTTAGGCTTCGAGAATGGACCACAACTCTGAGGGACGAACGCAAATCCTTACACACTGTCACCTTGACGCGTGAGCAAACAATGGCATGTATTGCCCATTTCGAAAACGCACAAACAGACTTGGACCCCAACATTCTGAAGGACGCCATGGCTTTGTCGTGCGGCAACTCAATTTATGTCTCTGCGGCGCTGATGTGCGATCCATACGAGTGTCCGCGGGACTATGAGATCAAGCATGTCATGGGTAACATTGGACGCCCGGGTTTGAGCTTAATGATTCCGCCCATGGACCCTCGAACTCGCAAACAAGATGAGAGCACCTGGGCTCACGTGGATCACCACGATTTCGACGGTCGCTTCGAAGATTGTTATCAACATACCTCCCTGCACCTCAACTTCACGGGCTACCAATTACCAGTCGGTGGCTTATCACACGGTCGGACCATCACGGATGCCTTCTTCGTAGAGAGCGTTGTCTCCGTCTATGATCGCTCCGCCTGGGTCGCGGATCTCGACATCCTCAAAGGCCTTGCCAGCCAACAGCTCCAGCGCTGGCCTCTCGTACTCTGTTCTCACCAGGATAGTGCCTGCCATAGCTTTCCGCTCACGTCCATCGATTCGTGGGACGAGTATCTTGACCCACCGCTCAACTTCGGAATCTTCCGCGGCAATGGAAACTGGCTTGCCCGATTGGCAGTCGTCGCCCATAACGCACTGCACCAGCGCGAGACGGTTCTTTTTAAAGACGCCGACTCAGTCTGCTGGGGTTGTGTATCGATATTCTTAGCCACTCGGAAGGGGTCACCTATGACCACCAAGACACCAGAAAAAAGCAAACCTTTGTTTGTTTGCTAGACGCGCTAATGGACTGATATTCTTGATAAGACGAGACTGCGTATTTTTAGGCCACTGGTAGAAATAACGACAATATCAATCAAGAATTCAGACACCATTGTTCGGTTGATCACCAAACAGATGATTTCTCTTTATCTGTGTACGAATGGTTTGGCGGACCGGTTAGGGTCTGGTCACTAGGGTTGGAATTGTTAACGCTCACCATGATCTCGCCTGACGGAAACTACCAGGCTTGGGTCCTCCTTGCCTATGTATGATCCAGTGTCCTGTATTGAAAACACATTGAAAGTATGACCAGCAAGATCGAGAGGCTCAAACAAGTCTTGGCCGGCGAGGTCGCTCGTCGATCACGACGTGATTCTGGAATTAAATCTTGTGCTTGAGACCCGTGGCCACAGAGTTCGCACAGGGTCATGGTCGCGGCTTGCCGCGACGTAGGTGTACCTCCCTTGGTAGTCGATGATAGGTAGGCATGAGACGCCTCAATTCAAGGAATTCGGCCACGAAGATATCCCGCCGTACGTTGTCACTCTACACCGCTGGTATGAGAAGACCTAGATCAATTAGGTGGTACAAACCCAGGGTTAGAACACTTCTCACCAGTGCGAAATGTGGTGGTTCCGCCGCGGGAAAATCACTCGTTGCCAGGATTTCCGTTTTGGGACGAGTTTGTGGGAAGCGAGCCAATCAGTGACACGGCGAAGATGGGATTTGAACTCGATTCCCCCAATCTGGGGATAAGAACATATATTCACGACACCTTCCGACACCATCACCAAGCGTTGGTGGTTTAGTGGTAAAATTAGCCGTTGCCAAGATATTGCCCAAAGTGGTAATTTCGCACGTCGTCTAGCCCCGGGTTCGATTCCCGGCCGACGCACATTTTTGCTGCCTTGAACTCTGTTTTGCTTGTACACCCAGACAACTGAGGTTTAATTCCTCACCGACTCCATTTTTTTACGTCCATCATAGTATATTTATATTTCTTTTTTCTATTCTTCAACAATATTCAACTTGTTGCGTTAAGTTTCAAAGTAGTCTAAAAGTTTCAAGGGAATAGTAAGCTATTATCAAGATCTAAGATTTAGATTAGACGAGGAAGACCGGCACCTACATCGATGCAACCTTCCCTGCCAAACCTACCATCATTCCGCTGTATGATGCGAGAGCGATTCGACGATTGTGATGATCGTGTCTGCTTTGAAAGGACCCGAAATCGCGTGCGACGTCTTTGGTGATGAAGGTGGTGTTGCTACATGACAGATTCTGCTCAAAGATCTGACACGCATGACGACTGCGAACGATGGTGAAAAAGCAGTTACATGGATTTCGAAGAATCGTGACCACGCATTCACCGAAGGAGGATGGTCATGATTTTGTACATCCATACTCGAAACAGAGTGGTGATCTACACACAAATAACACACATACAATGCACATCGTCACATCTTGGGAATCTCAGCTCGGCGTGAGGTCGCATCACGTCACTGATCCTCCAACAGTTTCCACGAGCCCCTCCAAACCACATGGCCCAAAACGGCGTCCGTCGCCCATCGCCTCGACGGCGCCAACTCCACCACGCGCTCCAATAGATCCACCGCATCGACCGGAATTCCATAACGCTTCGCGACAGCCGCAAATCTCTCCTGGGGGAATTCCTCGACGAATCCCTCCGCCGACGTGGCCATATTCCGATACCAAGTCGGCCAATCGCCGAATTCGCCGGAGATGCACGCGAGGAGTTCCTCCGGCACGGGGCCGAAGAGGACGAATTGGCGGACGATGGTGTCCGTGGGTGGGCCGTATTCGAGGGAGAGGGCGTCCGCTTGCCAGATGGTGGATCGGCCGAGGACGTGGAGGAACTTTGTCGTGAGATCTTCGTCAGCGATACTTTCTGCGATGATGTGTGGGATTCTCACTCACCATCAACCCGAGGGAGAACATCTCCGATGCTGCGGAGTTTCCCGGTTGGACTTGGGCCTCCGGGCTTCGCCAGCCGGCGTAGTCGACGTGGCCGGAGGGTCCGTCATCGTCGTCGAGGAGGAATGCGGGTTCGAAGCCACCGAGCTTGACGTCGGACACGACGAGGTTGCCCGAAGCGTCGCGTTTGACGTTCAAATGGACATGATGTGGCGATAACTCTGACCATGAGGGCTTCTGTCAGAGAGTCGTCAGAAACGAGACGTGATGGACTTACGGTTGTGAAGCCATCCCTTGCTGTGAAGTTCATGTAAGGCTTCTGCGGGCGATCTCATGATCTTAATCCGTTCTGTCATGGACAGATCCGGATTCATATCGATAAGTGCATCGAGTGTCATATTCAGACGAGGATAAATGAGACCGTCCTCGCCATGGCTAGAGTCGTTCAGTCAAGATAGTGTTGTCCGTACATGGAAAGCGGTATCTTACTTCAATCCGCGGACATCCGTAACGGGACGTAACGACCAACCCCGTGCGAGATGAGTTTCCACATCGTCGGATGGGTCGGCCAGGTTTCCATATTCGTATACGCCGAACGGATCTCCGGCCTCGTAATTGCGCCCTGAAACGCCTCTCAAGGGAACTGCTGCGATGCTGTAGAATCTCGAAGGTGACAGAACACCTGCATGCACGTTTCTTAGGGTTCTGGCGATCGAGCATCGGGCAGCGAACATCATGCAAACTTGCGATTCAGCTACGGGATAGCGAGCAATTTTCTTATGGAACTAGAAGGTGGAGTTCAATCAATGGCAGTGGGGATTGTAGTGATGATGGGCCTACACCCGCGAGCGTGCCCAGGTGGATGAAAGAACGACGGCGAGTTCGGAGGTGTCTCCGCCTCGTGGAGTCGTGATTTGCGGAGGAAGTCGGAAATCTACTGCTACGCGGCTTCTTCGCACGTATTCAAATCGATCATCCTATCGATCAAAACATTGCAACACGTAAAACATCCCGCATTTCCATTCTATGTCGTGAGATCTGATTGGGATATCGAGGAATATCTTCACGGTGAGCTGCGAGATCTCATCTACCGAAGCGGCGCAACTCGAGCCATCGCGCGGGCGGGAACACGACCGCAGCCCAAGCGAAACCGACATAATTGCCCATCTGCGTAAGGGGGAAAACGTCAGCGAAGGAGAAAAAAAGGACTCTGCAAAGGAGTGAACGGCGGAAGGGCAGAGCAGACTCACATCGCCACCATACTCGCTGATCAAGCCCGCCAACGGTCCGACATAGTACACCTGCGCCATGCACAAGATCGCACCGGCCCAGCCGACGAGGAAGGCAAACAGCGCGGCGAGGCCCAGCGGCAGCCGGGAACGATCGTCCCAGGCGGCCCAGTCCCATCCATCGGGCCGGGCCAGGGATCTCCGGAAGAGGAAATGCTCCTCGAGGACGATGGCGATCCAAATGCTGACCCAGTAACCCATCAGGGCGAGGAAATTGGTGAAGATCTGCGCGAGGTGCTCGCGGCCGGCGATCGCGGCGACGAGGGGGATGACGATGGCGAGGGTGGTCCAGAGGATCCGGGGCACGCGGGCGAAGGGACGGCCGAGGGCTTGGAAATCTATCCCCGAGGCGTACAGCGGCGGCACCATGTTCCCCACCAGACCGAGGGCGAGCAAGACGCTGCAGAAGGAGCCGAAGCCGCCGAGGGGACGGAACGCTTCGACGATGAGCGCGCCTTGGGACGTCTCGTATGCGGCGCTCCATTCTGGGACCGATGCTGTGCCGGAGGCGAGGCCGATTCCGAGGATGAGGGTGAAGGCTGAGGAGACTGTCAGGCCGATGGTTGTCGATAGGAACATCTTCGTGCGGGAGGTGTCGACTGGGTAGTAGACGAAGAAATCGGCGGCCGCTTGGGCGTAGGTGATTTGGCTTGCGAGACACAGGCTGAAGAAGGAGAGCCGGTTGCCAGCGATCTCGCCCAAGGACGCGCCTTCGGATGGATTCGCCGTCAGGTCGAACTTTGGGCCCGCGACACCCGCGAGTAGACATAGGATGATCAGTTGTGGCAACCATGCGTATCTCTCATAGGTATGGAAGAAGGCATATCCACATGTCGAGACTACCCAGCTCAAGACGCAAACGATCACGATGCCGACGATGACGCTCAGGCTGTCGTTGGGGCTGACGGCGCTGAGAATCTGTCCACCGATGACGGCATCGATGAGCAGGTAGCCCAAGAATACGATCAAAGCGAGAACAACGATGAGCTTCGACGGCCACCAACCAGTAACGTAGCGCGTGAGAATCATGGTACGCAGGCCGGATTTCGGGCCAAGTGTGGCAATGTAGGCCACCGGTAGGCTGCCGAGGAGAGCGCCGAAGACGCCGAGCAGACAAGCGTCAGTGAACGGCAAGTAGTAGACGGCGGGTCCGAGCATGCCGAGGGTGACCATGATCGCCTCGAGGTTGATGCTGATCCACACGAGGCAGACTTGAACGAAGCCCATCCGGTGCATGTCATGTCGATGCTCCGGGAGCACCCGCTCCACCCCACGAGCCTCGATGTTGTATCTGAACAGAGTCTGTTCGATCGATTTGAAGTAGCGCTTCGCAGGGCCTACACGACCTTCGAAGTCACGTTCCGAGCTTGTCGGCGATGAGGTTGAGGCCGGCTCGGCTTTCTCGACATCTCTCAAGGTGAGCCCGTCCGTCGGCTCCGCACGAATTGGAGGGTTTTCATCTGTATTCGTCAGCCATGCCTTCATTGGAAAAGACAACGAAGGGGAGGAAGCATGATTCTTTCGTCGCTAGCATTGTCTAGAATCAAGTTCGGCCGTATGATCTCAGCAAGGTCCGGCAAAGAGGCTTGGTGCCGGCGCGAGCGGCGATGCCATCTCACACAAGCACCAGGCCTGATTCCCAGTCCGAGCACCGGCTCATGCTTCGCTCGTTGAAGGGCGTTACCTCAATCCGTCACTTTGCGATCGCTCCTCAAGAACCATGGTGTCGATGTGGTCGTACTTTGCAGGGTATTGTGATGAGCCGCGACAGCTTCCGCATCACCATCACCGGTAGTTGGCATCATGACCGTGTGTCAAACCAAAGAAGTCGCAGTCGCCTCTGAAATGTTGGAAGTCCGTTCAATGCAGCGGAAGAGTTTCTGGTTGGCGGCAAAAGTTGCGATGCGAAGCTGAAGAAGTTTGGCGCAACGTGGGAGCGGACAGGCAGATCTTTGCACGTGGCGAGCTAGCTAGCCGCCCACGTGCAGCAGCTGCGAATTCGCCCGCAAACGGCGCTCCATCGACTTGCAGGGCCCGTCCGATCGCAGAGACGATACTACATAGCTCTTCCACGACGAGAGAATCTATATACGTACATTTCCGCTCATGATCATCATCGGTCTGACTTGCCATTCGGCTTACGGCCTGTGTTCGAAGGTCCGGTACGGATCGCAGATTGAATCAGCTCCATCGGTGGTATGGATTTACCCTCCTCGAACCTTTGTCGTCTTGAGCAGTGTTACAATGTCATCAATCATCTGCCCGTTCTCACGCATGTTGACCGTTCGTCGAACACTCTGAAATCACCAACTCAGAGCGCAGGCCCGGAGAATTCTTTTCATTTCCCCTTACAGCTTCGCCTTATATTTATAACTCTGTTCGACCGGTCGATTGGCTGTGCTCGGCGCATTCCACCACGGCCACGTCGGCGGCGCATCGTTCTGCATGGTGCCCTTGAACCGGACCGGCCTCTTCTGTAGAAACGCATCCACGCCCTCCTTGTTGTCCTTGCTGGTGAACAGCTCGTAGATGATGCGGCTGTCGAGGAGGTGGGCGGCTTCGGGGCTGTCGGGGCCGCGGTACATCAGCTCCTTCATGAGGTTCGTGGACACGAGGCTGGTGTTGGCGACGATCTCGTTGGCGATCTCGAGCGCGCGGGGCAGCACGGCGGAGGCGGTGGGGAGGGTTTCGGAGAAGAGGGTGGAGAGGAGCGGGTGGGAGGCGGGATAGGTCGCGCCGGTGGTGCAGAGGTGGAGAGCTTTCGACATGCTAGAAGGGGAATGTCAGTCCGTTGTCAGAGACGAGGTGGGCGGGAGGTCTTTTCCTGCGTACCCGATCAGTCGCGGTAAGAAGAAGCTACTGGCCGCCTCCATGATCAAGCCTCTCCTCGCAAAGACGAAGCCGACCTTCGCGCCCTCGTACGCGATGCGGATGTTCATGGGTAAGGTCATCGTGATGCCGATCCCGACCGCACTCCCGTTCAGCGCAGCAATGGTCGGCTTCCGACACCGATTGATCGCCATGACGACCCGTCCACCACCATCCCTGTGATCCCGCACCGACTCGTCCCCGCCATCGAATATCGAAGTGTCCAGATCCGCGCCCGCACAGAACATCCTCCCGTGCCCGGTCTGCACGATACATTTGACCCGGTCATCGATATCGAAGAGGGTGTAGGCGAGTTCCAGCTCGCGCATCATGGTCGTGGTGAAGGCATTGTGCCTTGTGGGACGGTATAAGGTTACGAGGACGATCGGTGTCACGTTTGAGGATGATTCGGGGACGTTGGTGACCCTGATCTCGGTGAAGGGAAGGTCGGCATAGCTCTTTGGGAGAGCGAGTTTCGGTGCGTCTGCTGGCGGTTCGAAGCCCATTTTTGATGTTTCGTTGAACGGGTACGGAAGATCAAAAGGAAAGCAGAGTCAGACCAAGATCACAAGGAAAAGCAGAGTCAGATCAAGATCGTAAGGAAAAGCAGAGTCAGATCAAGATCGTAAGGAAAAGCAGAGTCAGACCGGCGACATGGACATGGATAGATATGTATTGAGGATGATCACGGTATAGGTATATGGTGCAAACATTGGGTGTCGGTCTCCGCCATTGATACGCTGCTGGAGCTTTTGTCGACAATGACGACTCGACGGGCGTGCGGGCAGGCGTCGGTGGTGCTGGAGGGACGGTACTGTATCTCCTGTAGGGCTTAATAAGTTTACACCTCAATATGACGCAGGGCCGTCCCCATCAATATTTGATGGAGAGCCTCGGGCCAAATTCTACCGTCGTCGCTGATCCGGATGCGAGCCAATACAATACTACACTACCTAGTTTTGTAGGGAAGCTTGCAGGTGGGATATTAATAAACCTCACCCTGCAGCCAAGACGATGCGACGCGTCAATCGCTGTCGAGGAGAAGATGGACCTGTTTGCCAGAAAACACAGAATTCCCAGTACGCACGTCCGCACCAATCCCTTTGAGGACCTTGTGCAGGGTGATTGGGAATGAGGACAGCGTTTGATTTGTGTATTTGAGCGGGACCCTCTGGTGCTCGTTCCCGTACGGTGTGCCCGCGACCGGAATGTTGCTAGGCGGCATCGACTGTGTACCCACGGGTCGGATACTGCTTGGAAAATATCAAGGGAAGGCGGTTCAACCAGATCTAGGGTTTGTCGTGGCGGTGGTGGTTGTTGTAGCAAGACAACGTCGGAACGACGGCGGTCAGATCGATGTGTACGCTCAACGTCACGGCACGGCACCTCATCTGCCAACTCGTCGGGATCGTGCGTTGCGATCATTCACGATTTCAACATATCGAGTCCGTGAATTACTGTACTGTAATGGAACATATTACTAGGGTTGTCATCAAGCTTTCCAAGGTCGTCCGCCAGAAATAAGCCCAGGGTTGTCGCTGAGATTATTATTATTATTTAGCCTGATTTTTCGAGGCGGAGCTGAAAAGCTGAAACGAACGCCGAACATGCCCGAAGTGGAGGAGCAAAAACGAACGAAAGATGAGATAAGATGAGATGAGATGAGATGGGCTGAGACGGCGGGCCGGTTTGGAGACTTCGGCGCCATGACGGATCTGGCGCGTCTCCAACAACCTTCCTTTTCACGGGCGGTCCACGTTTGCGCGGCTTATCAATAAATAAATAATAAATGTTATCATCCCGGATTATTTCTCTTGCCATCCATCGCCAGGCGAATAGACAGGATCCATATCAGGTCGATGTATGTGTATGTATATACCTATCCATCATGCATCATACTATAGCGATGATGGGGATATGGCATGATTGAGAGTATTCATGGTGGTGATCTATGGTAAACTGTAGCAGAAGCCAGCTCCATGTATGGACGTGACAGGAAGCATGAAGATGAAGTCCCGTCACCATCAGAGGTTCCTGTCCTCCAAGTCAATTTATTATTGTTGTTACCTATTTCTACTGTATAGTACCTAGGTATTATTATCCTCGTATCACCGCAACAGGGCCCATAGGTATACAACAGTATTATGTATGGAGAGGTCGCCTACAGAACTGGGCGAGCAGAATCCAACCGGATTTATATGATAACACGGTATAGGGGTTGTGGTGGTTTTACAGATATCACTACTGCATGTTTTATGGTTTGAACTATCGTCCGTAGAACGTGCGAAGAAGAAGACGACGACGCCGAAGGAGAAGAACAAGAAGATGCTGTCGGAGATCCACCACCCTTTGTCGTATTCATCACCGCATCCATCGATGCAGATCTGCAACGGCGGGCGCAGGCGCAGGCGCAGGCGGAGGCGCAGCAGCCAACCAGCCAGCCAGCCAGCCAGCCAAGCGGGAGCCCGTGAGGAGGAAAAGCCGGCCCCCAACAGCGCCTGGGAAGGCTGGCACGCTGGAGACGATTTGATTGAATTTGATTTGATTTGATTTGGTGGGTGATGTGAGTGTCCGTCCGTCCATCCGTCCACCTGCGCACCCGCCCGCCCGCCCAAACCTGCCCGATGGTATGTCACAGTATGTCACAGCAAAGGTATCTCGGTATGTTCGTGCTCAGCGCCTTGTGCCAGGATTATCACAGTCCTGTACCTAGTATTATTATCATTAGAGTTCCCCCGAGGAAACCTGCTGCTGCCGCCGCCGCCGCCGCCGCTCACCACCCACCATTCAAACCCACTTCTCTCGTTCCGTTTGTTCGTTCGTACGGGCGGGAATGTGGACGGTCGCGGACAACAACAGCGACAACAATAACGAACAACGACGATCCATCTCTACCTAGCACATCCATCTCTACACCACCAACACCACCACCAACACCATCTACCACGTATTCGCCTTTTCTTATGTTACCTCGACAACAACCACCACCACCACCACTACCGTCCCCTACTGATCAATCAATTCTTCTCTCTCGACTGTCCATCTGATTCACATCTCCAATTCGCCGCCCATGTCATCGCTTCAATGACCGTCCTCGGGCCCAGCGCTCGACGTGCGCTGCTGCTGTTGTCCGCCCTGTTCGTCGCCTCGCTCCCACCACGCGCCTCGGCGGTCTTATTGCCTTTCGATTCGTGCACCAGCTTCGCCAAACAGAACCCATCACAGTCGGGCGAACCCTTGCAGTATAAGCCTCTGTATCTCGACGTCGTCTACGATGCCGCCAGTCAGCCCCATTCCCTGAATGTCACCGTCTTCGGCAACGTGACGGGCCAGACGCTGTCAGGCTCACTGCCGCCTCCGAGCGATTCATACTGGTCGAACCCCAATGCGACCAATGGAAAGATTACGGATGTGGGAACCTCGGGGAATTTGACATCCTTGTCGACGCGATATGATGTCCTGTCATTCACCGTCGCCAACAACTTGGTGCGCTTCTGTGGGGCTCTACGCGACAATGGATCATGTCCTCTGGGACCGACGTTCTTCGCGAACACATCGACTCCCGAGAGCACACGCGCAGGTCTCCCGGCCGTCGTTCAAAGTCTGAACCTCAACAGCAGTTATGCTTTTACCACCCTCTCCACCACAGTCCAGGTCTTCTCCGGAGATACTGGTCTCGGTCTCATCTCCTGCGTGAGCGCTCAGATCACTCCCGCCCTTGGTCCGAGGATCGAGAACCTTCTGACATGGCTTCCCGCTGCCATCTTGATCATCAAGGGTCTGGCCACCCTGTCTGCTGCGATCTGGTCACCCTGGGGAAGCGCGGACATCTTCCGATGGAGCAGCAATTACGGAAGAGATGAGGATCTGCTGCGTCTGGTCACGCCGGGGTTCGGGGATTGCCTACAATACATACAATTCGTTGTGCTCACCGGCGCCTTGACCTTGAACTACCCGGGATTCTTCCAGCCTGCCGTCAGCCAGGCCAGTTGGTCGGTTCTCCTGTTCAACGAGAGCTTCGTCAGCCAGGGCCCAGGAACGCAGAGCCTCGTCGACGGCGTGTACCGCGTGAATGGAACCTACGGCATGGCGAGGATGAGCCAGTACATCGGCATGGAGACGGTGAACGACATCTGGGCGTGCATGGCCATCTGGCTTCTGGTCATCGCCGCTGCAGTCGTCGTCCTGACCCAACTCGGTTTCTTCGGCCGCTGGATCTATCGTCAAGTCACCAGCACTTCCGAAGAGGACCTGCGCAAGAAGAACTTGCCCTTCACCCTGGGAAACATGATTCGCCTGGTCTTCAATTACTTCATCCTCCCCATCGTCGCACTGAGCCTCTTCCAGCTGGTCATTGCCTTTGGCGCACCCGCAAGTGTCCTAGCCTGTGCTGCGGTGCTGCTCGTCTTGGTCATCATCTCCGCAGGATGGATCCTCCGGGTGATTTTCAAAACCAAGCCACGCACGCTCCTTTTCGATGACATGCCGACCGTGCTGTTGTACGGCCCGCTGTACAACACATACAACGACAGCGCTGCGCCCTTTGCGCTGATCCCGGTCTTCATCACCTTCATGCGCGCAGTCGCAATCGGTGCTGTGCAGCCGAGCGGGATTGCTCAAATCATTGTGCTCGCGATTTGCGAGGTCATTCTGATTCTGACGCTGAACGGCTTCCGTCCCTTCCAAGGCCAAACGAGCATGAATCTGTATCACACATGCTTCGCATCGATCCGGCTGATCACCGTCCTCCTCATGATCGCCTTTGTGCCATCGTTGTCGGTGTCACAGGCGCCGAAAGGGTGGATCGGATACGTCATCTTAATCCTCCATGCCTGCGTGCTCGTGTTTGGCTTCTTCTTGAATTCCGCTCAAACCTTGGTCGAGGTCCTAGCCCGTGCGCTGGGTGCCGGCGGCGACTCACATAGCGGTGCCATCCGAGGCAGCATCCTCAACTGGCGCATGCTGAAGAAGCGGCAGACGCGCGTGGATGCGAAGAACCGGGCGAGCACGATGAGCACCACAGCCATGCTCCAGGACTCGAATCTGGATGTCATGTCGAATGGCCGCAGCCGTAGCATCTCAGCTAGCAGCCAGCAACTGCTGGGTCGCACCAGTGGCTTCGATAACTTTTCCAGTGGTGGCGACCCCCTCGCCTCCCCTGACCCGGAGAGCGAGAATGCGTCGGCGTTCGGAATGATGCTGGGGGGTCGCCCATCGATTGGATCCCGCGATCACCATCCTGGGGATAATTACTACCGAGCACCAAGGCCCCGGAAGGCTACCCTTGGGGCCTTGTCGGAGCCTGGGAACAAGACGCGCGGGAGCGTCGCGGAGTTCCCTTACCGAGATGCGCCTGGTCAAGGTCAACTTGCCCACACTCGGGACAACAGCTACGAGCCGAACAGTGCGCACGACTCACCCGCGCCCGCTTACATCCGCGAGCGGCAGGGATCAAACGGCGAACTTCAGGGTTCGAGCAACGCTGGCGCATCTGCCCCTCGTACGGATTATGCTGTCCGCGAAGTGGATCAATATTACCGTGGTGCTGCGCTCAACGACCAACCCACGCGCAAACTCAAGACGGGACCTGCTGACCCCGAAGGTCCTGCGATTGTCGCGCAGAGCTGGTTCCAAAATTTCCTGTTCGCCATTGGCTCCGGCGGGGCCAAGAAGAAGGAGCAGGGCAAGGGCTTTGAAGTCGTTCGGTCTTCACGCATGCCGCCAGAAGAGCTCGAGCGCGACGCAGCAGCGGCCGGGCTGAGACCCACAGGCGACGACCTCGAATTGCAGGACACGCCTACGATGAAACAGCAGCCTTATTTCGATTCGCCGACGAAGGCCACAGGCACCACAACCACGAGTATCGCGCCCGACGAGCTTGTACAGGAAGGTACGACCAAACACTCCAGCAACGCCGGTCTCGCGACCAGTGCGGACGGCGATAGTCATCCCGATGGAGAGGAAGAGGAGGAAGAGGAGGTGATCCTGGGAACTGCGACGAGAGCTTCCCGGCACTATCCCAGCCAAGTCTTTGACTTTGGCTTTGACGGAACACGGTCGCGCACGTCGGCCGGCGGCCAGTCTCCGCTCCTCAACCATCGGCCCGAGAGCGAAACGCTCTCGCAGCCGGCATTGATCCCGTTCCGCGCCTCTCAAGGCATGCTGGGAGCAGCGATCACGAGCTCAGGCACCGATCGCGCCTCCTCACACTACCCGGAGGACGACGATGACGAAGTCCACTTCACGCCCGTCGACGCCGAAACACCACCGCTCCCCCACCATGCCACCATAAGAGACCTCGTGACAGGCCTCGACCTCCCTCCACACCCTTTGTCGATGTCAACCTCCCACCAACAACTACAACAACACCCACAACCGCGTCCCACCATCGACCTCCACCCTTCCGCCGCCCCTGCTCCTCAACCCCCAGTGCGCTCTCCCAAACGCAACAGCGCCCTCAACCGTACCATGCCCAATCCACCATCCACCACAACCACATCAGCAGCGGCCAACCAAAGCCCCGGCGGCGGCGGCGCCGCGGCTCTCACCCCAGACATCGCCGACTCGCCCTCGGCACAAGCCTGGCTCGCCGCCGTCGACGCCCTGGACCGGAACCCCCACGCCCTCTCCCGCTCCTCGACCCTCGCCAGTTCCCGCCACGACGCAGCGGGTGGTTCCTCATCCGCCGCTGCTGCTCCTGCTGCTCCGGCGATGCCCCCTTCCCCCGCCGACAGAGGAGGACCGGTCCCGTCCTCCGTCCAGCGACATCGCGCCGCCGACAGCATCTCGCGGAACTCGCTCGGCGCCCAGGTCGCGCTGCAGGCCAGCCAGGCGGAGATCTTCGAGGCCGGCGAGGACGGCGACGGCGATGCGTATGCGTACGAGGCCGGCGAGCCCGTCGCAGCCGCAGCGGGGAGGGAGCGATCGACGCGCTAGTCCAGTCCCCTGCACCCCATCCCCTCTGCTCTCACGCCTCACGTGCATGCCACGGTTGGCGGACACGGCGGTGGGCCATCCTCGGCTGGACGGGAAGTCGCCTTGGCCGGAGAGGTGGCGCGGACAACGTCGATCGGGCGCGGCTCACCAACACTGATCTCCATCCGCCACCCGGGATCCTTACGTTTTTATTTTCTCTCTTTCTGAGGCTAATGTCGGTCATGTAAATTGACGCGGAGGAAAAGCGCGCGCGTGTGTGTACTATTTTCGATGTGCTTGAGGTTTGGCTTTTTTGGGGGGAGCGGAATATGTTAATTTTCATAAATTTAATGATCGGGTGATGTCCTTTTGCCTTTTTCTTCATCCTCCCTTCTTTCTATTTGTATGGAGATGATTGTCTTTACAGGATAGACGAGGTTTGGGTTTGAATTGTCTTCTTACGACGGTTGTGAACCCGAGTCTCGACTTCGAGCTGCCCGTGATGGAGGGATCGACCACCACCTTTCGTCGCCCTGCAAGGGATCATGATGGGAATACGCATCGCTTTTCACATGGAGCATCTCTGTGGAATGTCCCTCCCGTCCTGCGCTACACGGTCGGCGCCACGCCCGACTTCGGATGTGACAATGGAAGTAGAGAGGAACATGCCTCGTATCGTGTCTGGCGATGTTTTATTTTTCGGCTTCTCTTTGCATTATCCGTACATGGATTCGTTGGTGAACCCTCTGTCCTTTGGACCCGCCGCGATCACGTCCTCCTATTGGGCCGCGTCGGGTTTCATCAGACGTGAGGTAAGGCCTGTCTGTCTGTCTGTCTGTCTGTCCTCTCGGCGAGACGGGCGGAGGCTCTCTTGGCTTGTTAGTGCTTATGTCGTGACACCAGCCAGTCGGAGCACCGGATGGCATCGATCTCAGAGGTGACGTCTCGTAAGGTCGGGAATCCATGGGACGGACTGCGGGGAGAATGGTGTACATCACGTCTCACCCGCTGAATAGACCCCGTCGCTGAGTTTTGGCTTTCGTCTAGGGCCTATAGTACGAATGAAGGGGGACCTCTCCTCTCCTCTCCCGTTGTTGCATTGCATTGCTGGATGAGTGGTGCGGCTCACGTCCATCACACGCCAATCCTTCACCACAATACACTGCTGGACTGGACGCCTTTCGCTTGTCACCTCTGTTCAGCCCTAGATGCGCCTTTCGAACATGGGTGTCGAGGTTTATATACAGTACTACTACTGCATGACTCGCCAACCGGAGTGATCGACTTCTCACCGTGATGATCCGACTGACTGACTTCCTTCTCTTCGTCATCTCACACGCATACATCGACACCAGCACCCACCGCCGCCCACAACGCACCACTGCGCTGAACCGCCCGAGAGCCGGGAGAACAATGCTGCGTCGCGCCTCGTCCATGTCATGATCGCTGGAGAGGCTACCCTCCACCTCCCGCCCCGAGCTGCCGTCTTCCCTTCACGATGGCAGCCCATGTATCCACGATCGCGCCCATCTCTTGGACGCCATCGACACACTGGGAAGGCAACGATGGGTCCTGGAACACATTCGTCGTGCGCGCCGGTACACCACCACAGGAATTCCGCATCTTGCCATCCACGTCTGGGCAAGAGCTGTGGCTACCGGACCCGTCGGCCTGTGCGATCATCAGTCCCAGCAATCCCGGATATTGTGGTTCCGTCCGAGGAGTCCTGCCTTACAATGGCACCAACAGCCCCGGCTTCAATAAGAACGCCAGCACCTCGTGGGACCCGGTAGGGCTCTTCACGCTCACCGCGATCGAGAGCAGGCTGGGGTATTTCGGCAACGGCGATTATGGATTGGATACCGTCACATGGGGCAACGACACCAACTCCCCGAAATTGACCTCTCAAGTTGTAGCCTCGACTGCTACCCTACAATGGTGGATGGGCTTGGCGGGTCTGGGACCCAAAGCGATCAACTTCACCACATACAACGACCCTACGGATAGCTATCTATCCCGGCTGGCGGGAGTGGGAGCGATCGATGGTCTGTCATGGGGATATACAGCAGGCGCGCACTATCGGGCAAACACGCCTGCGTCGCTCACGCTGGGCGGATTCGACGAAGCTCGATATGTTTCCCCTGGAATGTCATTTCCAATGTACGCCGACGACTCGCGGTCCTTATCCATTGGCACAGTGCAAATGGCAGCGAGCAACACTCTGAAAGGCGACGTCAACCTCTATACCGCATCGAGCAGGGACCTGTTCCTGATCGATTCGGCTGTCCCGCACATCTGGGTGCCAGAAGGGGATATCCCTAAATGGGTCGATGCTTTTGGCCTGACCTATGACAACGCTACAGAGCTGTTCTTGGTGTCCGATGCCACGCGAAGCCGGCTGCAGACGCTCAATCCCACGGTCACCTTCACCTTCAAAAACAACGTGATACAGGCTCCAGGCCCGACCATGAACATCACACTGCCTTACGCAGCTTTCGACCTGCAAGCGAGCTACCCGTACTACACCAATGCCACCAACTACTTCCCCATCCGACGTGCAGCGAATTCGACGCAATACGTCCTCGGCCGGACCTTTCTCCAGGAGGCATACCTCATTGCCGATTACAACCGACAGAACTTCACCGTCGCGCCAGCACGCTCGCCAGACAACACCACCGATCCGCGCTTGATCCCGATCCGCAAGCCCGTCGCATCCTCATCCCTATCTGCGCCCATTGCCACAATCGGCGGACTCTCCTCGGCCGCCACCGGCGGACTCATCGCCGGCCTGGCCATCCTGGCCCTCCTGGCCGCTGCCCTCGCGGCCATCCTCCTCTCCCGATGGCGCAAGAGACGCAGAGCCCAGGCCCGGACCAGCGAGACGGCCGGCGTCCTCCCCCGCGCCGAGCTACCCTGCGACGGCCCGACCTTCTGCGAGGCGCCCAGCGACCACGCCTCCCACGAGAAGGACTCGACCCTCGCCCGACCCGAGTTCTACAGCAAGCCGAGCGCCTCCGACCGCTCGTCCGACGTCTTCGAGATGCCGGCCGCCCCGGTCGGGCACGAGACCGGCCTGATGGCGGAGGTCCCCGGCAGCGAGGGCGTCCGGCCGGAATTGGAGGACCGCCGGAAGTTCAGCTTCGAGCGGGACCGGCGGGACTGATGCTTTTTTTGCGATGCGGGTGGGATTGGCTGGCGATGGTCGGAGTTTCTTTCATGATACCCTCTTCATTTTTTCTTGATCTGTTTGGAATATTTTCTACCTTTTCTACCTTTTTTTTTCTTCTTCATCAATGCGATATCTATCACTTTGAAAAGAATAATCCGGAATTCGGATCTGGCTTTGTTCCCGTTTCCTCGTCACCTTCCTTATTCTCGAATGGATGGCCATCTGGTGGCCTGATTCGGGCTCATGATCACCATCCAGTACATACACGCCTAGGTAGTCCAGCCGGTGTGTCGCCCGGTGCGCTGATGATCCGGCCCGTTGCGTGCGGCCTTGCATTCCCTTTTCGAGAGGGGGAACACCTTGGTAGTCTGGTAGCGTGGGGATGTCGCATGCATTTTGGGAGCCCTAAGAATAGCCCTGGAAGGAAAACCAGAAAAAAAAACCCCCCGTCGCCCAACCTGCATTGCATATGTGCGCTCCTCCTGCAGCCCGTATCGACGACGGTGGAACGTTGGCGCTATCGCCCATCACCCCTGCAGCTCCCGCAAGATGAATCTGGTTGAAATCTATTTCAATTTGATTCGAAGAGGGGTTTCGGTTGTACTGTACCGCCGCAACGCTTTTCTCTGGGTGGTGGTGGTGGTGGTGGTGAGGGTGATGACTACGCTATGCCCAGCGAGGTCAAATGATGTTCGACCATTGATGGGAACATATCGAATCACCCATGAACCTCGATGGGACACCAGCCGGGCGAGTGTCAGCAGTCATTGCAGCGTAGATGAAGCGGATTGCGCCCGCCCAGAACCAGCTCGGGATTGCGCCCGCCCGTTGGTGGATTTGATTGGGTTTGATTGAATTTGATTGAGGTGGATGGGATTTGATGGGATTTGATGGGATTTGATGGGATTTGATGGGATTTGATGGGATTTGATGGGATTTGATGGGATTTGATGGTTGGGTTCGATGGGATTTGATGATTCGATTCGATTGGATTTGATGGGATTTGATGATCGAATTTGATGGGATTTCCTTGGATTTGATGATCAGATCGTTCTCGGAACCTGCCCCATTCTAGCAGTATTCCTATCGTGCCTACCGTGGACCCTACCTTTTTTTGGTCCGGCAGTCTTGAACCCTTGAGAGTCCCTGACACACGCCTCGCCTGGCTCCCTCCACATCATCGCTAGACCAGACGGACAACCGCTGCTGGATTGGACTCATCACCCGTCAACTTTTTGCCCTCATCCGCGCGTAGGTGGTTCATCATCCTGCGCCATCTCAAATCCTCCACACTCACGACACGCCATGCCACGCGGCCACCAACCGCTTCATCACCCAATTGCAGATATTCAAGCTTCATAGCACCATCACGAGTATGCGCCGCTGCAGTCTTCGTGGACGAGACGATACGCGCCAATCACGCTAAAACATCCGGTTCGGATGTGAGACCTCTCCATCGTCCGCCTCGATCTTCTGCGGGTGAACCGGCCAGTCGCCCCGAAAGGAACTAAACATCCTTCGTCGGACCTGCGGATACCACAGAGACCTCCGCGACCTAGATTGGTACCCCATCTGCCAATACGACCGGCCGATCTCTTCTCCACCCGTTCTCGCCAGCCAGGGTACATGCACGCACCCACACCCGTCGACGGCACTGCGGACTGCTGATGCGAGGATCGGCTGGCATGCCTGAGACCCCGAGGTGCCCGATCTCGAAACCATGACCCGCTCGTCGTCCATCCCGGGCGCGTCTGCCACCCCTCTGCGCCATCACAACTCCGTCCACGAGCGATCCAGCACCTCCGATCGGTTGCGCGAGGCCAACGGCAATGATCGTCGGCGCCTGCGCCGTCGGAGCATGAACAGCATCAGCGAGCTGGACGGCGTCGGCCTGTACGAGCGCCCGGACTGGCCTCTGCCCTCGCCGGACCGACGGGACCGCATCGCTGCGAACAAGGACAGCCCCACGGAAGTGCAGGATGGCCCGGCGGACGAGAGCGCAGTCTTGCGCGGCCCGCAAGAGTTGGGCTTCCCATCTGAGATGTTCATGTACGCTGAGCATCATGATGTGAGTGAGGAGGAGGAAGAGGAGGGGGAGGCGGAGGAGGATGATGGAGATGGAGATGGAGATGCAAAGAAAGATCTGGAAAGAGGGCACGAGGACAAGCCGTCGCCTCTAGGACACACAAATGGTAGAATAGTCGGGTCCGGGAAATCTCCAGAATCTCCCACGTCGAGGACGAGGATAGGGCGGGACACCAATGCAGAGCGGCACGGCTCAACACATGAGCGGGATGTCTCGCCGTCAGATGATCGTGGCCATACAACACGAGCTTCACCCAAGTTCCTCGCCAAGGATGTCAAAAGCTTTGCAAGGGCCGCGGACTCACATCCCGTAGAGCCCAAGATCCTCGCCAAAGATCGGCCAGCGCATTTCAGCATTCCCAGAATACGCGAGCCCATGCCAGAGCAGAGCAACAGTCAAACATCGGCGCCGCCGCACCAACGTAGCGAGTCAGAAGACTATGCCGACGAATTGCGCGATGTCCCCACTGAAATCGTTTCTTCAAACGCTCCGAATATCGCAGCCGTACAGGATTTCAGCAACGGACAGACACGCAACAATGGCGATGTCAGCTTTGGTGCGAGCAGTCCCATCAATCCCACTGAAGATCCAAGCACCGCACGGCGCTCCTCTGCAACCGGAGGCGCATCTGGCGTTCAGCGTCGCTCGTCAACATACTCGCTGCTGAGCGTCCAAGCAAACCCCACGGGCTTGGGATCAACGGATCATGTGCGATATAGCTGGCAATCCGTCGAAGACAGCGAACCGAGTCGGCCGCGGATCCACGTCATCAAACTATTCTCAAACACTGTAACTGCTTCAGCTGGCTTTCCTCAGGGCGAGGCATTTGGTTTCGCAATGTCACCTTCAGGTCGCCGCATTGCCGCATACAACAGTGCTCGACTCTACATCCTCCAGACAGCCGCCCTGCCGGTGGGCATCAGCCAAGATTACGCCCTCAAGAGACGGCCCCTGGCGGTTGAAATCACAGACGAGACTTCCACCATTGCCATCCTAGCAGACGACCATACAGTAAACATATACACGGCAGGCGCCCAGGGACTACGCCGAACCCGTACCATCACACTCGATTATCCTTCGAACTGCATCGCGCTGGCCCCGGCTGGCGGACTGCTCGCCGTAGCATATGAGGGCGGCGTGGAGATCTTTTCGCTGGATCCCAATGCTCTACCCACCGATCGCCGGGCCGTGCGTTCGACGCGAATGGATCGCCTGTCGTTCTCCGAGGATGGAGCAAGTCTGCTAGGAACGACGACCAGGATCAATGTTTCGTCGACGGTGGTTGTGAATGTGCCCATCTTCCCGGCAGCGCCCAACGGTGTGCCGACTGCTGACGAATTAAAAGAAGCATGGTGTTCCGAATTGCTCCACCCCGAGAACGTCCGGAATAGCAGCCACGCGACTTTCCTACGCGAGGGTGGGACTACATGCAACGAGCGACTTTTCGCCTGGAATGGCGTCGTCGACACGTTCGGCATCCTAAGCGTCAACAACCTCGAATATGGCAATATTGATTTTCCAGTCGTCATCTCCCCGCCACTATCGACTTGCGGTGGGCTAGGTGCCGCGATGAACAGCTGTCCTGCAGTCGACGAGGATGGTGACACTGTTGCGATGATTGTCAACGACCGGACGGTACGACTGTATATCGTGCCACCCAAGGGGACGCCGGCTGCGGCTAATATCGAGGCCCACAGCATCGATCACGAGCTCGACGCAGGTTATGGATGCCCCTTTGCCGATGTCAAATGGGTGTACAATCCTGTCTCAGCAGAAGGGTCTCTGCAAAGTCAGACCAGGATCAAAGGACGACTACTCGTCACCAGCCCTGGAGGCATCGTCGAGAACGGAATGTCCGCTGAAGAGACCTTTGAGGACATTGAAGGCGGTCGCATCATTCTCTTCGATTTCGATCCTCAATTTGCCGGCCAGCCAGGAAAAACTTTCAACCTCACCCTCGGAAAGGGCACGCCGCAACTGCTCGACGAGGAGCCCGTGAGTGTAGCGGACCAAGTCGCATTGGTGCGTCGACGAACCGTCAATCAAAGCCGCAAGGGCAATCTGAGCTCCAAGCCTGTAGCACTGGGTCGATCTGCAACAACATTGGGAAGTCGGCGACTATCGCGACAAGACACGTCAGGTGAAGGCACTGACCGACATTCTATGATCCACCGATCAAGCATGCTCTCCACCGGCAGCATACAACCGGAACGTCGCCTCAGCCTTGTGGATGTGGCGGAGGGCGAGGAGTTGCCTCTTGCTGTCGACGAACCATATGCTCAATCTGCTCCTCGATCTCACGTGTCTCTACAGCGAGCCGCGACCAACGCGCAGCGTCATCGTTTCCAAGCTCTCGAAGAGCGGCAACAAGAGCACGTGACTGCGGACAGCACCGGTGGCTACCTCACCTTGCCTGAGTACACTGAAGAACCCAACGCGCCCCTCCCCAGTCGATTCCGAGCCATGGCAGGTCTCGATCCGCCAGCAATGTTCGACCCTCGTACTGCGGCAATCGCCACGGTTCCAAGTGCGGACGCTGCATCTCCCGCACCTTTATCCCACGCTTCGGGTGCCGTGGACATGGATGCCAGCCTCGCCGAGGATGCGGAGACGACGTTTGCTGACATGGTCCGCACTATGCCCTCGAGCGCCGCGGTCAATACTGAACCACCGCCCTCGGCGACATCGCAAAGTTTCGACTCACGAGCTATGTCAGAGGAGACGCAGCGATCCAGTTCTCGACAGCATCTCCCTGTTGGCCCATCCGGCAGCGGTCAAGAACCTGTCCTGTCGAATCTGCCTCGCAGTCTCGCACGAGCATATGCCAACGCGCCGGTGGTAGATCCTATGCATGCTGGGAATGGCATCACCTCGGCGGACTGGGACTCCGTCAGCCCCATACAGGCACGCAGCACTTCACGCTCACAGTTCAGAAACCCGCAAATCGACGATCGCCGCCGGGATGTCATCTCGCCAATGCAGTCCAGTCCGCAATCGAGTCCGGTCGGTCCAGGACCCAGCATTGCCTTCTGGCCTGAAACCGGAGGGATCCCTCCAGGCTTTGGAAACTACGACAACGACAGTAGCAGCAATGTTCACCATTATAACCCCACGCTTACACAGCCAGCAAACAACAATCCAAGGCGGCCTTCGTCCCAAATCCGGGCCCCCAGCTCCACCGGCTCATACACGACGAGCAATAGCATCGCAGCCGCCGCCGCTCTAGACGAAGCTCCCGCCGTCGACGGCAACGAGGGCGCCTCCATGCGCCGTCTCCCTCCCCACATGCAATCCTTCCGCCGCGCCGCCGCAGCCGCCGCCGCCATCCAAGATGCGAACGCACCCGGTGCGCCCCAATCGCGCTACGATCCCTCTTCCTCCCGCATTCCCGCCCAACAACCACCCCCCCAAACCGCCCCCGCAAGTACCGCCACCCACCCCGTCACCGCCTGGCATCCTCCCGCCCCGTCTGCGCCCAAGCCATCCGCTCCCACCGGCAAACGCACCAAATCCCGCCGCGCCATCGTCTCGTCGTCTGGTGCCCCGCACGACTTGCCGCACCACCATCACCGCCGGCACAGCAGCGGCGGCGGTGGCGGCGGCGGAGAACAGCAACCCGACCGCCACAACATCAACGGCTCCGCCGCATCGCCAACCGCCCCGCGCTCCTCCAAACGCACAGGCATGTTCCGCCGGAACAAAACCACCCCCGACCTGCGGACATTGACATCGACCTCGACCAGCCGCCTGCCGAACAGCAGCAGCGGCCGCCGACGCGACGACGACGATTACGACGACGACGGCAACAACTCGATGATGGAGACGCGGAGCACGGTCACCTGGCTTGCGAAACGCGACCGGATGGGGGAGAAATGTGCGCTTATGTGATCTGACGAAACCCGCCCCTTCTCCCTTTCCTCCCTTCCTTCTTTGGATTACCTTCTTCTCCTTTCGAATCCCCCTTTTGATATCCTCTGTATATGCTCTTTTCTATTTGTCCCTTTTTGTTGCTTTGATCAAAAAAAGCCCGAGGCGCTTTTGGTTTTCCCTTTTTGGGATACGCGCGTGGCCCCTCCAAAGACAGGAGTGTGCGTATGCGTGTGTACGGCCGATTTCGGCGTGAGTTGGCTCGCGATGAGAGAGTACGGCCAGGCGGGAGTTGTTCGATTGCAAGGAGGACGACAATAAAAAAAAAAAAATTTACGTGCTTGATCCCGGAGGAAAAGAAACTCTCCTGACATGTATTCCAAAAGCGAGGAAAGAGATTTTTTACCAAATCGCTATTAATTTTCCTGATCAGAGCCTGGATCAGTGTGTTTCTGACGAGGCACGCTTTTAAGTTGCATTCGTCGTCCTTACTACCATTTGTGTTTTTCTGTTTGCTTGATCACATGGAAAGACCCCGTCTTGTCTTGTCTCGTCGCCTCGCCTCAACTGGCACACGTCAAGACCCGGCTGCTCTCGAATACAACATCTCAGTCCCCTCCCTCATCGTATTCTCGACACCCTTTCCAACTCCTTTCTTTTCGTTCTTCTCAGAAGTCCTCGAGCTTGTAGACCTCGTACGCCGGGACCTCATACGGGTGTGTCCTATACACGAAAGGCACATAACACCGATCAGCAAACTCCCACGGCCCCCTCGAGCGCGGGGCACAGAAGAAATTAAGGAAAGAAAGAAGGGGGGCGACGAACCCCTTCAACGCGCCCACCGCCTTCCGCACCCCCTCCTCCCCCCCGACACAGAGGATCTCCACCCGACACTCCTCGACCTCCTCCAGAGTCCCGACTTCCCCGATCTTCGGCTTCGCCCCGTTCCCCGGCCGGAATTGCCCCGTGCCGTGCGAGTGCCACGCGCATTCGCTGTACTTCCCCCCGGGATAGGTCCCCGCGCCCGTGGCGAAGATGGCGCTTTGCACGGCGACGCGCGCCGACGCGGGAACGAAGAAGACGAGTTTGTAGCGGGACATTTTGTTTTTTTGGATGTCTGGGGTTATCTCCGGGGGATAGGAGAGTGCAGGTTTGAGGGAGGGAAGGGTGAACGGTGCACGCGTGGGAGGAGTTGAGCGTCCGCTGACCGCTGCTACTGCCGCCGGCTGGAAGCTCCGATGTAGTGTGGGAGCTTTTAGTTCGCTTTGAGGCGCTACAACTGTGAACAAAACCTCGTAGAAGTGCTCTCGGCTTTTACGCTCTGACTCACTATGATGTATACCCTGTTTGTTCTCCTCTCCGATGAGGGATTAGACTAATTTCGATCGTTCTCATGTGCTGCCCGCGGCGATATCTCCGTAAATATACGTATAAAATGAGGGGTAGAGAAAGACGAGGTAGACGTGCATTCGCTGTGTCACCCAGCTGTATACATCCACTATTGCCTGCTTCTCGATCTCCGCATTTTACCATCCGAGCCGGGCATATCTCCATCTCATATCAGATCAAATGTCAGCATGAGTTCAAAAACATACAATTACGAGCGTCTGTCTCAAGACACACCCGTCTCTTTCCGCGTGCTGGAGCTGCTCCCAGGAGCGGACTCCGATCCGATCAGGTGCTACCTCCACATCGCCAATTGGGACGATCATCCCGAGTACGAGACCATCTCATACGCTTGGGGGGACCCGAACATCCAAGAACAAGTCATCTGCGATGATGGAGTCATTCATGTCACGAAGAGTTTGCACACTGCACTCACGCATTTTCGTGATCGCGACAGAGCGAGGTTTCTGTGGGCCGATGCGCTCTGGTAAGTCTAATTCGGCCTGTGTCGTTCCTTCCGTTGGAGGATGTTTCTCTTGTGACCGCAATTTGTATGCCCGCTGAGGAGCAATGTCTCTGACCAGACCAACGTAGTATCGACCAGAACAATCTGTCGGAGCGAGGTTTCCAGGTCAAGCACATGAAGAAAATATATCAGAACGCCCGCAAAGTCCAAGTCTGGCTGGGATCTGATGACGAGGCGTTCCAGGCTGAGACGGCGATCCGATCGATTGAAGCGATTTCCGATGCTCTGTACGCGAAGCTCGGACTCCAAAACGCAGGGAGTAACCACCATAAAAAGAAGACGTATCAAGAACTGCTGCTTCTACGTAAAGATAACCTGCCGACTCCTCAAGAGATCGGTATCGATCAAGGGTCGGTATATCGTGCGCTAGCATGGTTCTACTCCCATCGATACTTCACCCGCATATGGGTGATCCAGGAGATCAGCGCCAATGAGCAACGAGAGATAAACGTCGGAGCTTTCAAGACCACCTGGGACCGTTTGGATCTGGTCGCAAGCTACTTGGGCATCGAGCCCAGCTTGGTAGCGCTACCAGAGTTCGCCAATGCACACTGCTGGTGGGTTTCCACGATCGCAGAAATCACCTCGTTGCCTGATCGATGGCTGAGTATCCTCTATCTCGCATCGAATTACCAATGTTTGGATACCAGGGACGTCATCTACGGTCTGCGGGGTCTGATGACCTTGGGCACAGAAGAGGATCTGCTCGATCCGAATTACGAAAAGTCTTTGATCGACGTCTATCGCGGCGCAGTCGAAGCGGCTCTCATGCATTTCCAGAACACAGATGTGCTGCTGTATGCAGTGGGTAAGGCAAATCCAGCCTGGCCTTCTTGGATTCCTCGTTGGGACAAACCGATGCTTTTCCGCAATCCCTTTCGTTTTGGAAATGCCGCGTCATTCAAGCCAACCGGCGGTGGGTTGGCTTCTTGGAAAATCGATAAAGATGCGAATGAGCTTAGTCTGAAAGGTTTCATAGCCGGTCGCATCGAAGTCGTTGAGACCTACAACCAGCGTTGGTTTGCTGATGGTATCCTCGATGTCGCAGGAGAGAGAAGCAAATTGAAGCTGGCATGGACCAAGCTTCTACAAAACCTGAGCCCGGCTCACCAGACACCACAATTGGGAGAAGACACTTTGACTTCCATGGCCGTCGCTTTGTCGTTTGGCTTCGGGCGGATTCTCAATGAGACGGAACGACTCGAGACGCTCCATTCGTTCGTGGCATACCTCTTACTGGTGTTTGAGGATAACAGAGGTGCGCTCGAACGGTACATCCCGCCTACGCTTCTGCAAGACGTCAAAGCCTCTGATGGTCACGTCTTCGGGAAGCCCGTATGGGATTTCGACTATCCGGATGCGAGCATATTCATCACGAGTCGCAAGATGATCGGCTGTGCGGTGTCAACTGCGAATGTCGGCGACAATGTTTTTGTTCCGCTTGGAAGCGCCTATCCACTTGTACTTGAACCTCACGTGGAGGCAAATGGGCAGAGTCATGGGATCTTAGGGTTCTCCTACGTCGATGGACTCATGTTCGGAGAGCTGGCAGAAACGGAGGTGACTAATGTCATGATCAGATGAATGATCAGATGAATGGTCCCCATTGGTCGATGTCACTATTTTCAAGGAGCACCACCGGACTCCCCATATTGCCTGTACCAGCGACGTTTGTATGAGCACGAAGTGAGAAGGGCATGGGCAAAATGGCCGATTGCGGCCCAAAGCTTGTGCTACACATAACCCCCGGCGCCACATATGCACGATGCAGACATTCCGAGGTCTGGGAAAACCACGTGGGAAGACCGAAGTCTGACAGACGCTCGGCTGACACGACTGTGCGACCTGGTTATCGTTGTCTATTTCCACGCTAAGACAGGTACTGGAGGAGCTGTTGTTGTATTAATAAAAGCATCAGCTGAATGGAACCAGGCGCCGGCGCTTCTTGAGATTCTGAAGTATCGACTGTCCGATTCTCTCTTCGTTGTGAATGCGCTCGACACGCCTCACGTAAAACAACATCGATCACAGGTAGTATGTTGTGTCTTTTCGATACCTTTTCCTGTAGCTATGTATACGTTTGGAGCCTCATGATCTGACAATGCAGGAGTAAGATCTATTCCACAAGGATCTGACCCGGCGAGTACGCCGACGACGTTCACGCATCCAGATGACGTCACTCACTCTCCGTTGTCTCTCACGAGCAAACGCCCGCGCTTCCTCCTGCTGGGATTGCGTGGACGTTGCGTGCGGCGGGAAGATCCGTTCGTCGCATGGCAGGAACGTGCCAGTGAGATTCGAGTCCTCTCTGATGTATGATTGTAGGATGATCTGCAGGTCGTGAACGCGGGAATTCGGGATTCGCAACGACATCAAACAGACCAGCTTGGACGATGGACAAAGCTCGACATGGTTGCCAATTTTGTCGCGTTCACGAATCATGTAATTATTTGTGACCGTACAGCATCATCCTGGTAGATTTGATGCGCTGGCGACAAGAGAGCTCATCCTCATTCCATCACATCGATGTAGACGGTACTTGACATCCCACCACGACCCACCAAGATTTGCTGTCGTCAAAGTAGCCGCCAGCGCCTGCAAAGTACTTCATTCCAACGGAAGCGTGGCGATGCAAAGCACGCGTATATCTCTTGAGGAACATTCTTCCATGTCCTCAAATACTGTATTCCCTCTTGTTCCTATTTTCCTCTTGTGTTGTGACTGTGAACAAGATTATTACGAGTTCATTTAATTTGGTTGATTCAAAGTACATCATTCCTCGCATTATAGAACTTCGCTACTACCAGGGACTTTTTTGGAGCCAGCGACAAGAACAAGTCAAACAAGAACATCTCCAAGTTGCCGTTTCCTCGCGCTCGCATATCCCCACAAGATAGACTTCTTCGGGAGGTGGTCTCAAGTTGTTTTCCTGTCGGAGCAATTGCGAACTCCAACCATCGTCAACAACAATTTGCAGCCAGTCATTCAAGACCAGGTGCGACATGGCGTTCGGTCGGTACAACACGTAAGTTCGCGATCCCGACCAATGGGTCTTGCAAGCGCGCCGAGTCGAAAAAGAGGCCTGTTTGCTGATGCACGCTCCAGAGAGATCCACGAGCCCTCGCAGCCGTATCACATCCCACCACGAGGCAACTCCCAACCATACCACATCCCTCCGCGCGGTAGCTCGCAGCCGTACCACATTCCGCCACGGCACGCTTTGCGGTCGTACCACATCCCTCCGCGGCAGTACCATCAGGACTCGCTTGGGATGCCACTTCACCAGTGCGTCTGCGGATGTTCTCCCGCGGGTCTCTTCGGACGGAGCTCCGGGTATCAAGAACATGGACGCTATTCCATCCCTCCGCCATCGAGGCACCGGGGTCTTCCCACCTACACCCCCTTCGCCGGACTGGAACCGCGAGCGGCTCTGAGGGATGTCTATGTCATCCGACCGCCGGCGTCGCGACGCTCAGGTATCATCGAGACCTTTTTCGGGACCATTGCGTATAGGCCGAACCGTCGCAGGGTCCGAGTTTCGGTTCGGTACTAGATATTAAAGATTGCTTCTGTCTTTGCTTTGTGGGCTGGCGTGGTTCTAGAGGCTGCTTGGTGTTTACGTTTTGCTTCTTTTATTCTTCTGATTCGGTCCCGCTATGAGCTGCTTTGCTTCGGTGCAAGTTGGGCAGGGCATTCGAGTTCGATTTATTATCATTAGGTGGACATCTCACGATTGCATAGAAATAAGACTGTAATGAGCTCAGAACGAACTCTGTCGATGCCATGTCGCCAAGATGTCTTGGTGTGGAATGTTTGAGGTGTGAATCTGACGATCGGGATTTATGTAAGGCGTGACTATTACCATACGATCTTGTCCTTGTTGCACAAAGTCATTCCCAGCTGTCAGCGTTTCGTGCGAGGCGCCGTGTTGTTGAGCCACCACGCGTGTGCCTGTGATGACCACACGAGACGGCGAAGTCGCGTGCGTGCGTATTCCGATTTCGAACAAAGCGATACTTTGAAAGTCACTCTTCACTGTCAGATTGTTAAAGTTGTGTTGATGCACGCCATCTGCGTTTCTTGACAGCGGTCGGAAAAGAGGCAATGGCGCCGCCCTGCGCCGGGTTCCCGAACGCCACTCTTGAGATCACTCCAGGCCAAAACACGGTCTTCTCGGGGTTCATTTTTAGGATCCCATTTGAGGACCCCGATGTGCACCGAGTGTTTTTCGTTCGTCGTCGTCAAGACTTCACGAGAGCTGCTATCATCGCCTATATGAACCACCAGGCGCAAGCGGCACCGGCGGCAGCGACGGTGATACGCCTCTCCTACGCTCTTTCTTGCCCGAGGAGCGATGGTGATGCGAGTGATGATCATCATCTCGGTCGTAATCTCTCATCATTATGACAGCTCCACCAGGACTAGCGCTGTGGCCACCAAACCTGGGATCAGCAACGATAGGGTCGTCATTTGCTGGCAGCGCCACGTCAACGAGGTTGAAATAATACTCGAAGATGGTCGGATACTGCTTGCATGCGGTGCGCCAGTCCGCATCGATGCCAGCTTGGAGCTGAGCATCTGCACGCCGCATGTGCTCCTGGACCATGTGGATCTGGGCGGGCGTGAGAGGCGGCTTTCCGTTGTACTGGACGTAGAGGCTGTAGTATGGAGAAGAGCTGATCATCGCGGCGTGGTGAGCTTCTAGACGGAGGGTACGGAGGTGTTCGTATGTCCGCAACACCTGTGCGCGTGTGTGCTCTAGGCACCATTCTCTGTTTCAAATGATCAAGTTAGATACCATCCTGTAAAACAGTCTTCTCCCATTGTTTCCAGCATCAAATCACTTGATAACTTTTCACTTTCGCTTTTCCTTCTTCTACCAAGCATGTCCGAAGACTCTTTGCGCGGTCCACTTCGGTCAGCTACTCCAAGTCAGGAGCGCAGTCGTCGCCACGAATATCAACCCATGCCTCCCAACGAAAAGGGACAGTCCGCTTACCGGATTGCCCGATATCCTCTCCACTGCTGCATCGCCTGATTTAGCGCAATCTCAACACGGTTGTCTTCGTGACCACAATCGGCACTTTCCGGTGCACCACAAACGGCGCAATTGGCCACAATATCGGGCCGAGGCGGTGCTGCGAAATTCATGATAGTGCCTGGCATCGGGACGTCTGCTTGTGATGGGTATCACTCCTTTCTCTTCTCTTCCAAGCAAGCTTGTGGGATGACGCGATGGTTATTGTGGCCAAGTTGAAGCTAGGCTCTGTCTACGCGAAGGTGAGAAGTCGTCAAAGCAACAGTGCAGTTTTAAGGCTGGTCGTAGGCAGTCTGCGATGTGGGCGGCGGGCACACGCACTGGTAGACGATGCGCTGGTGTTGTCGAAAGTGGACTCGTGATATTCGCACGGGACTCGACGGGATTATATCACGCGGTTGCAGGTGGAGAGCGACAGATCCGGTAGAGAGCAAAGACGCGGTGAGAACATGACGACGTGGAAGCAGAGAACCGCGAGACCGGGATCCAAAGTGTGGATGGGAGTGAGTGACAATAATCTTTTGAGATGGACCACTTGGGAGGAATATAATGCAAGGTCGAGGGATTTGTATTGGTACGGCGCAGTACCGCAATGAGACAATGCTGCAGGATGATGAGACGCAAGGCACTAGAGGATCCTCAGGGCTTGCATATGCTCGCAGTACTGATGCCCATAATAATGATAACACGACAATCCTTGCCGCCTCGCTGGCAAGTCTAGGTCGTTTCTTCCCACCAGGGGATACAGCCCGGTGTGTACATTATGCAGCCAGCCAGAAAGTGACGATGGTGGGACAAGGAGGGGATGAACAGAGACTGAAGCGTGCATCGGAGTTCTCTCGCAGACACCAGATCCCACCAGGAAAATAACCAACCAGCCCCGCGCCATAACTACTTGCCTAGGTAGGTAGGTATGATTCGGTGACCATTGATGGGGGAATAGCGCATTGAGATTGGACACAGGGGAAATTACCAACGCCTACGGGCGCCCGCCGCGCTCGCATCAACAAATACATATCATCATCACTGGGCATTCATGCGTCTTTTGGCGCGCCGCTTCCCGCAGCGACCACGCCCGATGCACATCATCTCGGCTTTCGAGTGATCAGTCAGCGGGAATTGCTCGGGAGTTGGGCAGAAACGCCACACTTTGGCTCCAAAATGATTACGCTGTCGCCGCGCAAGTGTCGATGTGAGCCACGACGATCGGATGGGACACCAGAAGCAGGATGGCAGAGGACTGAAAGGCCATGGGCGGCTTGCATCTCACGCGGTGAGAACACACTGCCATCATACCGCGACGTGTCCTGGGACGACCTCCATCTACTTTGACTACACTGGATACCTGAAGAGCAAATGTTGGTATGTCTACCACAAGTGCGTGATGACCACGTCGTCCCGCCTCCCAGGCGCGCTACCGTGGTTATCAGCATCGCGTGTGGTTGATTGTCACGACTTGGCATGTTCCACGATAGCGTTCCACGTACCTAGTACATCAATCTCCCGGGTACTGTAAATGCCATGTTCTGATCATGGAGAGATACTGTACATTTGCACGCGTTCTCACCACACGCAGAACTTGGTCATTGATGCCAGCTCATCACCAAAGTATCGCTACCGATTGCCGAGATTTGCTCGCTAGTACTCCAAAGCATAGTCAATTGCCGACAGAAGTTCCTCCGCTGTGGTGGCCGTGGTGGCTGCTAAAGAGGCGCACGCAGCGACGAGGTCTTCTGAGCCCATGTCAACATCGGTCACAATTCTGGTCGTCTCTATGCCGACTTCCAGATTCCTACTGTCTCTTCACTTTGGCTTTCGAGAGGTTCCGCGACCGCCAGCCGAGTTATGCCCTCGGCATCTCGAATGAATGTCGCAAGATCGCCGCTCTTTCTACTCAGCTATATCCCAAGCGGGAGTCGGTCGATCTACGCAGACACCAAACTTCGGGTTAACAAGACACTCATGAATGATATACTACGGTCTGGTATTCATCGTGGAGCAGTAAGTATTTGTATACATCGTGGGAACGTTGTTCATTCTTCATACACATCGTTCAGGCATATTGCCTACCTCATCGTGACGCCAAGACAAGGGACAGAAATCTCAAGACCGGGCAATCCTATAGCAATGGCGCAATGCTGCTCCTCAGCAACCAAGCCCGGTCGGCAGTGATACCCGCCCGGACGTAGTCTCTAGCTTTTTGCAACCATGGCTCCCGATCTGCGGCAGTACAGTTCCAAATGCTGGCAGGCATGAGCAGCATCCACAAGGCGCCAGCCAGCACAGCCACCCTGCACGCAAATTCTTCCGTGACGATGCGCTCTCCCGCGGTGCGGCGGTACGCGGTCAAAAAGGACTTGAGCAGGCCGCGATCCGCGCCGTGTTTGGCCTCGATGACGATCGCTTCTGCAACCCAGAGTCGGATATCGAAGGCGGGATCGGCATAGCCGCTGACCTCCCAATCCACGACCGTGATCCGTGGCCGAGAGGGAGAGTCACTATTCCGTAATAGAGTATTCATGGGCCGGAAGTCCCACGCCGTCAAGGCACGAACGCATGTGACGGTCTGATACACGGCCGATGCTTGATCCATCTCCTGTTAAGTGAATTCTCCCGAGGCCGAGAGGATGTGTAGCATGTTGTTGCGCTCCAAACCCTCCACCATGGACGCTGTTGCGTTGGTGCAGTCCTTAATCTCCGCATCATCCATACTGGTCAGATGCAGATGGGCGAGCCATCGTCCCAAACTCGCGCCGACATATGCTGCATCCAGGGCGCAGTCCTCACGGTATGCGGACAGGAGGTCACGATTGCCCGCCCAGCTCATGATGACGGCTTCCTTGGTGGAGGTCACCACCCGCGGCACCTCGACAGCGGGCTCCTGTGCGCACGCGCGGGCGAAGGCGGCTGAGGTCAACGCACGTACTTCCCACTGCATTCGGTCTGCCGACATCTGCAAGGGCCCCAATTTGATTTGACTTTCGCCATACTTCAAGGTAAGGATCTCGTTGGTGGAATTTGTCGACTTGGATAAATAGTCTCCATCAAGTGCTTCTAAGCCCTCAATACACCACACATACGCCGAGTTGCCGCCTTGTACGGCCGTCGCCTTGTAACATCGCAAGTTGTGCTCGCGAGGTACTCATGAGCAGGTTGTTTCAACCTCAGGGGGTGTCGGACACTTCGGTTGAGATTTCCAGGGCTGCCATGATCGTTGTAGGATCCTGATCGTGAGGTGAGTTCTCTAAAGCAGGAATCGCGAGGACGATTATATACAACAACCCTCTGTATGGGTGGCCATTGATCGTACCCGTTGACACCTAGGCCATGGTGGGTCCTATCCGGAACTGGAAACTGCATGAACGACCGCGATATAGGATTGATCTTCGGTCCCTGGGCCACCAAGCGACGTGACGATGCTAGCGGACCAAATCAGTCTCGGAGTGGACCACTTCGATGATGATCGCGCTGGTTTGTACGCCGCTAGCGTGGATTGCTTTCCGTCATGGCAAGTTCATCCGCCTACGGTTCCCTGCTTATGTAAAATGAGGAAATGTACCACCAAGTGTTGAAAGCAACGCGATCTCGTACAGCAGAGCAAAAAGAGATGATGTGCTCGAGTGTGATGGTGGTCACTCCCGGATCGATCGCGCTTTGATGTGTACTGGAATTGTCAACCATGAATCTGGATTGATCGATAGTTTGGGTGAGCGCACCATGTCAGATCAAGATGAAGCCTCGTGCAAATGTGTTAGTCATCAATGGAATGGATGAGTGTTTTGGTGACTTGTCGCTGTTGGCCGGTTGATCGGGTGGCTAAACAGTAAAGCAGGCCTATCACAGACAAAAAGGCAGGCCTATTCAGCCTTCTGGAACAATACATTGAGTACTTGATGAATTTCAAAACGTAACGTCGTCTATTTTCCGGCGAGCAACACATCACGAGCCTACACCTCCATTCCTCATCTTCCAAGACCCAACTATGCGCCCTCGCTGGTGAAGTTGGTAGTAAGAAGGTTCTTGTTGCCAGGCAAGATGTATGGCTTGAATTTCGGTAAGCGATCCAGCGTCGCTTCCGAGAAACCCAAGTGATCCTTTACGATCTGCTTCGGCGTCAAGCCCAGCCACTGAGCGACGGAAATGTCGTTGTACACAGGCGCCTGCAGAATCTCCAGATACACCAAATCCTCGGTGCCGGTATTCTCGAGGTAATGGGCTAGCGTGGCAGGAGCGTATCCTGCGTCGCCGGCTTGGAAGTCAAAGGTTCGGCTGGAGCTGGGAGGGCTGTAGGCGGTCAGACGACCTTGACCTGCGATGATGAAGTTCCATTCGTCGGAGGTACTATAAGGGCATTGTTAGTCTTTTGTCAGGTGTTGTGAAGAGGGCGGGTGAAGATGGGCGCTTACGTGTGCCAGTGTAGCTCGCGCATTGCGCCGGGCTTGACGGTGAACAAGGCGGCGGCGAAGTCCTTGGCCACGGGGAAAGTCAAAGAGTCTAGAATCTTCACTGTGCCGCCGGGGACTTCCAGCGGAGCTTGCTTGGAGAAGTGGTAGGCATACGAGTTGTTCTGCGGGATGACACCGCCGGGTCCAGTAGCGTTCTGGGCACTGATGTTGGCAGGGGCCGGTGTGCCTGGGAAGATGTACAATTGGTTCTGCGGGATGTGATCGAACGCAGAAACATCGACCTGGAAGTTCTTGGCAAGAACGGACTTGGGCATGCGGAGGGTCATCTCGGAGACCAATGAAGTACCGTCCTCGGAGAACTCGCCAGAGTCAAATACGAGGAGAAACTCAACACCCTGACCGAACGCCTGGATCGAATGCGGGACACCGGCAGGGAATGACCAAACGTCGCCAGCTTCGAGGTCGTCGAGGAAGGTCTCTCCGGCTTCATTCATAGCAGTGACACGTGCACTGCCGTTGAGGATGAGGCCCCACTCATTGGTCTCGTGCCAGTGCAGCTCGCGATAGGCGTTGGGCGCCAGGTACATGTCAACACCAGCCATACGCTTGGCAATAGGGAGCACATCGACATTCTGCTGGCGGGCCCAGCCGGCGGAGGCGACACTGCCGTGACGGTTGTGGCTCAATCCCAATGGCCACTTGACGTTGGGGACATCGCCACTGTCGGATGCTTGAATACAGTGTCAGCAACACTCAACAGACACGGTCTCAGACTCGGGCTTACTTGGAGGAGCGAAAAGATCGGGGTTCTGGCGATCGATCGCTTGATTGCGTGGACCCGGGTCCTGATGCTAGTGTAAGCAAAACGCATGATCTGAGCGGATTTGCTGGGGTTTGGACGGCATTACTCACAGTCGGGGCGTATCCACTGCCGCGGATAGGTTGCGGGTTCTTCACTGTTGACAGATCCAAATACAGCCCGAGGTCTGCTTGGGCCTTCTGCGCCTCGGACAATTCGAAATCAGACTGGGGAACGACGGCCTTCTCCGAGCTGTCGATCGAGTAAGCAGGGTTGTATCCTGCCAAAGCTGGCGATCCACGAGGTGAACCCTTGGCACCGGGAGGACCTGAATTCACATATTGCGGTCAGCAAAGGCACATTTCGATCACGGGGTGTTTTGTCCTCGTACCCGGAGAGTCCTTGGTCGGAGTGTTGAGGTCGGCAAACTCTGGTGGCGCGGGGACAGTCTCCTGCGAGGCGCGAGGTCCGATGGGCGTAGGTGCCGGTATTGCCAACGCTGCAGGCGCCAACAGGGCCGCAGTCGTGGCGGCAAGGATGTAGCGTTGCCAAACCATGATTCGAGCAACCTTCGAGAGAAGCTTCAGGAGTCTTCAATGACCGACCGTGGCTAGAGATGGAGAACGCCCTTGAGGAAGAGGAATTGCGAAAGGCTGGGACCGGAATCGCTCAGGTTAGATCGTAATGGGGCATCGGGGACATCTTTCATGGAGAGGACTTGCTCGGACAATATATAGATTGCTTTCCAACCACCAGCACTGACTTGACCCACATGGTGGCGAGGACAAATTCATGTCCTCGTCGCAAGTGGTAGAGATAACAGGGGCCGAGTAGACGTAGACCGCTCGTTGCTCATTCAGCATCGATGAGACCCGCTGTATCCGACAGTAGGATCGCGTTTGTTGTTGAGTCTCCGTCATCGCTGGTAGGATCGTGCTTTTAGTGCGAGTCCGCGCGCCAGATCCATAGCGCCGGCAGTCGGCGGATTTGTGTACGAATTATCTCCGAACTGGACAAATGGAAGACAGGCTATCCGCGTCCCGGTCGGATGGGATGCCGAATGTGCTTCAATTTGATAGGAGACAATGCGACCAAGCCTCTCGTGTCGATTCTTACGTATACATTGTGCTGAGACAGGTCCGCAATTTCTCCGTCTCTCTGTCGCGTCTGTTTTGAACAACATCATGCACTCTTCATATTTCACGTGCGTGCGCTCTTAGTCTACGACATCGAGGTTGAGCCTACTGCCGAAGTTGGCTACCTTCCTACAAGAATGCGAAACTCATCATGAGTCATCCCATGAAGGAAGTTGTTTCGAAGGGTCCATGCGATCTCGAGGTGATCAATGAGCAACACTAGCAATCCTGAACGAATCGGAAGCATTACGGTCGAGTCGAAGGATGCACCATCTGATCCTCACGATCATAGCGATCGTTCCAGTGATTAGTATGGCGGCTCGCCGTTATAGCCTATTCAGAGCTCACCAACAAGCCGCTTAGCAATGATGTGGATCCGTATGGCTCATGCCAGATGGCCCATGCCAGACTGCCAGCCGTGAGAAACACTTCAAGATTATTACTTCATGTGTCTGTCATTATGTTCAGATGATCGTCATATTCAAACCTGGAAACCTTCAGCGTAATCCGGTCGGTCCGAGTGCCTGCTGTCGGGCGGCCCGCGCGGGCGTGGGCGAACAATATATGTCACCGCCACAACAACTTGAGATATCCAGGAACATAGAAACTACGCTTTCTCCCTCTCTCTCTCTCCCTCACGTTTTTCCTGATATCACCAACACAAATTCCGAATATCATGCACTGGATTCTCAGGCGTCGGCGGATTGCCAAGCTGCAAATGTCCTTCGTCTGCTTACGTTCGTAAGTCTGACATCTTGGCAATTGCTCTCAGTAATCGTAGATTATGCTGTCATCGGGGAGAAGACGTCCATCTCAACGTGTCGTTGGCTATTTGCATCATATGGGGCAGATGATGTTCAATCGACACGCGTCACTGGCCTGATTGGAAATGCGTGCCGAGGCCGGGAAAAAGCTTGTGCAGATGATTGTCGTGCTTGGCATCGTTCGGGCTCACGATACTGTACTGGAAATGTTTCCCCACGAGGAAATTTGCGTAAGAATAAAAGCACATCGGCGGCCGGTCACGCGATATATTATCCATATATTCACATTTTGCTGTCACTCCAGAAAGGGCCACTAGCATCACCGACCTTGTCAAATTTGCGTTATTACTTTCAACCGTGGCTTCGTTGGGATAATGTCAGTACGATATTTTACTTAGGTAGTTACGATTCCAAGCTTATTCTCTCCATTGTGCGTCATTTATGTTGTTGTGCAGCAACCGCAAGCACCAGCCGCAGGAACCCCGACCTTTCCTTTCTGCAAATCCACCTGCAGGGATGGGGGTGGACAGACCCCACAGTTGCCTAATCTCACTACAGCGAATCTTCAAACAAGGTTGGGAGACTCGGAGAGCCAACGATCGCACAATTTTTCAATATGGCTTCAGCAATTACTTCTAAATTGCAGCACCTATGGGACGCTGCCGTTGAGATCTCGGCTTGAGGGACTGCGAAGGAGACGTGGGCCCAACTTGGCAAATGTTGATTTTTACACCATCTTCATCTGACCACCAACACATCGCAAGGACATGGCTTATCATCCGCCATTTGAATATTCCTGGAATTTCTTCGGAGTCATAAGATTGGCCAGCGAGCTTGGCACGGTGTTGGCGTGGGCATGCGCCCTCGAATAATCCTTGTCACTGTCCATGGTGTTGTACGCGTCCTCATGCAAGTGGCGGACTGGGTATAATCTCACGTCAGCACCACTCGCGGAAATCTTGACGACCCGAAACGAACATGATACGCATTTGCATGTTTTCTATTCACTTGGACAAACGTCATGGTGCAGGCACACGTGGGAGAAGAACTATGCGGTAAGCGACGCAATGCAGCGGCGCGTGGTCGCTTTGCTGCGGCCATATTCACAATCAGTATCCTCGCAGTCGCAAGTGGTTGTAATAATCATCTAAGGTTTCGCTTGACCAGTATCGTCGCAACTTCCGGGTGCGCGAGAAACCCGCAGTAGCCGATCCCGAAACACATTTCCACCCAAGAACCAACCGTAGACGATTCCGGCCTCTTTTGGTTTCTGACACAAGCCGTCCTCTGAATCTTCCGCTCTATCCGGCTCAGAAGCGGCTTATACCATCGTGTCCTCATTGCTGCCTTCTTGTTCGATCAGAGACGTGGTAGGAGAGGACGCCTCGTGGCCCGCATGTTTCCTCCTCCGCAACTCCCCATCATTGTAGGTTGCTAAGCTGTCGATGTTGTCGGCACATGCGAGTAATAGGAGTGTCAAGCCGACGAGAAGTAGGAAAATCAGAAGAAACAATGCCACGGGCGTCATTTGGCGCCAGGAGGAATGATTCGCTTTGTGGAAATGGACTTGAGTGATGTTTTCCGTAGCCGATAGCTTGCGGCGTTCTTCCGATTGCAATTTAGGATCGCAGGCGTGACCCGCTGTTTGTGTTCGGAAAGATAGGTGTCAGATCGTATGCATGGGCTGAGGTCGCTGCAAATCATTCGGTCCTCACTTCATTTGAGCAGGTTGAAGTGAATTGATTGGCCTCACTGTTTCGGCGAGGACGCGCTTCGCCTAAACACAGCCTTGAAATCCTGAGAGCACTCGATGACGGACTTCCGAACAGCGAGATGCAAGCTCGGAGCCCAAGGTCAAAGCGAGGCAGGTACCACCGGATGGCTACCAAGCTCCTCATGCGGCTTCCCCTACTCAGGCCACGATTACCGCGCAAGTCCTTCGCAGGACAAGAGCTTGATGTGAGAATATGTCCCACCATTACTTTGTTGCGCTTAAGTGGTCATCAAATCGGCCTTTCTTCTCAGGAAGAGCGTCAACAATGATGCATTAAACCTATATCAATCGTCCAGACCTCAGCCATCTTCCATCTGTGTCAATTGCAAATCGTCATCGATAAGACTCTCCAACTGTGTAGCTGAGAATCCGCCGATGAGATTTTTCGTTATTTGGTTCGGGACTTGATTGACCTGATGAATATTTACAGTCACATGGAGAGGCGGTGGTGGTGATATTGAAATGACCTGTGTTGACCGACAGTGTACAGAGACGGTCGTCGGAGGTTGTTGTGTTGTCATGGAGGCACCGAGCCTTGGAGCAACAATTACACGTTCTGGCTCTTGCACAAGCCGAGTGTCAGCGACATCCAAGATATCAAGATCTTCAGCTGTAAAATCAAAGCTTTCCGTGCTGCTGAAGGAAGTGTCCCTCCATCCGGTACTTTTCGTCGTTATATCCTTTGTCAGTTCAAAGTCGGCAATCTCAGCGACACTCGTTTCTGCTGTCTCGGGTGGCATATAACTCAAGTCGCGGGCGATCTGTGTGCTACTGTCCAGCTCGTCCCAAAATGAGGCTATATCATCCATCATGGCATTGTCTATTATAGTCGATGCGCGTGTAGCGACGAGTTCGGGCTCAACTGGATCGACGGGAGAATTCGACATCGATCCTGTTGCTGGTACGCGCGTGGGTCGCACGACTGGAGGAGGTACGGAACGAGCAGGCGGAGGTGGCATCAAGAGCGAAGCGGTGAATGATTCTTTTACGAGCGGCGTTTCCGCCGTGATATTATCCTTCTGAGCAGGAACATCGTGTTTCGATTCTTCTTCGAGGGCGTCCAGAAGGGCATCATCGTCTATCTCATCGTCTCCAAAATCATCACTATCTTCCTCTTCCTCGTCCGCGGAAGTCTCCTTAGCTGATACAGCGACAGGATCGTTTGAACCATCATCACCAGTTGTCGGTCGTCCAAAGAATTTGCCCATATGCAGTTGACTGCTTTTATGCCCAAAGCGATCCAGTCGTCTCTGCGTGCCTAACATCGCCTGCTCTTTCAGCGCCTTATCCGCCTGGTCCTTCTCAGCCTTTTTCTTCTTCTTCGCCGCTTCGGCGCGTCGCTTCTCTTGTTCCTGCGCCCTCTCGGCTCGCTGTTCGAGCTCGATAGCTCGATGTAGCCATCTGGTCTCGAGGACACTGACGTTTGAACTGTTGCGAGAACGATAAAATGACTTGGCCTGTTTGGAGGTCAAGGCTCTCGATTGCGCGCGCGGCGCTGGTGGGGGCATTGCCGCCGGCATGTTGGAATCATCGTCTCGCAGACATAAGGCTCTTAAGGGAACATCACTCGGAATTGTTGTTGGCGGTCTATGGTACCAATGCTCACCCTACTGCAACGTCATCTAGATCACGACACCCAGACAGTGGTGCCTGGAGCGCGTACGCCGGGACGCCGAGCTCTTAGGGTTATGCGATCAGGCTGCCCCAACCCCATTGGCATCAGAGTTCGCCTTTGCATGCGATCATCACACCGATGCGTGGGATATTGCAACTGGTGACCAGTTCATGAGCGACACAAATGGGGGCAGCGGAAGATGTTGCGAATATTACTAAACCCGGAAATGGGTGCGGTCCACAGTTGGCCCGTCCGATGGTGCCTGCTCAATAATTCACGTGTCAGATTCCATCCCGACCCATCTCCTGGCCACGCGACCACACAATGGTCGTCGGAACCACAAACGAAGACATCGTCCGTCGACTCGAAGTCTACAATCACCAATCTAAGATGTGGATAAATTGGACGAGATTAATAGTGAACTGACATTCATGAATCTAGCCAGGCGTTTTCACAATGATGAACCGCGAGTGTGCTGTTGATGTCCTCTAACCCTGTGACGTTTCCACAAAAGCACTCATGCCCATACCCGTCGATCTCTAACATACAGCCGCACCGCAGCCTTTTGCGCGGTTGCTGACACAGATGTACACAATGCCGCCATCAGTGGCACTGCCGCCCGACTGACCGCACTTGACAGCAAAGCCTTCGATGTCGCCACTCTCTCCTGAAGGGAGTTTGCCAGTGCTGTAGTTAGCCCAGGAGGTGCATAGAGTGTCACCATCCTTGGTGATGCAGATGAATCGAGGAGTCTGGTTGTCACGCTTGCCATTGAAGGCTTCTCCGAGTTCAGTGGCGATGTAACCTTCAGCTGCAGCGTCTCCGGTCGCTGAAACAAAGGCACCAATCGCATAGGCGGTACCACATCCAGCGGTCTTCAAAGCGGAGTGCCTTCCGTAGTATGTGCAGTATGAGGTCTTGAGGATGTGGAGCTTGTTATCGCTGATGAAAGCTGCTCGTGAGGGAATTAAGTGCCAATTCATAGCTGGAGTTACGTTGGTTTAGTCATTCTCGAAGTCCCAGCTCGTATAGCGTTGCGAGATCGCGAGCCATTCGAACCTCGCCACTTGACGAACACAGAGTAGGAGCCAACAAGCGATTAAATCCGCAGGATGCTACCCGGGCGAAGAATCTACAGGACTGGGGCCGATAGTTATGGCTTGAGTAGAGCCGTAGCATCGCTAGTCTTACATCCCTCGGAATCTTGAAGGTTCTCGTTGCCAACGTCCAATGAACATCAACGCGCTGTGCATGATTCTGAGATACCTGAGATACTCCACAGTACTGTACACGTGAAGTCAACCAATTCAGTGTCGCACAGCTATGATGCATTCAGAATATCTCTCGCAGTTCTGATGAGGTACATGAGTCGCAGGCTGACTTCGGGGAAAGTCAACTGTGACAATATGCAATAACTTTCCGTTGTCGAGGGCGTCTGCGCAGCGAGTCCAATTCTGTAGCACCAGCTGAGAAGGCTCTAAACTGTCCTTCAGGATGATCATGTCTCAAGGGCTTGTCGCCTGTTAGTCGTGCAGAAGCAGAGGAGCATCACAAAAGTGTCGAAAGCCTCATCTCGTGTTGCCGCGTGTTCCGATCTAGAGGCAACCTGCTACTAACGATCGTCATTTCATGACTCAATGATGGCATGACGTCCGTCTCGCGTGGTCCATAATCGTCAGATTTGCGGTGTGTCCTTCGCAAGGTGCCCCAGCAGTCAACTTCGAGACTGCCTCGTCGCTCGTATATCGAGCAATCAGTACGGTCAAGCTGCAATGATGCAAGTTAAGATCTGACTGGGGTTTGTGCAAAGAGCACTTCGTCACCAAACGATATCTCACTTCTTGTACATTGAGCTTGATCTCGTACGGACGCAACTACCCTTGACTCGAAATATGAGGGATAAAGGACGTGCTGAATTTACTGGTATGTGTATGAAAATATGCCGATCACTTCTGACATCGACTGTGAGTTTTACACTTTCCGACTAGCTCAGCCTCATACTCGCTCCCTCCCCGAGCTAAGTCAAATTGCGAAGCTTTCCAACTGGGTAAACCAATGGGACCATTGCTGACGGGACCAAGGATGGTGTCTACATCGCTGTCGCCTTTAGTTGCTCCGCACCCTGTGCATGTTTTTCGCGATCTTTCGATGGAAGGAGCCTCCTTAATAGGTGCAGCTTCGACTGGCCTATGGCTTCAATCAGAAGCAGGCCGGTGTTGGCGTCCACCTTGGCACATGATACACCTTCATGACTGCACATAAATGGATCCACACCAGTCTTGATTTGTCGGTCTCGCGCAACTAAGTGCCTAGGTTCCCAGGTGGTATTTTGGCGACTGAGAGTGGAGTCTGGGTGCGAGAATACACAATCGGGAGATTGAGAGGATCTGATTTCTATTCTGAGGAACGTAGTCACACATTCAAATCGATTCTTGAGTGTGAGGTGGAAACTATCTGACCGTGTACTGATAGTTCTGTGCGCGCTCCGACTCAGTATGCTATGAGCACGAAGTTATCATTGTTCTCGAGGAGTTGCCAAATTCCTCGTGTCAAATCGGGTACTCGTTCTGTTGCGCGATTGGAACGCGAAGGTCGTTTCGCTTTATTCGGTAGACGCCCCAGCAATCGGAAAACATATAGCTTTGCATCTTTCATCGAGTAACGCTCGTTAGAAGAGACTTCTCTATGGATCTGAGTGGCCGGAGACTGCCCAGAAGAAGGCTGTAGTGATAGAGGATTGAACGCATTCAATGTTTTGTCCTTTGCCACAAGCGCAGCTGCACCCCGCTGTCGATCATCGTTCGCGCGCCGTGAAGTGACGTACGTCCGTCATTGCGCTCCACAATGCCAACTTCAGAACTTTGAAGCTTGCCCATCGTTAATACCTCGCAATATGAAGCTGTCGAACAATGTTCTGCAATATCATATCACAGCGACTCTAACACAACGCTGAACTGCAGTCTTCCCCATCGAGAAGACCCACGAAACGACTGTGACCGCGACCATGACGATCAGAGAAAACACATTTCTAGGACCGCCACCATGGCATCTCCGTGTCATGATTGTCGGCGACAGTATCACTCACGGTGGCGAAGCCGATTACACATGGCGATATCACATTTGGAAATGGTTCCAAACAACCGGTCTGAAGCCTGAATTCGTTGGACCATTCGTTGGCACTCAAGAAAGTGATCCTGCTAAACCGCCACAACCGCCAGGCATTCCTGGAGAGCCGTTACCAGGCGATTTCGGTCCACGCACTAAAGGTGGATATGCTCTCGGATGCGAAGATGAGTTCACTGGCGGGAAAGGACCAGGTCAGATTGGGGAGCACGGCGAGTGTCGCCACTACTCCATGTGGGGACGACAGGCAGCTCAAGCGAAAGGCTCAATCCGAGAACAAGTCGAGAAGTACCAACCAAATCTCATCTTGTCCTTACTTGGCTTCAACGACATCGGTTGGTGGGTAAGTGATGCCAACGGTACCATCGAGAGCATGCAGGAATTCGTAGCCGAAGCTCGAAAAGGCAATCCAAGAGTGCATTTCGTGCTCGGTAATATAGTCGAACGAAGCTTCATGGATGGCCGACAGGACTTGGTTGACAACACTCTGAAGTTCAACAAGATGCTTAAGGAGAAATGTCCTGAATGGTCCACTTCGGAGAGTCTGGTAGCATACGCCGATATCGCTGCGAATTACTCATGTGGCCCACACGTACCTGATCTAGCATCTTATGATGGATTACATCCCAACGCTCGCGGCGACATCGAAATCGCCTATGGCTTTTCGGCAACGCTGCATGAATTCTACAAGCTTGGTTCCGCGCCGATGAAGCTCCCAAAGGAGGACGAAATTCCGAAACGTGCTCTCTCGCCACCCACCGAAATCATCGCATCTGGAGCCCCGATGGGTGTCAAAGTCGTGTGGAAACCAGTCTATGGCGGCCAATATAACGTGCGTAGCCGAGTCAAGAACAGTGGTCAAGACTGGGGAGAAGGTAACGCCATGGGGCCACGCTTCGACACGACTTTCACCGCCCCCGGCGTTGAATGGGAATATGAGGTTCGCACTATTCACGGGAACAACAAAGGACCTTGGTCAAAGCCGCCGGTATCTGCCATCTCGACGCGCTCCACTGCGCCTCCGCCCACAAAAATCAAAGCCTGGCCCGAGAAAGAAGGATTCAGGTTGAGTTTCCACCCTCCCGGGCCAAGGAGCGACAAGTCACAATGGAAAGTCGACCGCTATGAGGTACGATACCACGATCACGACTGGCCCGGCGCTTTCATCTGTGCGTACGGCGCAAGAGGTCCGACAGAAGCCGTCTTTGACAACATGCGAGAGAGCGTCGGCCATCGTCATCAGATGTGGATGGCTACGTGGACCGATCCGGAGGGTGGAGGAGAACATCGCGAATGCCGACCTGTGATTGTGGGACAGATGGAGAACCCGACAGTGCCGAGTGATGTTCGAGCCGAAATTTCCGAGGACGGAAAATTGGTGAGAGTTGTGTGGAAGGGAGATGAGAAGCGAGCGGCGGGTTATCTTGTTCAGTGGAGGAAACAGGGCAATACTGGCCCAGGCGGAAACACGAGAAACGAGAACGGGGAAGAGGATCTGACGATGGATATGGACAAGTGTATTTCGTGTGATCGTTTGCCTGCCGCACCGGGAAAGTGCGAGTTCTGGGTCGTGGCGGTGAATGGTGAACTCGAGAGCGAACAGAGTAAAGTCGTCACGGCGAAGTAAGCCAGGTTGAACTTTTCTGATTCTGCCGCTGCACGTGGAAACTTTTCATGGCTCGAAATCAGCCTCAAAAGAAGAATTGTTAATAAAACATGATGTAATTTTACAATGAGGCCCCCCTCACATGAATAGATAAGAGAGGAAGGAGAAAGCCAGCATCAGATGGCGAACAATGCCTACTTGCTCTCTTCAGCGGTGGGCTCCTTCTTGCTACCGCCGAACCAGCCGAGGGCACCCTGCTTCATCTCCTTCATACTCTGATCCATGAGCCTCTGCTGCTCCTCCTTCTCCTCCTTCAGCCACTGCTCTCCGTGCTCACGGATTTGCTTCTCCAGAGCTTCGTATTGCTTTTGACCTTGCTCACGGATCTGATCGATGAGCATCTTGCCCTGAGCCAAGCCCTCCGCAACACTCTGGCCATCACCGAGCACCATGCCGCCACCCATGCCCTTGGACGTCACACCCAATGAGCCCGCGAGGCTACCGACGGAGAATTTAGGCTTCTTAGAACGCTGCGACGAGTTTTGCTCCATGAACTTCGCACGGGCAATGGCCTCGCGCCGAGCGAATTCCTCGGGAATGTTGGTGCCTTCGAACGATTTGAGGACTGTGCGGACGTCCTCGGTGCCCATGGTAGCGATGTACTCGAGGAAGGGGATCAACGCCACAAGGTCCGCAGCGCTGGAGTCGGCTGTTCCTTTCCATCCAGGTAGGACGATAGCGTTCTCGGGCTGATTCTTTACATGGGCAGCGCGCGTGTCGACAATAATGGTTTTTGATAGAGGTCGGTTGAGGTATTCAAGATCCTTGACATATTCTCCGTTTTCGTACCGTGTGGCTTCTCGGCCTAGTGGCCACATGATGAAGTGGAAAGGATCAAGCTTGGCCATGACGCTATCGGCCATGTAACGAGGAGAGGTGGTGAAAAGAACCAATTCATAATATTGCGAGAGATAGCGGATGAAGTAGTCGAGACCTGGTCGTTTTGCCAAACGGTAGCCATTCTTGGTGTCCCAGGTAGTGTGTACCATCAGATCCTCCAAAGAGAGAACCAGGGTGTATGGTGGAGCCTGGTTTCCTGGAGGGATGTCTGGCAGAAGTTTTGTGAACGCAGGTTCGGTGTAATAGCCCATTGAGTTGCCCATTCGAGCACGGATACGAGCATACATGCTTCCAGGGCTCCAGGATCGGGCGTTTGATGCATCGAACCCTTTCGGTGCTGCTTCTCCGGGGTTTGTGGCTGTTGTTCCGTCCTCAGGAAACGGACGCGCCATGTAGAGTGCACTACCGATGGCAGCGATCAAGGCGGCGGCGAAGCCGTACTGCGCCATTGCATTGCGTCTGCGATCTGTAGACGTCTCGTATGCAGACGCATCGTATTCGCGATCTCCCTTTTCCCTTCCTCGAACAACCTCCTCCGGCAGATTAGCCACATCAAAATCATCTTTTCCCTCGGACTTGCCTTGGCTTTTCTTGCTGCCAAATTCAAAGTCGAATGTCGAGGGCAGACCTTGTCGAAGATCGGGGAGCGGTGTTTGTGGTTTTTGTGGTTCACTCGCGTTTTCTGGTGCTACTGTGTTTTCCGAAGCTGCGAGACCGTCTTGTGCTGTTGCTCGCGCGGAACCCTCGACGGGCTCATCAATATCCTTCTTTTGAGCGACGGGCTCCTGCGCGGGCGTTTCTTTCGCTTCTGTTGCTTGCCTGGTCACCTCTTCCTTGGGTCGCGATCCTTGCACCGGCGAGACTGTTTGTGATGCTGCCGCAGCTAGAGGTGCCCGCGTGTTGAGTTTTGGACCTTGCGAGGCAGCCGGAGCTGATGTCTGGTCCTTTCCAGTTGATGACTGCGATGCAGCTGGAACAGGTCGCGTAGGAGCTCGGGGCGGGGGAGCAGGAGGTGGAGCGCGCGGCGCTGCTGCTGACGGCGCGCGAGGTGGAGGGACACCTTTCCGAGGCTTGTTCCCTGAAGCAAAATGCCGTGATGTGAATGATGATAGGGATACATTGCTAGGATATGCTCGCGATCGGATAACAATCGAAGAAGGCAGGCTTGTGGGCCGCAGAGCTCGCATGGCTGCAGCTCGGGGTAGCATCGTGAGAGAATTGCTCAACCTATCGTCTGATCATGAGTGAGATGCGGATCGCGATCTTGACCGGCGGACGAGATATTCCAGCGCCGCAAATGTCGCGATGAAGGATAGATTGACTGATGATTAAATGGCGACCTCGGGATGATGTAGGCGATGGGGAGAATTTCTAAAGTGGTTTAGGGTCAAAATTATGCTGACCACGGTTCGACAAACGTCACCGGAATGTCGAGCGCAACTTTTGGGGAAGGCGATTTCACGCTCACCATAACTCATGTTCACGTGACAGACCCAAACGACATCTTGTCCTCGAGTTTGCGCGGGTTTTCGTTGTCGCAGAGCTCATGATTGGCCGATGCAGCTATTCGCACGGCCAGGCTCGACATGGCCGCTCATCGCATTCGTCGTGGCGTCATGGCCGACCAGCGTGTGTGGCATGACCGCTGAAGAAGTCACAAATCTGAGGTACGAATGAACATGTGCTTTGAAGTCGCGTCCTAGAAGAGTAGACAAATCTGACCTGAAATCAGACAGGAAACTGTCGACCTCTTCTACCACGGCTATGACAATTACATGGCCCATGCCTTTCCCGAGGATGAATTGCGCCCACTGTCCTGTCAACCACAGACTCGCAACCGCGACAATCCCGCCGACATTGGTCTCAACGACGTCTTAGGAAACTACAGTCTGACACTGATCGATTCACTTTCAACATTGGCGATCCTGGCGTCGGGCGAGGTCACGTCGGTCTCGAAGAGAAAGCGCGATCCACTTCGGGACTTCCAGAATGGCGTTAAGGACTTGGTCGGGCTATATGGCGAAGGAACTGAAGCTGGGCCATGCGGGACGAGAGCGTGTGGTTTTGATCTCGATAGCAAGGTTCAGGTATTCGAGACCAACATTCGTGGGGTCGGGGGACTATTGTCTGCGCATTTGTTCGCAATGGGAGACCTACCGATTCACGGATACAATCCGACCTTCCAAAGATCCAAACGAGGAGGCGAATATGTACAATGGAAGAATGGCTTCCAGTACAGTGGACAACTGCTCAATCTGGCATACGACTTGGCCTCGAGATTGCTTCCTGCCTTCAACACAACCACGGGAATTCCGTATCCTCGAGTCAATTTGCGACACGGCGCACCATTCTACCAAGCGAGTCTCGATCGCATTTGTCGACTCGATGGCAGTTCGTCGGACGTTCGAGAGATCACCGAGAATTGCGCGGCAGGAGCAGGCAGTCTTGTGCTTGAATTCTCCACACTCAGCCGCTTGACAGGCGACATGCGTTTCGAAAATTTTGCAAAGCAAGCATTTTGGGCCATCTGGAATCGTCGATCGTCCCTGAATCTTGTCGGAAATGGCATCGACGCAGAAGATGGGCAATGGACTTCGCCGCCGCTGGCCGGCGTGGGCGCAGGCGTGGACTCCTTTTTTGAGTACTCCATGAAGTCTTACATTCTATTATCCAATCTGCCATACGACCACGGCCAAGCGGAGGCGCATATTCCAGAGAACTTTTTGCATGTATGGCAGCAAGCACACGCTGCAGTCAAACACCACATCTATCGTGACGGTGCACTAGAGAAACATCCTTTTTACAGTCAAGTCGATCTTGCGAGCGGTGCGCCTCGTTACACATGGGTCGACAATCTCTCTGCATATTATCCTGGTTTGCTTGTCCTCGCCGGCGAGGTCGAGGAAGCGATTGAATCGCATTTGCTTTACACTGCGCTCTGGACACGATATGGGGCGCTGCCTGAAAGATGGCACGCTACAAATGGTTGGATTGATCCCCACTTCCGTCATTGGGTTGGCCGTCCAGAATTTATTGAGAGCACTTTTCATCTTTATCAGGCTACACGCGACCCTTACTACCTTCATGTAGGCGAGATGGCTCTAAGTGATATTCGTCGGAGATGCTGGACAAGCTGTGGCTGGGCTGATCTCGCTGACGTCGAAACTGGTGAGCAGCGTGATCGCATGGAGAGCTTCTTCCTTGGCGAAACAGCAAAATACTTTTACCTTCTTTTTAGCGAGGACCACCCCCTCAATAAACTTGATCAGCCTGTGGTCTTCACAACCGAGGGTCATCCTTTGCTGGTGCCGCGCAGCGCATCACGTGCGATACCCAAAACTCCAGCTTTCAGCCCGCCTCAGAGTCACGGACGATCGTCTCAGCGCGTTGCGCAGACCTGCGCCGCTCCTCCATCTCCTTTGCCACTCACGAAGTCTCACGTTGCAAATCGTCCGGATCTCTTTCACGCTGCTGCAATGGCACAACTACATCTAGTTACTGTCGACGCCACTCGCCCTTCGCACGTGGAGCCACCCTCGGCGAACGGCCCTGGTATTTCCCTCAGCGACATCAGCAGTCCCACTAATTATACTTTCTACCCCTGGACTTTACCTGCATCTCTCGTACCAGCCAATGGGAGAAGCTCGAGTATTAGGACCGCCATCCTTAGCACCTTGACTTTTCCCAATATACAAACTGTCTCAAATGGTCAAAACGACCCTGTTGCCAGACTACTTGAGTCAGGAGGTATGGTTCCGCCGCAAGGTGCTATTCAAAAGTTGACTGATGGTCTGTTGATCACATCATTATCCAATCTACGCTTAAACCTGGTACAAGAGGTCAAGAGTTACCTTTTACCTGCTGGAGACAGTGTTGACGTGAACGAGTATCGAATCCAAGGAATCGCCAACTGGGGATTGGGCAAAGATGAACGCGTCCTCATTACAACAGATGCGCTCAGCAACCTAGGCAGTGACATCAACGACGAACATTTCCGCAGGGTCAAGGATCTTGAGAAGGTAGACCTAATTGTGGACATCCCGATCAAGAAAAGGCGTCATGGCGATACAAACAGTGAATGGATGTCTACAGAAGAGGTACTGGTCAACGCCCGTCAACCTATTGTTGCGACCAGCACATTCGATGTATTGTGGGATGAGCTCAATTCTGTTCTGGGTGGCCTGCTCGCTAGCATCAGTGGGTCCATGTCCAGAGCCGGGACGGTCGACGTAAGCTCGACAGCAACGCCTCCAGAACACACTTCTGGGGTGGTGGGAAACCCATCCGGTACATCACTTGAGGCAAGTCTCAGCGCTACACCGACTTCGAAACCTGCCTCCGCTACGTCCACTTCTGGACATCGACCATTTCTTCAACGACGGTTTGTTCCAGCATTTCTCCCGTCAGGGCCTGGCGCCGCGCCTTTGCCTCTGGCACTTGACAATTTCAACCTGGTCGCAGCCTCAAATAGAGGTAACGGTTATCTTCCGCTTACGAAAATCTTCTTCTTGCACAGCACCCTATGCAAGCACGTCCTACCCGCCTCCATTGTCATGAACTATTCCGTGCTCGTTGTGAAAAGAGGCGGCTGTTCTTTCAGCGAGAAGCTGGCAAACATACCTGCGTTCGTCCCCAGATCGAACAGCGGTAAAGTAGACAATCCCGACACGAGAGGGCTACAGGTCGTTTTAGTATTGAACGACTCCGACACGATTTCCGATGACCACGACGAGAGCAACGAACACGACGACGACGACGACGAAATGCACCACCTGCTCATTCGGCCCTTCCTCGATCAACCTCAACGCACACCCAATGGCTTCGAACGCCGCTATGGCATCGCCATGCTCCTTGTCGATGGCGGTTTCCGCGGCTCCGTTGTGCGCCCGGCACCTCCCGACAATGCACACCAATACTTACGTGACGAGCACGTCGAGGAGGAAGAAGAAGAACCATTTTTCTCCAACGCCGAAGCGCTCCGCCGTCTGGCTTTGCGTGAAGGGAAATTCGACACCGAAGGCAAAGTTGTGGAATGGGATGGGGAATTCAATATTATTGAGGCTAATGACCATAAAATCCCTCGAAAGGGCGCAGCGATTCGCAGAAGATATTGGTTTGAAAGCTTGGGTATGGTGATCTCGAATTTGGGCATGTTTTGAGCAGGAACATGATTTTCTGGCTTAGGTCGTTTGGATAGTTCAACGACTTTTCTGATATGGGCGATGTGTAGAGGCTTAAGAGCATCGGTAGCGATGGGGTCTTCAGCAGACTGGCAACACAACGAATAGGAATCGAACAGTGAAATGCGTATGACCATTCTATTTCAGAACATTTCGCCGCCTTCCTCGATGCGATGCTATCCCTCACGACAAGATGCAGCGCACTTGAAGAACATGTAAATCCTTTATCCACACACATGATCTTCCCACATAGTCTCCCCATCAGACCCGCCCAATCGAAAGGAAAGGCCAAAACCAAAGTCACCGCCGCCCGTTCGTAAAATCTTCATTTTCATGAACATTGCAACCCCAATCCTCCTTCCCGGACCATACCCAAACCAAGGAATCTCTCGGTAACGCAATTCGTCTCCCGAGCTGAGATTGTTTCGCCTCCACATACACTCTATGGGCCTTCTCTAGTCTTCGTTGTTTCCGGTTGAATTTCCCGAGGGTGCCAGAATGATTCTTGTCCAAAGTTCTGCCTCAGTCATCGAATCTCATCTGTTTCATTCGCCAGCTTCCTCCTGCACGGATTTCAGACCTCCGGTGCGAGAACGAGCCATGCTACCATTGCTACGCTGGGAGGCGAGCCAGGAATTCAGTTGGGCGGCGGTACTGCAACGAGATCGTGTCAGCGAGGTGCAACTGTGACTTTGAATATTCCTCGTGTCCAAGGAAGAAGAAGGGATTGTCTTACTTCTTGTCAGGCAGCGCCGTCTCTAGCGCGCTTTCCAGTCCAGTAGGTTCAGGGTTGCGGTCTTGCTGCTGATGCTGCTGCTGGTAGTACTGTTGTTGTTGATTGAGTTGTTGGAGTGCCTGCTGATGGTGGTATTGCTGCTGTTGTTCGCGTGAAAGATATGGAGGAGGAAGCTGTACAACAGGGTCAGCATGATGTCCTGTTCGAATCGTTTCTTTGTAACTTCTTGTTGCAGGGTTGTGAAGAATGAAGGAAAGAGAGAATAAGATGTTGCTGCGTCAATCTGTGCGCGGATTCCTCCTCCGCCAGGGAAAGAAAAAGGGGAAAGCTCTTTCGCTGTTCGCCTTCGCCAATTGCTGCTGCTGCCATCACTGGTGATGCTGAATGGGTGTTGCAGGATATTGTAGTAGATGAGCGGTAGGGACGTACGTTGTTGAGATGCCAGGAGTGACCATTCAAGTGAGCCGCGGACTATCGTAGTAGCTCAAGACAGAGTCAAATGAGTTGTTCCGCTGCTCTGGTTCCTCGGGTGGAACCGGGCTCACAACGTTGCGAACGTGCTCCGGCGGTTCCGGGCTGACCACGTTCCGACCGTGCTCAGAGGGTACTGGGCTCACTACATTCCGGACATGTTCAGATGGTGCTGGGCTAGCAACCCTCCGAGTATGTTCAGATGGCACTGGGCTGACCACATTCCGAGCACGCTCAGACGGAACCGGACTAACGACATCCCGAGTATATTCCGGCGGGGGCGAAGTGTCTTTCTTGACAGGACCAGCAGCAACAGGCGCAGCAGCAACAAAGGCGGCGAAGGACGAAAGCGGAGGCGAAGACGCAAGAGTAGCAGCAATAGAAGGACGACGAGGAGGAGAATTGGGCACGGAGGTAGACGCAGAAGAGACAACAGAATTAGAGGAGGAGGTGGGACGACGGACCTCATCACCTGGGTTGGATGTGGGCGCGGTAGACGCTGTAGAGCTGTTTTGCGTGGAGTAAGTTGCGCGATCGGCGGCTTCGGTTTCGTCGTCGTCGTCAAATTCAGTTTCGCACATGCTGGGTATGGCTTCACGCGGAGTACCTTGGGGGAGCGTGCGTGATTGGCCGGGGCCGGGAGGACCGTTGTGCCCGTTTGTGCTGCTTGAGCTGTGAGGGTTATACACGCTAGAGGACAGTTGATAGCCTGTAGACAGGGAGCTGGTGCGCGATGGCGGACTGACGGCTCCAGCGGTACTGGTGCTGCTGTTGTAGGTATGGTTTGCGCTGCTGATACCCGAAGAAGAGATGGCGCTGATGTGGGATGACCTTGCATGATCACGTGCCGCAGCATAATATTGCTGTTGGTGCATTTCTCGAGTGGCTTTGTCATCCGCTTCGAGCTCCTGGGGAATGGTAGGCAGCGGTTGACCATTGGCCATTGCTGCGGAAAGAGAGCCTGACATAGAGTGACCGTCATCCATGGGTGTGGGTAGCTCTGAAGGACGAGGGCTGCTGGCCGACAAGGCAAACTTAGACAGTTCCTCTGGGCTGTAGAGCTCTGGATGCTGCGTCATATGATTGTTACCGATGTAAGTCCAGAAACGGTTGGTGCGCGAACGGCCAGCGCCTTCTTGATACTGGTTCGCCGCAATGAGGTCAGCGAGTGACATCTTCGGGGAGCCATTCTTGTTGACATATTGCGCCATCTTTGCCTGGGTGTCCTGCCATGAATCTTCACTGCTGCTAGCGATGCTTGGCGCGGGACCATTGAGAGAAATATTGTCACCATCGAGTGATGGAGACCGGAGGTGGCGGTTGGATGTTCGTAGAGTCTGCTCGGAGCTGGAGCGTACAGGTCTTCGAGCATTCTTCTGCTGTGGGTTCGGCTCACCAAGCAACACTCGTGGGAAGCCACTGATCGGAAATCCATCGGGCTCCAGGCCGTCATGGGAGGACAGGAACAAATTGATCGAAGAGGCTTTGCCTTCGTCTTTCAGGGGAATGAAAATGTTCGCCAATCCAAATACTCTGCTTTCGATCATAGTGGCCACGACCTCAATGCCAATCGCTACGCGGAATGAGGCTGTAGCAGATTCCTGGTCAGGTTTGATCAAGAAAAAGGGCTCGAAGCCATCCGTACGTCGGTCCTTGAGAATTCTGCCCAAAGCAGCCATTTCAGAGCTGCCGTCTTCGAATCGACAAGAAATGCTTCCAGTGCAGACTTGCTCGCTCTTCTCAGCCGTTGCCTTTGATTGCAAGTCTAGGTAGAATGAAGATGCGACCAGTCGGTGAGCAACATTGCGAAGCGCCGCCATTCTGTGAGCGGTCTGCAAGCGCTTGCGCACATTGGCCTGCAGGTGCTCCAGGTCATGCTTGCTGTCCTGATTCGGGGGTTCTTTGTCCAGGTCAGGGTTGAAACGAATGAAGCGGCGACCCTTGGCCTCCGATCTTTCCTTGACCGCATATGCCCGGAAGTCTGCCCACTGAACCTCTGCATCTAGCACATCATCAATCCTACGTGCGCGCCATCTGCCCGATGTCTTCTTGGGTGTCTGACCAGCCGGTGGGATGATGGTGTCTGGCACACCGTCTTTGGGCCTATCAGACAATTTCTGCAAGATTGTGATACGGTTCTGTCCTGTGCCGAGTGATAGGAAGAGATCGGGTTCTCCAACGTCTGGCCAGATCAGGCGACGCTCACGATCGGCAATGAAAGCTGGGTTAGGGCAACGAATTCCACCATCGAGATAAGTCTTGTTGTGATGAATGAAGGGTCGGAAGAGAGCTGGGTGAGAGATCGATGCAGCCGCACTTTCCCACATCTTGAGTTCCATTTCTGGCTCGTGTGGCCGCTCGAATTTGTAAGCTGGGAGAAAGTCTTCCGGTCGTCGGTAGCTGGCAAGAAGCATGGTCTCCCTACCAGTGACACTCGTCGAGGTGAGGGCGACTCGCATGCCGCCTCTGAACCTGTCGGTCGTTCCGAAGAGATCATCGTCTTCTGTGAATGCCGTCTTGAGCGCTCCGTGTAGAGGCTTCGTCTTGTACTTCGGTCCTGATCCTAGCACTTGAGCGAGATGGCTGATAATCGGCAGGGCTCCGCTAAATCGAGGCGTATATGCATGATCGCACAGCACGGAGAACATGTCAATGCAAGAGTCAACTGTGCGATCTTTCATCGCCAGTGCAACACCAATGACACCACCCGTGCCTGTGCCGACAATGAGATCGAAGAAAGCCTGTATAGGCAGGTACCCTCCGAGGGCTTTCTCGATGGCCCGAAGAACTTCAAGTTGCACAATACCACGAATACCGCCTCCATCGAGAGCCAGAACACGGACACCGGCTCCAATGGGCTTAAATTTGACAACTGTCGGGTGTGCCCATTTAGTGGAAACGCGGTGAAGAGGACAGCATGCAACGCTGACTGAAGACTTGGTCTGCTTTCCGTAAGCTTTGATGCAAGCTGTGCAAATGACGTGACCGCAAGGTAATGCATGCTCCGGGACATCCATCAAGCAACAGAAACATGTCGCGTGACTGCAAATCGATGACGCTGGACCGACGGCCTCGAAGAAGTCATTGATGTAACCGATATGCAAATCCAAGGCGATGCGTTCTTCGGGAATCGTTTGGACTTCGTCATTCTGTGAGGCCTGCTCAAGTTCGTACTGGAAGTCACGCTGAATGCTGCCAATAGCCGAGCGGAGATGGGCTTTCCAGTGCTGATGAAAGTCCTTGTCGACGCCCGCCTGGTAGTCGCCGGTGGCAATGATGCCCTTTTCGTCCTGGTGGCCTTTCGCTTGATGACGAGCCTTCACCACCTGACACTGGCGGGTGCCGTCGGAGCTGACGTATGAACACGGGTAGTGCATTTCCAGATATTCGCCCATCGCCCAATCGAAAAACTTTTCGTAGTTGGTGAAAAGCTCATCGACTCGTCCCTTTCGGAAGCGGGCACAGTCCAGGAGAACGCAAGATGCGAGCATCACGCTCAATTGCTCAAACATCCATGCCACGCGTCCTGGTTGGTGATTTGGCTGTTGAGAAGAAATTGTAGCGCAGAGCTGGAGAATGTGCCCGCCAAAGTCGTTTGGGATGGGATTTCGGAGGAGTGAGATTTGCATGAAATTGAAAGGCACGTCGAGGTGCTGAGTGAAATGATCGAACCCGCTCTGGAGGTATGTGTTGAGCTCGTCCGCATTTGTCAACATGCGTGCTCTTCGCTTAGCTCGGAACGACTCCTCGCAATTAGACTTGATCATTCCATGCAGTTTACCCACCTGCTCGTTGATTTTCATGTAGCGTGGCTTGCTGGGAATCCGAATCACTTTGAACGAGCTGTAGTATCGCAATATCAGGTCCTCGACGGAGTATATATGTTTGCCAAGATTTCGCCAGTGGTCGGCCAATTCTCGGAACCGCGGCACACCTTCGACGTAGTCGAGTGCGCCCTTGACCGAGGACAGTAGGCTTTGCGTGGCGTAGTTGATGTCCCATTCTCGTTCGTCAACAGCGGGATCTGTGCCGTTGAGTGCAACGACACAGTGCGGCAGTGCCGGCTGGTTGATGGATTTCTCCAGTGCGCTGACACCCCATTCGAGGAGCTTCGTAAGGACAGCAGACTGGAATGTCTTGGGATTTCGTAGCACAAAGACGACACAGTCGGAGAATGTGTAGAGAAGGCGAGGATATAATGCCGTTACTGCGTATTCGCGCTGTTTGGACTCTTCGGTGTTGGCCCACTCGATTGTTCGAGTGTGCACGTAACCGGCCTTTGCCGGATCCCGCTTCTCTGGGTCGGAACCGGCACGGCGACGCGATCGCGCACCGAGAGGGACTCGCTCTCCGCCTTCGAATCCTTCGCAATCGGCGAAAAGAATGGGTAGCTGCTCTGCGTGGGTGGCTGGATCTGCATATAGATGAACATCTCCCGATGTAGGCAAAGTGTCGTTGACCACGCTACCCACAACCGGAGAAGGGAACAGCGCTCGGTTCGCGGCAGTAGCGGCCTCGATATCGTGGTTTACGAGCATCTTGATCAGAGTAGATTTTCCTGCATTGGTTACACCGATGAATGACACCAATTGCGGGTAGCGGTTGCCAGTGCCGTCGATAGGCGAAATGCTGGACATGAGGGTGGCATAACGACCAAAATCCTCGAATTGAGGACGTCCGGTAAGATCGCGAGCGACACCGAACCACTTGGTAGACTCATCATCTTCGTGAAGTTTTTGAATCTCCTCTGGCTTTCGTGACGGATGAAGAATGGTCTTTAGTCGTCTCACAACATGAGGGTTAGTTTTCTCGTGTGGGACACCGTCTCGTCCCTTCTTCTTCGGTTTATGAGGTCCTTGGAGTTCCCAACATTGACTGTGTGGCAAATCAGCAAGCGAATCCTAGCGGAGACAAAGCGAGGCTCGCCGATTGCGAACGGCTGCAGAGAAAGGCGCGCATACCTGCAGTATGAACTGTCGCAATCTACACAATGCCAGATTGGCGGGGTGGGCCCGTCGCAGCGGTCGTCCTCGCACTCCTCGGACGGCTCATCCGAGTTCTCGGAATCAGGATCCTCTTCGTAATGCCGAGCGTTGTTCGACATGACTGTGGTTCCCAGGGTCTTTGCGCACGCGGAAGATGGTGTATATGGTACGACTTTCTCCGAGTGCGTGTGTGCGCGGGTGCGCGCAAAGGCGGGTAGACGACCTGAGCGTCTCCTCGGTCAGGTTATGCTGTTGTCCGCATACACAGTTGCGTCCGCCGCAAGGTCAAAGGAGTGTGTGTAGAAGATGCTCTCAAGTAGATGATGCGCGGTGTGAGGAGATCTACAGATAGACCGACGCCGTGATGAGAGGGAAATTTGACGCCCACAGCCCTGGTAAATGATGGCAGGGAATGAAGTAGCACTGCACTGCGCTGTAATGCAAGCGGTAGGGTTCGGTAGTAGTGACGACGACCCACATGCGAACAAGCAAACACACAGCTGCGCGCAAGCTGAGAGAAGAACAACGAGGATATCGTGACCACCGGCCGGAGAGAAGCATATGTTACGGTATGGTACAGTACTACATACTCCACGCAGAAGGAGCAGCAGACCATGTGCGCGCGCACGCTTGACGTGTCCCAGACGTCCACGACCATGGCCACACGCATCCACCCACCACCACAACGCCACCCAGCTTTCGAGTCACTTTTCTGGTTTCAAAATTTGCCGCTCCTATAAGATGGCGAGATAGCTCTATTCACCGTGCGATTTCCACTTGATGCTTGCAAACCTGCATACATATCTCACTCTAGCATCCACCACCACCTGGGCTACCCGCGTCTGCTGGAGGGGGCGAGGAGAGCCCCCCAAATCAAAGGAGCAGCGGCGGGAGAGAGGGGGTCGGAATGGGCGCCAAATGCAGGGTTGCCAAACACGACTAATCCCACTCCGGTTGTCTAGTATGCCTTTTTGCGGCGGTCCGGGGCAGATGAACCGAGCGCACCTGGACGAAACCATACAATCGTCCGAGTTGGACAATCACGTATTGCTATGGACCAAGGACATCTGCAGGCATCGTCAGTCAGTCTTACTATTCGACCTCTCCTTTTTCGATGAGACAGCCGTGCAGGTCCCACCAACAATCGACACTGCTCGTTGCACATGCATTCCATCGGCAAATGATCCTCCGAGAACGGCCTGCCCACCAAGCGATAAAGTTCTAGCCCGGCATGCAACCGTGCTGATACAGGTCTTTCCGCCACGGACTGCTAGTACTCGGGTGATGTCGCGATATGCTCATCCACATGTATGTCTCTGTCACGAGTCGAGCTGCTGCTCGGGCGGATTTATGTTACGCGCCCCCCGAGACCAGGGCCTCCTTTGGGAAGGATGCGCCGGCCGCGCTTCCCAGGAGGATCGCGGTGAGGGCTATAGATCACGGTGCTCATCATGTGACAACCGGTCAGGCGGCTGTCCAGCCAAGAGATATGATTATCTAGTCGCCATGAGTCTTATTCACGACCACAATCTACTTCTAATCGGAGCTGCTGCATACAGATTTGAGTGAAGAGAATGTCCTCACTGTGTGCGGACGGTGAGCTAATGAAATCCATTCGGTATCCGATCGTCGGTTTCAATTTTCACTGCTGTGACGTGTGAGACGTGGGGTCACTGCTGTGCCGCAACTCTGTCAGACACGTCTACTTTGGTGAGAAACATGTTCAGATTGATGGTGACACCTTGAATCCCTTCGCAAAAATCGGCACGCCTTGCTCGACACGATGCACCTCTCGTGGAACCTGTCGTTTTTTCTTATCTTCATCGCGGCAGTGATGGCGGCGCTGCAAAGCCCAGCTGATAGGCCGTTAAACGAACAGTTCATCTTACAAGAGCGAAACTTACAAATGTGCCAAAGCGCATTTCCTGATCGCGACTTTAAGATCGAGCATTTCAACAACATGTATGACGATAATAGCCCGAGACCATTTGATCCGATGTGGCTGCCAACCGGCTTCTACGATGCCCTCGAGCGACCAATCTCGGAGGAAGAGTATGATCGACAAGTCGAGTACGAAAGGCGTACAGGTCTCCCGTATCACCGCGATCGCGAAGACGAGCAGAAGCGTAAGACGGCTCCGCTCTCGGTCAAGGCATTCCAACAGCATTCATGTTCGGGCGAACATTCTGCGGAATTGACAGCAACCGAAACTTGCTTGACCGTTCCCAAAGGAGTGGCTTTTCAAGTCGATAGTATCTCCAGCCTCTGTGCAATTTGGATCTACGCAGATGAAAAGTGTTGGTTAGATTCTTTTGAGGTTTTAGATGCCCTTTCCGGTGCGGAAGGTTGCTTCTCTCCTGGTGATTTCGGAAGTCTCGAAGTCGTCTGCTCGGACGAGCTTCCGGCCTACGATTGAGTGATCCCTCAACAGGGTGATATGTCTGTCCACAACGAAATTGCACATTCCGTACAGCAAACCAATGGAGAGAGTATCACCGATTTTCCATTTATTCCGGCTCCTATAACCTTCGCAGGGCCCGTGAACAGTATGGTACATGCGCTTAGAATTTGTAACTCCCTCCTCCGAATTCTCCGACTTGATACGCGGCTCTCTGGCGTTATCGCTGAGATCTACGCGAGTTTATCGACGCCACATCATCAGCCACATCCAGATTCCTTGTTTGCCGCTAACGATAGATTACCACAAGGCTCTCACATTGATTCTGAAAATCTCCCCGACGACGATGATCAGCATATTCACGAGTTCGGTAAACAAGGCCTTGGAGTTTCCTTATCGCTGCAAATATACCGCTCCCATCGTCTTCAGGATCGGACAAACTCTACAAGACATAATGACTGATCTTTGCGTGCACGCACGATGGCAATGGCTTCAACGGCCGCCATAGAGCGGCAAATTCATCCAACGGTGCCACTCCCGCTGCGCAAAAGTTCCGCCGGAGTTTGCGTATTCACCCTGATCGTGCTCATTCGGAAGAAGAACGGAGATTGACCGTTGTCGTATATAAGCTTAGCTTCTGCGCGACATATAACGCTGCTGTACAACACGTTTCACTCCGGAGATGGTGAATAAGAAGTAGGTCAAAGTCTATTTAGTGTTTGGAACGAGAATCATTCAATCTCTTTTCGGTTTGAGATATTTCCGGGACTCCATCTTGCGACAAGAAAGGCGCGAGAAATGTCACCAGCCACGCTCATCAGTATTGGACCCAATGCGCCCAGGTTCGATTGCACAGATCATGGCTTCGGTGTATCCACCTCGTCCTACTCTGCTCGAAGCGTGCTATATTTTCAGCACAACTAAGTAGCGGCGGTACAGAACCATCACCCAGTTCAAAATACTGTTCACGAACTCATCAACCGCACTATCACTTCGCCGTCAACAGACCCTCTTTCCTTGCCCTCTCGCCCTCCTTGAGCTCGCTCATCTCCTCCTTTGACATGTTGTAGGCCGCCGAGACCTGGTTGAAAGGGTTGTCCGGATGTTTCTCGAACTCCTTCCGAATCTGATCAATCTTCTGCTGTCGCCTCAGGCCCTTCTCATCCTTCATTTCCTCCAACCTTCGCTCCTCAAACGCGGCATATGCGGCCTTGAAACGACGCTCCGGGTGTCGATCTAGTTTGTCGTTGGCACTGCTGCCTGTGAGAGAGAGCGCGTCGAGCGCATTGTCGATACCGGTGGCGTTGAGTGCAGCGAGAGGATCTCTGGAAGAGGAAGGTGCATCAAGATCTGCGAGATCGAGACCGCGGGTCTTTTTGACGGCGACTTTGGATTTGGTGACTTTGCTGGGTAGAGAGGCTTCTTCCTCCTTCATCAGAGCTTCCTTTTCAGCCTTTTTGCGTGCGGCCTCGGCGGCCTTTGCGGCGGCGGCCTCGCTGTGATGCCGGTATTAGTATGCAACAATCCTGTAGGTGTTTTGCAGGCATCACATACGCTTTGCTGTTGTCCTTGGCTCCCTTGCCCCATTGCTTGTCCTCGGCGACCGCGGCTTTGGCGTCCTCTGCGGCCTTTTTGGAGGCGGCCGCCTCGGCCTTCTTCGCGTTTCCAGCGACCTTCTTGCTGTTCTCTCCTTTTGGCATGGTGGATATGTAGATCGTAGGAATGTGATTGAAAGAAAAAGATCGTCAGGCGCAAAAATCATGCCTATGGCGTATCATCTAACTTCGGCGGCCATGTGTGACGCACTTCCCGCTCGAGTGGGATGTTCTACTGCAATTACGTGGACCCCGCATCAATTGCGCCCGCCAGCGCTGTCAGAGCACACGAGCAGGAATGCAAATGATTTGTGACAGGCCATCCACGATGTGGCCTGATTTTCTCGGAGTAGTATGAAGGCATAATAAATACGAGTGAATAATCCAAATGCGATGTATGCATGACACAGATAGATATCTCGGCCAACTGCAGTACTGCCGAGTAGGGAACGGTGCTTGCACACATCCTGTTCTCAGACAACGATGATTCCTATCGATTGATGACTCAGCTTGTGCCTGTTTCCAGGGTTTCGCCCCACTACACAGAAGATACATAGCGAGAAGCAATGTGTGACTCTTTGACACAAAATTTCCCGCGGACCTTCGGCAGACTCTTGATCATTTGAGAGTACGTTCGAATTAGCTTCGTGGTCGAGTGATCACTAGAGTCCTCACAGTGACAAGCGTCAGCCGGACACTCAACTCGCTATTGACCATTGAATCTTGCCCGCGATGGGCTCCATTAAATTCCCTGAGGAGGAGCAGCGGGTCCTGGAGCAATGGAATTCGATCAATGCCTTCCACCGCCAACTAGAAATCACTGAGAAAGACAAACCATATGTCTTCTACGATGGGCCCCCGTTCGCTACCGGCACTCCCCACTATGGACATCTTCTCGCCTCGACTATCAAAGACATTATTCCTCGGTATTGGTCAATGCGAGGTAGACATGTGGAGAGACGTTTCGGATGGGACACCCATGGTGTGCCAATTGAGCAGATCATCGACAAGCAATTGCAGGAAGAGCTAGGTGTTCGTGGCAAGGCTGCCGTTGAGAAGATTGGCATCAAAGAGTATAACCGACGGTGTCGCGAGGTCGTCCTCACCTACGCCAACGAGTGGAGAACAGTGATTGGAAGAGTCGGACGATGGATTGACTTTGACCGCGATTACAAGACCATGGACGCCACCTTCATGGAGACATGTTGGTGGGTCTTTGCACAGCTCTACCGTAAAGGCTTGGTCTACCATGGTGCCAGAGTGCTGCCGTACTCGACGGCATTGAACACGCCGCTATCGAAAAGCGAGGCAAGCGAAGAATATCGCGATGTACAAGATCCTGCAGTTACAGTTTCTTTTGCAATCCTTCCTCCTGCAGAACAACCGGAAAGTGCTCGCGCTAAGGTCCAGGAGTCTTTGGATGCTGCTGGCGGTGAGCTCTACTTTGTCGCATGGACAACCACGCCGTGGACACTCCCAAGCAATATTGCGTTGTGTGCGCATCCCGATTATGAATACATTGTGGTGCACGACAACGAAACAGCCAAGACCTATGTCATGCTCGAAGCTGGACTTAAAGTACTGTTCAAGGATCCTAAAAAAGCCAAGGACAAATTCAAATTGCTTCCTTTCAAGATCAAGGGTTCGGACTTGGCAGGATGGAGATATAAGCCATTGTTCGACTACTTCAAGGATCAATTCAAGGATCATGGTTTCCGCGTCCTTCTAGATTTATACGTCAAGCAAGATGAGGGTGTCGGCATTGTTCACCAAGCTCCGGCCTTTGGTGAGGATGATTACAATATTTCGTGGCGAGAAGGTGTCATCACAGCAGAGCGACAACCTCCCAACCCGCTCAATGCGGCTGGAGAGTTTACAGATGAGGTGCCCGACTTCGTTGGACAGCATGTCAAAGCGGCAGACAAAAACATTATGAAGCTACTCGAGACCCGAGGCCAGCTGGTGCGGAAATCCCAGATCACTCACAGATATCCCTTCTGTCCGCGCTCGAAGACTCCTCTCATCCAGCGAGCAGTACCAAGTTGGTTCATCAAGGTCGAGAATGTCGTGCCGCAATTATTGGAGAACCTCGAGAAAACGCATTGGGTACCGTCGACGGTCAAGACGGGTCGTTTCAAGCAGTGGCTGGGATCTGCCAAGGACTGGAACGTCAGTAGGAACCGATACTGGGGTACGCCACTGCCATTGTGGGTGTCTGAGGATTTCAAAGAGATTGTGTGTGTTTCTTCCGTGGCGGAGCTGAAGAAGCTTTCTGGATTCGAGGGCGAGCTGAAGGACCTTCATCGTGATTCAGTCGATCACATTACCATTCCTTCACAACAAGGCAAAGGCACGCTGAAGCGTGTAGATGAGGTATTCGATTGTTGGTTCGAATCGGGCTCAATGCCATACGCGTCCTCACATTATCCATTCAGCTATCCCGGTTTCGATGCATCAGATCCTGACTCCGGGCTGTCACATACAGCAGGGCCCGGAGAGAAGCTTTTTACCAAGTTCCCTGGAGACTTCATCGCTGAGGGTCTGGATCAGACTCGTGGCTGGTTTTATACCCTGTCAGTTCTCGGTACTCATCTGTTCCAAACTTTCCCTTATCAAAACTGTGTGGTCAACGGTATTGTTCTCGCTGAGGATGGCAAGAAGATGTCCAAATCTTTGAAGAACTTTCCGGACCCGATGATCGTCGTTGATCGGTATGGAGCCGATGCGCTGCGACTTTATCTCATTGACTCTCCCGTCGTGCGCGGTGAGCCGTTACGGTTCTCGGAGCTCGGAGTCAAGCAGATTGTGTCAAACGTGCTTCTACCATTATGGAACTCTTACAATTTCTTCGCCCAACAAGTCGCCCTGTTTAAGAAGAACAATGATGAGGAATTCACGTTTGACCCGAACTTGCAGCAATCAAACCACAACGTCATGGATCGCTGGGTCCTGGCCGCCACACAGTCACTGTTGCAATATGTCAACTCTGAGATGGAAGCATATCGGTTATATACTGTCGTCCCTCGACTTTTGAAGATGGTGGAAGATGTCACAAATTGGTACATTCGATTCAACCGAAACAGACTGAAGGGACAATCATCGGGAGCTAGCAAGGCAGCAACAAGTGGTGCAGAGGGTTCCGAGGGGGCGGAAGAAGAAGAGGGTAGCAAAGCTGACACACTCCATGCGCTCAACACTCTTTTCGAAGTCCTCTTCACTCTGGTGCGCGTTCTCGCACCATTCATCCCCTTCCTCAGCGACAACATCTTCCAACGCCTCTCTGTCCATCTCCCTCCTTCTTTGACCAAAGACCAAGATGTCCGCAGTGTCCACTTCCTTCGCTTCCCTACCGTCCGCCAAGAACTTTTCGACCCGATCGTCGAACGACGCGTTGGCCGCATGCAGAAAGTCATTGACCTGGGTCGATACTGCCGCGACAAACGAACAGTCTCTCTCAAAACCCCCCTCAAGACCCTCGTCGTCCTCCACCAAGACACCGAGTTCCTCGATGACGTACGCCAGCTCGAGCGTTACATCACCGAAGAGCTCAACGTGCGCGACCTCGTCCTGACAAGCGAAGAAAGCCAATACGGTGTCGAGTACAGCGTTCAGGCCGATGTGAAGAACCTTGGCCAAAAGTTCAAAAAGGATGCTGCAAAGATCAAAGCCGCCCTGCCCAAACTCACCGCCGAAGAGATTCGGTCATTCCTCGACAAGGGATCGCTCGTCGTGGCCGGCCACGAACTCTCCGCCGAGGACCTCCGCGTCCAACGCGGTGTCAAACCGGACCCCGCCAACCCCGCCTCTGCTCATCTTGAGCCCAAGGCCGATGGCGACGTCATGGTCCTCTTGGATGCATTCGCATACCCAGAACTCGCTCAGGAGGGTCTCGCGCGTGAGGTGCTCAACCGTATCCAGCGCTTGCGGAAACGTGCGGGTTTGGTACCGACGGATGATGTTCAGGTTTCATATCGCGTGCTCGGACCCGCGGCGACGGGAACCGAGGAGTCTGATGCCGCTGGCGATGCTGCCAACACTTCCTCTGCTGCCAATGCTGGCGGAGATGCCGGCGCTAATGCGGAGGCTTCTCGTCTGGAGAATGAACGTGTCTTGGAGGAAATGTTCGAACAGCAGAAGGCGACTTTCGCCAAGGCTGCGAGTCACGGTGTCGTGAGCGAGGTGAAGGCGACTCCTTCTACCACTGCTGCTGTGGCGGAGGAGGAGACGGAGGTCAAGGATATTCGACTCGTGTTGCGGTTGCTTAAGCTTTGAGTCTTGTTCAAAGAGAGCCACTGTTCATTGTTTCGCGATACGTTTTACTTATTGCTGAGAGTTCTAGCGAGATTTTAGGTAGATGCAGCAGAAATAAAAGCGCTATACACGTGAACAAAAATTGAAATGTGATCAATGGTCATTTGTCAGTGCAACATGTCGTGAGCTGCAATGGTGTCGAGTCAGTGGTGTGTGGTTCGTGCGGCAAGATATCATTCGTGTTGGAGCTGAAAGTTCTATCATCATAACTTATCATCTTCTTGACCGACTTGATACGGCCCGCCGTCACCAGGGTAAGTGACCAGTGCATAGTTGATTATTTATTCAATTGATTTCGCTTCGTAAAGTCATTATAATGATACAAAAAAGTCGCGCCATGTTATTCCGCTTGACTTCGACAAATTCTTCGGATCCACTTCTCGGTAACAGAAGGTCATCCCAGAATGTCATCCCTCGCAACGATATCGAGATTCAGTCTCTTCATGCAGAGGTTAGGAGAGCGTCGCATCGTCTCTCGCCAAAATTGCTCAAGTTTGACGAATTTAGTTGCCGCCAGTCTTTCCTTGATAACCCTTGAAAGTCGAATTGAACCATCCGCCAAACAGGCCGGAGGGCGCGTGCATATCGGCGTGGCTGGCTCGGCGTGATTCGTAGTTGTCGCCGCCGCGCTTGAATTGCTCGAGGTTGTTGAAACGGACGTCAGATGACTACGTGAGAAATGTCAGTAAAGTTGGACGGTGATGCTGGAGTGGCCGAGTGTGGAAAGGGATGAGACTCACGCGACGAGGGCTGCTGGAAGATGTCTGTGTGTTGGAGAGGGTCTTCTCGAGGGAGTTGCGGGTGCTGCTCATTGAGGCGCGGCTGGTGCTGTCGGGTGAGACAGAGGCGTTGTTTGATGAGGAAGACATGGTGGAAGGTGTGGTTGTGAGGTCGAGGGTTATTATTCTTGGTTTTGACTTTGATTTTGTACGTTCGTGAATGTGGTTTGAAAGCCAAGTGTGAAGTTGGGGTTTGGATGGAAATGAAAACCTGGCCGACGGAAGGAGCAGGTGCCTCATATGTATATCTATCACAGCCACCACCACTGCCGTAAATAATCATCACCATCTCCTATTCCATCGCGACTGCCCCACCTTCTACCACAATCGCATCACGAAAAGGATCAACCAGCAGTGTAAGCCCTTCCAGAACCCATCCGACAAGCCGCGTACGCAGTTGACAATAATCGATACAGTCCCATTGGTGCAACCACGAGTTCTCAGACCAAGCCTCAAACCTAGGCTCCACCTTATCACGCTTATCTCGCGATCGATGTGTGCAGTCCATGACGTCTGAGCACCGCGATCGAGGAAATGTAGGGTGATCTTATCTTCCTCCCCCTTGGCCGCTCCGGCGGTTAGAGTGTAGATCGCATGGCAAATCTAGATCTTGCATGAATCCACAAATACTAACGAAAGCAGGTGGAAGAGTTCTGCAGCGACGATGTCATCGATCGCGGGGAAACCCTGTCGTTCGAATAGTGCATGAACTGTTAGGTTGGATCTCTCGGAATTGCGATCCGCAGGCTGCGCCTGGCCCAGATCGGGATTAGTGCCACCATCATGACGATGAAGGCAGGGTCTCGATCTTCCCAAGTCCATGACGATGATGATGCTTGTTTGAAACACTTTCCATCTTTCGATACCGATCGAGATATTTCCCTCATATGGGAAGTGGAGGGTCAATGCGGCTGATTGGAATGCATCGGCCCCAACAAAGACCAAGTTGATCTCACGAAGAGTATAGGATTGGCTAGTCGTAGGGTTTGGGTAATCGATCACATTCACTTCACACTATCATGGAGGTCGAAGGAAGCGATAGAACCTCTTCGTCTTATTACTTGAAAGCAGCGACATGCTCGTCGGTTGAGAACGTGGGTGGGGAGCGGGACTGAAAAGGAATCATTCTCAGATGCAGCACTTCATCCACGATTTCTTATGATTAAGGAAGCGTAAATTGCCGTGCGAGCACCATGTGTCGGCTTGCAACGAAATTACCCGTGAAGCAGCATTGGCACGGTGGAGCTCGGTGCATGTCTTCTATTTCAGAAGAGCACTCGTCGCTGCGGAGCAAGAGAGTGATTGATCCGTGATTGCCCGCCATGCCCATATTTTCAACTAAATTTGCATTGTCACTTGAAAAATTCAATCGATTCCAGCTGCTTACACATCCAAGCACACAATGCTCCCGGGTATCCTAACAATACGCTGATGATGCTCCACAGTAGGCAACAATAATCATCCATGCCGCGCTCAAACGCCAAAACAGCAATTAAATCCAAAACAATCCACAATATAAACCATTCAACATCCATTCCTCCCGCAACACCAACTCCGTGCCCAATTTCTAACCCTGGTTTTCGGAAGCAGAATTGTGATTACCCAAATCTCGACTTTCTCGCCCTCGATAATGACGCCGACGTAGGCGCAGCGAACCGCACGCTCTTGCCCGTTCCCAGGACCGAGCGACCGAGTACTTGATTACCATTATTGTTTTCATTGTTGCTGTCATTCCCCGCACTATGCCGTCCGGGCGTGTCGCCGTTGTTGTCGTCGTCACGATCGCCCTCGTCCCTGTCTTCGTTCGCACTGCCGTGATCAGCACTGTTGTTACTAGTACCATTAACACGTGAAGCTTTCCCTTTCCCAGGTGCAGACGGCGACGCAGAGACTCGCTCCGCTGTGGGTGAGCGTCCCACTGCGGAGAGTCTGGGCCGCGCTGATGACAATGGCATCGCGACGCCACCTGCACGGAGCTTGCGTGAAAACGGTGTGATCTGCGGCGTCGAGGCCGTCGAAGAAGGCGCTCTCTTCGCAGTTGGGCGGACAGGGGTTCCCTGCGACGCATCCTTCTCAAGGGGAGCACGAGGACTTGTCGTGGCTGACGTAGACGCAGCTGCCTTGGTTGACGTCTTCGGTGCTGAAGCCTTTGTAGTACTTTCATTGATGTTGACGTTAGAATTGGGCTCTGTTGTCATCTTCTTAAGACGAACTGGCATGATGATGGGCATAGTAGGTGGCGGGTACGCAGGTGTTGACGTCCCGAGGAATGCTCCTGGGTCAAATACCAACGGCGTCGCGTGTGCGGGTGTTGGGAGCACCGGTCGCTGATAGAGATTCTGGTACTGGGAATGGAACCGTGTAGATCTTCTGGAAGAACGCGACGGGGTCCGCAGGTATGCGGGTAGAGTTGTGACCGTGGCGTTCAAGAAAGTCCTACTAAGATCCTCCTCGAAGGGACTTGGACCAATCTCAAGAAATGAAGGATACTCCTCTGCAGCAGCAGTGACATTCGCGAGCCGGCCTTGCAAGGAAGCCACAGCAGCTCTCCGACTGGCTGGACGTAGACTCGGGCTTTCCGTAGTAATTTCCCTCTGCTCCTCGAAGTGCCTCTTCGCGCGCCGACTGATAGTCTTGCCAGCCCAATAGCGCATCATGGCGCGGATGCGCTGTTCGCGAGTCCTTATGCGGAACGCCTCTGCAGTCTCACGCTGTCGTGCGGTTGTGAAGGCGCGCCATTGAAGCTTCTTCCATGTGTTGACGACCAAAACGACATCGGATTCTTGACGGAAGAGGATGGCTTGTGCGGATATTTCAGATACATTGGCGTAGGAGAGTTGCATGGCAGAAAGAGCTGATGCCAGTAATTTGGTACGATCCAGTGCCACAGCTTGAGCATCGAGATCTCGATGTTGCAAGGTGCGGGTCTGCATTGATCTGATAGAAGATGTAGCGATCTTTTGGATCTGCGACTGCAAGTGGTCGTTTGCAGTAATCTGCAAGTTTTCTAGGTGGTTAGACCTCTCACGCCAGAGGGACAGACAGGCCCTCGCCTGGCGTATCTTGACGTGTGCCCGCAGTTGACGGTACGCTTCACGCAACCGTTGATTGTGATGCTTGGTAGCCTTGTCACGCCAGACAGATAAAGTCTGTGTCCCGAGGCAATAGAATCGCGCATCGACAGCCCATTTGTCCAGTCTTTGCAGATGTTCAAGGCGTGCTCGCCATGCATGCACCACTCTCGGCACCGCACGTCCATTAGCGTATTCGATCGCAGCGCGATGGCCGTCCTCGCGGACTCGAAGCGCACTGTGTAGCCGTGTCATGCCAAACCGAAGCAGCCGAGTGCGTTGTCGAGCGGCAAAAAGGGTCTCGGCGTCCTCAAGGGTCAAATTCGCTTGCTCAGTCTGCTGTCGCCATCTTGACAGTGCTGCTCGAGCCAGGTATGCGTTCTTTTCTTTCTGCAAAGTGCGCAATCGATACTGCAAGATCCACTTGTAAAGACTCTCGGCCAGCACGCGCCCATCAATCCGTTGTGCAAGTGCTTTGGAGCGGAGAGCATCGTTCCAATTCGTCCAGGCAGTTTGCAAGATACGCCTCCGATCAACCTCAGCAGCTTGTCGTGTGAGTTGGAGATGAAGCGACCAGATTCTAAAAGCTTTATTTTTGAGGTTGACGGCAACCATTTCGACAGTAGTCCGAGCGACAGGCCGCAGCTTTGCTTCATTTTGCAGTGCCTGTAGGCACGTTACGGCGACAGATCGCTGTCGTACTTGATCGACTTCACGAACTTGGCGTCGTCGTTGGCCGTACAATTGGACGACTTTCCGCAAAGCTGCGGCCGTCAGACGCCGCTCTCGAAATTGCTGTGCTTGTGCTGTTTCTTGCCGGACCGTCTCAATTCTTGCGCGCCAGGCTGTCAATGTGTGACGCATGAGTTGCAGCTCATGCCATCCTTCCGCTTGCCGGTCACAAAAATTCCAGAACCAACGGCTGAAGCAACGCTTCATCAAAGATTCCTCGAAATGCGCGTCGGCTTGCTCCAAAGCCAACCGGTTCCGCAACACTCGCTCGCGCCAAATGGCAAAATATTTGCGACCCAGAATAAATTTGACTTTAGCAGCGTTCTTCACCGCGATTTTCCGCCATTGCGCAAAATACTTGACTTTGAGCGCATGCATCTGCGCCAAGCTAGTGACTCGTTTGCGATGCAGAGTAGACTCATCCCAATGAGAGAACGCCTTGGCCATAAGCGCAAGGTCTCTCTTTCGTGCAGCATATGCGAGGATGTCAGAAAGCTGCGATCGGCGCTCTCGTTCCAGCTTGGCGCGATCCTGAATCACTTCGAAAGACTGACGCAGAAGCAAGTGGCTGTCATGAGCGCATGCGATCCCGTACGCTTGTTGATGTCGAAGGATCTTCTCGTGCCATAGGTGGAGACATTGCCGAGCAGTACGAAGTTGAGATATGGCGTAGAATGCGTCGGCATTCTGTTCCAATTGTGTCAGGGATGGCTGGAAAAGTAGCGTTGGGTTGTTGAGATCTTCATCAACGGAAGACTGGCCCACTGAGGATGAATACCGATGGAAAGGCTCACGAGCTGTCCGCTGCGGCACACGCGTGCTTCGACTACTCGTTGATCGTGCCCGTTGGGAAGATCCAAATTCTCGCCCTCGTCGCCGAGCAGGCTGGCTGAGAAGACCTTTCCGGACTGGCGGCGGTGGTGATGCTGGACGGAGTGGCGCCGAATTTTCGCTCAGCCAAGTTTCATCCAGTCGCGCATCACTGAAAGAAGCACGACGCGCAGATCGCGGAGCATGGTTGATCATAGATTGGTGATTTACATCAACCGGAGCAGTGCGATCGTGCAAGGCGGCGGCAACGTCATCGTCGTCATTCTCAATGCATGTCACACCATGCTCCTCGAGCAATTTCGTCAAGTAGGGTAGCAGATTGGTCGCTCGTCCAGCATGATGTTGGCGTCGCGCGGCATGAACAACGCGCATTCCCAGGCGATACACGACATTGTCATGGCTTTTGTCGAGGTGATGTCGAGCGAAGTGATCGTCGTATGCGGCGAAGAACGCCTTGAATGGCGCGTGGGTTGAGGAGGAGGCATCTCGAATGATAGCGAACAATAGCCGTATTTCTGCAGGTCCCGTTCAGAACGCTGAAATTGTAATCATTGTTATGAATATGCGATGACTTACCATCATCGGTTGGATCTTGTTCAAGTCCCCAGTCAACTCCAGGTATACTCATATGAGACAAGGATTTCGTCAAGTCTCCGGCGCTTGCGCTGATGGATGATCTGTATCATTGGGCGTGCTGTAGCATGTGTCAAGAGCGCGCGGCGTCGATCGCATACCTCTTCTTCACCCAGAGTCCAACACAGACAGGGTTTCACTCTGTCACAGATGTGCGCGCAAATGTAAATATCCAAATACTCTGTGACAATGAGCTTTGCGCGCCAAAAATTGGTGGTAGACGCGACAAGATGAAGTGGTGATGTGGGACGTGTTGTGGTCGTGACAACAGCGCTAGCTCCCGGAAGCGGTTAGGGCTTCTTCTTGAGGATACAATTGGGCAACATCCGGAAGAGCTCCTGCCGGTGAGCGCTCTCACTGCAACTACAGAGTGTGATTCCAGAGTTCACATTCAGAATCATTCCATGTGTAATAATTGTAACCAACAGGGGTCGCTCTATCTCGCGCCGCCCATAAGCTATGGATTTGTGTATGACCTGCGCTGGATGATGCGCACTATCTCCGCATGAAAGCCTTGACTGTCAGAGTTGGCGCTCGATTGCTCATCTTGATTGACACAAGATCATCACCTATCCACAAAACTACTCGCATTTGGCACCGCAATGGACTCGCTTACTAGATAGTGTCCGCCACGTGGCTACGCATGTGTGAGCAATATCTCCGGATGAAATGTTAGTCCCTAGTCCAGACAAAGCAGCCAGCAATAAGCGCAGAAGCACGGCATCCCTCTCGTCCACATCTTGAACAGACATTCCTAGGTCTCCATCGGAACGTCATTATGCCCCACACCCTCAGCGAAGTGCATCGAATCATGGACCTCAAAACAGTGGCCTTGAGGAGAACAGATCACGCATACGAGAATCATTCACTTTGATTACAAGATCCTATGTCTGTGTTGCCGGTTGGACCACACATAAGTCTAGATTCTCTTTAGTATCATGCTCAGTAATGTCGATGAGACCAGCGCATACTAGGTATATATAGAGATGGCAATTTGCACGAGACTATTGGCAAGTCTCAGACAAGCACAAAAGTTTCTGCACAACCTTCGTCTTTGGTTGTCAAGATGCTTGAAGAGATCCCCAACTCGAATATGCAGCCACGAGCGTATCTGCAATGGGTTGCTCACCCCTTTCACGTCTCTTGAATCAGCTCTTCTCCAAAAAAAGGTCAACCGATCAAAGTGCCGCTAGTTGACACGATCAATGGGAAGACGTTCCACATAAAAACGTTCAAATTTGCTGAACAACTATAGCAACATGGAAATCAAGAATGCCCGTCAAACCCTTTCCTGGTGCATATCAAGCTCTGCACCACTTCAGTCGTTCCTCCATCGAATTTGGACTTTCTCAAAGGATTGCCAGACTCGGCTTTGAGCTTGAGGAGCAATATCCGGATATCCACGTGGAACTCATGGTAGTGTCATCTCATGACATCTCGCTGTCACCTCGGTTTCGGGTTTGCTGATATTCCTATGGAATGTGCCGAATTCTGGTAATGCGATCTGAATCAGAGCTGTTCGTGATGTTTGAGATAGCTTGATAAGAGTTATTCTCAAGTTTATTGATCCAATTCTAATTTCCTTTGAATTCTTTGATGACTTTCGTATTGTTCACTTGGAAGAGTACGTATATAACCAAGATAGCACAGGGAAGACAATGTCACGTGGAAAACGTGTCCAATTCTGGAAACCGCATCCAAATGCGATAAACGTATCTACCTAGGTAATCACGATAAACGTGTCGAGCTACGGATATAGAAAGCATGTTCGAATGCGTAGAGCGTGTCGAAAGCGTAAAACATGTCGAAGGCGTAAAGCGTGTCGAAAGCGTAAAGCGTGTCGAAAGCGTAAAGCGTGTCGAATGCAGAAGCGTATCACCTTTTGGTCATTTACTAGCGCGAATGAGGCTCTGACCAATAGGAGACGTATGAAGGTAGCGGGGGCTCCCGTTCAGGACAGACTCCCGAGGCCTGTAGCAGCTCGATATAACTATATCTTTGACACTAAGAATTGCGGATTTCGTCATGTGTGACCATGGTTTGTCGAGCGAGTCTCGTCGACGATCCGGGTTTTGTCGATGGGCTTGCACTTTTACTAGCGCGAGGGGGATTCTGACCAATTAAAAACCATCATATCCAGCGGGAAGGCCCGTCCGCGAATTGTGGCGTTGGGGCCTCGCAATATGCTTGACGAAACCCGGAAGAGAGCCCTGGAGACTTGAGGATTCATCACAGCATCCGACAACGTCATTGGACTCCGTAGCAGCGATAACATCATCTCTAACATCGCATATCATCACCGATTCCTCTTGAATTTTACGATCTTAAGCAACTATGCCACCACGAACCCGTCCGATCGAGAAATTCGCCGAAGCTACAGCAAAGTGCACACCCGAAGGCATCGTCTATGGCAAATGCGTGGGGAGCAATTTCCAAAACGTCAAGAAAGACATGTGTGCGAAGGAATTTCTCGCTTTGAAGGACTGCTACCTGGTGAGTGATTAGTCTCTAATCGAATTGATGATTGAGTATACAAGACTGCGTACTGACTGGATTTCCTCTTTATAGAAGGCGGCAGGACGCAAGTCATAGACACCGACAATCAATACTACTCGTGAAGCTGAATCGTGGGACCTCTGATTGCTCGTACCTCATGAGCGGATGATGCTTCTTTGGAGCAGCGGGAAGCTTTACTGACACGGCCGCGGCTTGTTGTTTGCGTACGAGAGATGCAAGAAAGTAGAAAAGATCGCACGTCGCTCACCTCTTCGTCCCATCATGAGGCTATTTCTCTCACCAATGATCCAACATGACTCCGTCCAGCGGCAATGATGGTGGGAAATCGAAATTGGATGCACTGTATCGGTAATTTCAAAGGGTCCAGCTTCCATCTGGAGAACGAGTTCTTGTCATCGAGCCCATGTCGAAAAGGAGACACCGTTGACATTTCCCTCAAGAAGCCCGCAGCATTTCACGACGTGGTCCGATCGACTCCGAATGCGATCATCATGTGACCTCACGTTCGAGGTAACGAAGGAGTGGGAGAACACACGAAGAGACATGACTTACCTGAGAATCCGGATTGCTCCACACGATGTATCGGGATGGCATGTCGAAGGAGAAATCAAATCTCTCATTGAGACGAGGGAAGAGACAAATGTGAAATCATTTGACTCATTGTACAGATATGATCAATATACGCGAATGTATTTTACCTGCCAGTGGTGTTACGGATGTGTCTGTTGCATCAAAAACATCTTCGTGTTGCGAAGTTAAGCCCCATGCGAAAGAGCATCTCAACTTCGAGATAATGCGAAGGGATGCCTCATCTAGACTGCAATATGTATAGTAATACACCAGCCGCAGCATCCCGTGCGACCCTCGAAACTTGGGGAGAAGACAGACGAATGTGGACGAGGCGGAGGATGAGGAGACGAAGATGCTTTTTCACAGAAATCGTCAACTCCTTTCAAGACATCACGTCGGCAGGACCACTATTATTGGATCGTGAAATCATAACCATGAAGGACCGGCAAATGTAGAGAGAAAGATGAAAAACAGAGAGAGATTTTCAGAGAGGGGTGTCCTGTAAAAGCATTGTATTCAAAGGGCATTCCTCGTTTCAGAGATAAAGACAACCACAAAACGACTGCTTTAAAAGCATGGGAGGGAGCTATGTAAGAGGGCGAGAGAAAGAGAGAGAGAAGGGAGGAGGGAGAAAGAGCGCAAAGTGTTCTCTTCCGAAGAATGATGAAGGTGAGGGGGAAGGGATTACCAGTTCCGTAATTCATACGACGTGAGCAAATGAAATTGTATGTCCGCCAAAGCCTCCTCCCATTTAAGGCAGATGCTCGACGAGTTCCCAAGCCTATCGATCGTCCAGCGTGCGGTGTTTCGGCACATGCGGCGGTTCCATCGTCGCCGGCGGACGGATTGACCTTGCCATTGCCATCGCCGACTCCCTCGTCCTGTGCATGCGTATGTGACGGATCAGGTGCTCCTCCGAAACAGCCAGGTTCCGAAGTCTCCGCATTTCATTTAGAATGCGACGTCTGCGTCGAGCCGCCGCGTGAATCAGAGCGGCATCCCGACGCGAAGCAACGTTCTCACGATGCCGAGCAGCAGCGCGACGATCAATTTCTCGCTGACGCTCGTCATGCCACGCGCGATAATGAACATTTTCGGGTGCGGCAAGATAGGAGTCTGCCAGGTGTATAGCGGTGATTTCGAGTTCCCGCCTCAGGAATTTCGCATATTGGTTCCTTGCAATCTCGAGGTGGGCTTCCTATTGCTTCCTGGGGTCATCGCGGCGCATGATGCTCTCCACGGGCCCCAGGAGGCGCTGGAAGCCGTCCTTGCCCAACATGGCGACTTTGACTTCGGTCGTGCTGACAACGCTCGCGGCACGGGGTTTGTCCTCGAGGAGCGCGAGTTCGCCGAAGTAATCTCCTGGTCCGTAGACCTTGAGCGGAGCAGGGTCGTTGGAACCGCGCTTGCGGACCTCGGCGTGTCCGGATTCGAGCAGGAAGAAAGTATCACCGACGTCACCTTCACGGATAATGGTGCTGCCAGCGGGGTGCTTGGCTGTCTCGAGGGCATCGGCAATCTTGCTGCGTTCGTATGGTGTGAGGGTGGCGAGCAAAGGGACGCTCTCGAGGAACGTCTCGTACATGCGGCGACGTTGAAACGCCGAATCCATGAGGATACGACGGAAGGTAACGCGGTCGAGCTGCCAAAGGATACTCGGGCCTTCCGCGCTCACAACTGTGGCGGCACGAGGTGCGTTGTACATCAGTGCCAATTCACCAAAGGAGCTGCCGGGGCCGGAGGAGGCGACTTTGGGACCGAGGCCAGCAGGGCCCGGTTCTGCGCGGCCAGTTGGAGAGACGTGAATGTCGAAAGAGCCGCTCTCAACGACGTAGAAGTAGTCACCGGCATCGCCTTGCACGATCACGCGAACATCCTTGGCTGGGACTTTGCGCTCTTGCAGAGCTCCGAGGACTTGAGTAGTTTGGTCATCATCAAGGTGCGAGAAGAGGAAGTTTTGGCTGACGGCAGTTCGCAAGCGAGCTAGCTGATCAGCTGTCTTGGGGTATTGAGGAGCTTTCCAACTGGAACTGTCCTCGGCGGAAGCGGGTGCCAGTGATTCGGCACTGACAGAGGTTCGACGACCAAGGTTGTAGTTGTTGGGGAACGAGGACGACTCCATGGCTGCGCCCGCGGGTGGGCTTCCGAGTCGTGAAGAGGATGAAGATGCTGCGGGACCGCCAAATCCAAAGTTACCAAATGTATTGCCTCTGCTATTATTGCTGGTATCATCGGGAGCACCCGAGGAGAATGGAGAGCGAGAATTGTCGGCCGAGGGGATTTGTGAGCGGATGTTCAAAGGAAAAGATGTCTGAGTGGGAGACGCAAGGTCATGTTCCTCCTCTTCTGCGACCGGACGCATGGTGCTTCCTGCTGCGTTTACCGCCGCGGATGAGCCTTGTGAAGTCGCGGCGGAGCTGCCGAAAGGATTGCTTCCCGGGAAGTTGCTTTCAGCGGGACCTGGCTGACTGGAGTGTCTCTGGGAAAGAACGAATTCGTGACGTTGAGAGGCGAGGCGACGCTGGAAGAAGTCACTGCAGAATTGTAGGATGTCGTTAGGTTGGTGTTTGAGAACCTCCCGGTTCAAGGCGCTGATCTCGTTGTTGTAGTCGCTTGGTAACGACATGAGGGTGTGTATGTCCAATGGATGAGTTTGAAAGGGGAAGGTGGGTGGTGAGGTAGCTGCGATGGAGGAGATGATGCTGATCTTCCACCACACCGTTGCCAAGGTCTAGGATCGACAATGGCAGATGTCGTAATTGCTGGCAGGCGATTGGTGATGAGGACTGGAAGTCGAGTAGCTGTTCTTGGGCCGACTCTGACTCTATGTGACTGGGTCGAGATAGAAGATATGGACGGTCGTGACCGCGCTCGAAGAAGGGCTCTGTTAGGTATTCGAGCTCTAATGATAGTAGTTGGCGATAAAGATGACGACGGTGATGGTGGCAGGGACAGTGGCCAGACTAGGTGTGATATGGATTAAGGTGTGATGGTGTAAAGTAGTGATAGGATGAGTGGTGATCAAGGGCGAAGCAAGTGTATGTCGTTTGGTCGCCTGTCCGTCAGTTGCGCACGGTGCGATCACAAATGGGTGGAGGAGCTTCGTTGAAATAGCAACAGTAGTAGCAGGAGGAGGAGTAGCAGTAGTGTAGTAGCTAGTTGGTCTGTTAGTTGGCGGTGGTGGAGACTCGATGGTGGAGATGGGAAAAAGCCCCGCGTTGACTTCGAGAGACGCAGGTTAGTTCAAATGTTCCGTCCAGATTAGGGTCCAACGGAGAACGGCAAGGGAGCAAGCACGTCAGAAGTCAATGGCAGAGCAGTGATTCGCTCTTCTTCGCGATTGATTGGTATTGAGACGAGGCTAGATGTTGCAGTGCGATAGACGCCGACGAAATGCTTGATGTACGAAGCCAACTATGCTGAACAGATGGTTGTTTGCTTGCATACCTAGGTACAAGAAATCATTGGTACGAATATGTGGCAGGAATGGGAGACAATGTCCACCTGGGCAGTGAGCGAACTTCGTCGTGCTATATTGATGAACGGTCCAGATTTCTAGAGTTCGGAGTGCTCCACCTGCCAGCAGCTTGCGAGTGCTTCCACCAGAATCATTACTAGGTACGTCACTGTAAGGTCGGCCAGCAGATGTTCTGTGCACGAACTACGGAGCATTTTTTCCTCTCGCAAGGACCCATCACTACTAGTATGCTGTACAGGGGTGAAACATTATCCCGATGCAAGTGATGAACGACTAGGATTGACGATGCTCAAAGTCAAATCTTCGGCCCCGATAGACCGCTCTCGGGGCCAAAGCTCTTATGATAAGGTCTGCTCTCAAGCAGCATCCCGAAGACTGAGAAATGTCCACGACGTCCACCAGGGTACTCTTCCAGCAATCATGTCAAAGCCCTCCGAGGAATTTACGCGACCAATGTCGCCGCGATGATCACACACGGCTGGTGTATATAGCTGTCATCAACATCATCACCAGCATCCGACCGGACGATATGGCGGTTCAACATTGTAGGAGAAATTTGTTCGGTCGAAGTGGAGGCTCACTACCCCAACCCCAACCCTAACATGGAAGTGCGCATCAGGAGCAGCAAACGCCGACATATACCATGATGATACTGGGCCAGCATCGTATACTCACCAATTGAAGACACGATTGGCCGACAACTGACAGGTTTTAAATCCTTTCTTTCAGGTTGCCTGACTGTTGTTCACGGTGCGATCGCTGTCACCTGACCGAGTCGAACGCATGTATGGGCGTTTTCTGGACTGTTGACTGTTGACCTTGCCTACGCCATTCCGGCCTATCCCCAGCCCTGTCCCAGCCATCTACATATACGGATTCAACGCAATGTTGGGACGACAATAACAGAGCCGCACTCGGAGGGAAGGATGAGATGCGTATTTGGATGTATACGGATGTTGAATGGCGCATCGTCTGGCGAGAAGAGATCATAACACGCAGATGTCATCGAGTCATGTGCAGCTTCATCGATTCACGGTTGTAGCGAATTATCTCAATTGTCGGTGAGAGGGGAACCATCCCGTATCGTCGAGGCGCTGTGACAAAATTCATCAAGCCTACATGAGTAGAGGGAGACTACTGCACGCAGATGACGGCCTAGCAGAGAAGACTGAGGTCTCGTGTCTTTGTATGATGATCTGGATTGTCACCGAGATATGAAGTGGAACTGGTCTGATAATAATAAGACCCGTCGAATATCGGAGAAGAAGAAAGCGACCACGCATCGCTCACGAGTCTGCGCACCTGCAGCCCTCTGCCCAATGCGCGCGCGCGGATTCCACCATTGCCCAGGTGTCCACCAATAATCATAATTTTACCGGCGACTTGACTGTATCGACCGCTAAACAAATCCCACTGCCACTAAAAAGACCTCCGCCGCAGTAACGGTTCTACCTCCTTCTGGGACACACATCGTCATTGTTTGTTTCTCAACTTCCCATATCCCAGTCTTTCGCACAGCAAATTTCGCACCACGTCGCAAACCACCTCCGTCTCGTACCATCTTCTCGAGCGAAGATCTGCATCGCTTATACGCGAGACATCGACTGGCATATCGCATTGCTCCGACATCGTTGGGTGTGCGCGCGCGCTCTGCATTCTTTTCCACGACTTCGCCGCCGATTTCCGCTCCGTGCAGGCTCTGCGCGCGACGACATCTTGCATATCATAACAACGTCCGTACCTATTCGCATAATCGCTTTGAGCCACACAGACAGATACAATGGGTAGCTACACCTTTCGCTGGTAAGTCTGTCGTTTCCTCGTCGCGAATCGGGTCCTTGCCCAGTGTGAGAGGAGTGTGAGGGTGGCGACTCTCATGGGGATGGTCCTGCGATCTTGCGTCTTCACCACGAGCATATTGCGGCTGAAATGATCGCATTTTCTTTCCCAACCCTCCAGCATCCGGCATCTCCTTCACTTGTTCACTGCACAATCAAGGATCGCAGATACACAATGCACCTCGCACAAAACCCATGAATCTCCGGCGCCATTTGAGCCCAGCACCTTTACACCTGCACATCCCATACACAGCCGCTCGCGCGGAGGAGAAGAGAAAAATCCCCTCCTGTGCACCTGACCAGCATTGAGATTGTCGTATCCGCGCACGCACTTCAAGACCGGGATCGTCCACTCCCAATGCCCACTTCTCTGCCCTATTTCCATGGTACCGCTCTGGACGGCGCCACGTGAAAAGCCCGCGCTGCTGCATGTGGGCAGACCACTCCTTGCAGTACGTTGGGCAAATCATCAATCGACCTCGTCCCATGGTTGCCGGCGACGCGGACCATGGTTGTTCCTGTGGATGATGACATGGACCCAAATTCATCTGCCAAAACGACTCTCCAATGCAAGCGGCGGCAGCAGCAAAATGGTCATCATCACCCTCCGACAAAGCTAGGACGGAATACTAGCTGGTTGGTGGCATGATGCTTTTGATGAGGATCCACATCGGCGCGAGAACAGCTGGAGCTGGCCAGATCTCTGCCTCCAGCGATTGGGGTTGATGCTCGCCGCACTGATGACTGCTGCTGCGATACTCGGCGGCGGCTTGCCCCAGCTTGGTGTGTCCGTGGCTGTTGCTATGGGCGGCGGCGGCGGCGGCCGCTGCTTTCAACGCGCGCACACGAACATTGCGGGGAAAGAGAGCGAGCGCGTGGCCTTTACCACCACTCCAGGGCTGCCCTCACAGCACCCACCTGCCCACACGTCATTGTTTGTTGGCTTGTCATTACTGCTTGTCATTACTGCTACTGCTGGGATTGCTCTCGTACAGCCACAGTAAAAAGTCGGCAGTCGAGCAACACTCCGGTGATGGACACTTCGAAATCTCGGCCTGCGTCGAAGCCGGTCTCGCTCTCCAACGGGAAGACGGGCGGAAGTGGCCTTGCACAAAGTCCGTTGGTTCGATTGGACTTTTGCTGGATGCCTAGGGAGCACAACTGTCCCTCCAACTGCAATCCTTCCATTCCTGCAACGTGGATAACTGTGGTCCTGTCCCCACGAATTGCACACTGGACTTTGTCCCGTCCAATCCGCGTCGGCGTCAAAGCCATTACTCCCTTGCCGTCGTCTTGCTCATTGCCCAGGTGCTCATCCAACCACCAGCCACCACCACCACCACTCCTCACTCGTCACACTCGCTTTCTCTCTTATAACCCATTTGCGCCCTGTCTTTTCTCGTCCCAACTTCACACGCACATATCACTAATCCACGACCTTTCCACTCAACAGGGAGCATCCCGCTGAAACCGTCTTCGTGACCGGTACCTTTGACAACTGGAGCGGAAACACCCACAAGCTCGACAAGGAAGGCTCTGTTCATTCTACCACCGTTCAGTTGGAGCCCACCACCGAGAAGATTCTCTACAAGGTGAGCACTCCCGATTGTCTCGTGTGTTTTGCACATCCTTCATCCATGCGTTGGCAAGCCGGCGGGAGCATCGACTTGCTACTGCGGCCCACCGCCAAGCGCAATTTGATCGCAGAAAGCAACATGCAAACGCGCGAGCTTGGGATCGCTGACTTGTCCTTTAGTTCGTCGCTGACGGCGTCTGGAGACACGATCCCACTCACAACACAGAAGCCGACGGAACCGGCAACGTGAACAACTTCATCACATCGAGCGACATCATGCCTTCCACCATTCACCGCACCGGACCTGGTGCGACCACTACCGCTCTGGCCGGCGAGGTGCCGCTAGAGCAGAAAGTTGCAGATGAGGTACCAGGCGCCTTCCCAGAGACACCGGCGGCTGTCGATTCGAGCGCCAATGCCTTCTCCGTCAACCCCATTCCTGCAACAGCGGGAGAAGGCAACCCCATTCAATTGGCGCCTGGCGAGCCCGTGCCGCACCACAGCACCCTGACCGATAACACCATTTCCTCGACCGCTCGCGACGATGAAGAGTTGAAGCAGGCAGATCTTGGTTCCCAGACTGTGAGCGCAGCCGTTCTGCCTGCCTTCCCTGGTGCTGGAAACCCTGTCTCGGTTGCTGCAGGAGAACCACTGCCACCACACTCCACTGTGACCGACCACACGCTCACGAGCAACGTCAAGCTTGACAAGGAATCGTACGACGCACCCGCTGCCGTTCCATCCTTCACACAAGGTGCCAGCAGCATCGACCGCGATGCTGCCACTGCGACCGCCGCTCACGGTCTTGGAACCACCAACATCATTCCCGAGTCCAGCATCGGAACTGGCAACGATGCGCCGTCAGGACTCCCAACCATCCACTCCGTCGGCTCTCCTAGCACAACCAACGACCTCGCAGGTCAGCAGCCTATCGAACCTCGCCAAGAAGCATATGTTACCGACAACGCTACTGCCGCACCTCCCAGCTCTACCTCCTCTGGAGGAATCCTTGGCGCCATCTCAGGTGGTGTCGCTGGTATCGGAGCGGCCGCAGCAGGCGCTGCTGTGTACTTGAACGAGAAGAGCAAGGAGACTACTGGCGTGGACGCCATCTCGAAGCTGCCCGAGTCAACTCAGGCAAACATCAAAGATTTGAAGGAGCAGAACGATGGCACATCAGGCGCGGCTGCGACGAGCACATCCACCGCAGTTCCTACTGAGGTGACTGACTCGCAAAAGGTAGCTCATGTCGACCCCGAAGCCGCCGCCAACCCTGCGGCCGTCTCGGAGAAAAGCGCTGTCGAGAAGGAGCTCCTCGCCAAGGTGCCCACTGCTGACGCGGCTGCTGTGTCCACTACTGGATCTGCCGCGACCGCGGTCCCTGCTCCAGTCCTCTCGTCGCAGAACAAAGCCCATGCTGATCCTGAGGCTGCTGCGAACCCTGTTGCCGTCGGCGAAAAGAGCGCCGTCGAGCAGGAACTCCTCAAGAAGGTCCACACTGCTCAAGAAGCTGGCGAGCCCGCACCCACCGTGACTGCAGCTACTTCGGAAGTCGCTCCGACTAGCACCGCCACTATCATCGGTGGTGGCACCCAGACCGTCGCTAGCACTACCCTTGCCACCTCTCCCGATGCAGCTCCCGCAATCACTACCACTACCAACACCGCCGCTCCTGTCACCGAGCACGTCGGCATCGCCCCCAACGTCTCCGCCCACGGTGCCCCTCAACTCGGCCAAGTCGGCCCCATCGCCCCCATCGTCCTTGACGCCCCGGCGGCCGCCGACAGCGCCGATGTTAGCCCTCTGACCACACCCACCGCCTCCACCGCCCAGACCGCTGCTTCCGCTGCCATGGCCGGCAAGACCACCTCCACACCCCGCCCGCGTACCAGCACGAACAACTCCGGCACGCCTAACAAGCGCCAAAGCATCATCGAGCGGTTCCGCGGCACCCCGGAGAAGAAGGACGCCACCAGCCCCCCGCTCGTCGAGGGCGAGGCTTCCACAGACGTCGGCGCGAGCGCTACGAAGAAGAAGGGTTTCTTCAGCAAGATCAAGGAGAAGTTGTCGAAGTAGATGTCGAAGGGTTTTCTGCGACAGCCGGGACAGAGGATGACGATGGGTTAATGATCTTTCTTTGGAAACGATTTCCTCTGATGGAACGAGGACGATGAATGTCTCTGGGCCTTTTTTATTCTCGCTGGGAGATCACAGAGAGTGTGCGGGATGAGTAGATGGAACGGCTGTTTTCTTTTTGACGAGATTAATACCATATTGCTTTCCTTTTCGGAGATGGAAATTTACCGATCTTTTTCGTCGATACATATCTGCTGGCTCGATCTCGCTACGACGTTTCGAATCGCCTGGGCGTCGAGATGAGTGCTTGATCTACAGGGCGCCTTGTCAGTGGTGCAGTATGTTTGAACCACCCAAATCCCGCGGACATCTTCCACTGATATGTCCAAGACGTCTTGATACAGTCGGCTTCTTCTTGGGGCGTATCGATCTCACGGATCGGATCGCGGCGTCGTGGTGCTGCAGCTGAGACACGGATGTACAGTGTCCGCCATACATTCTTGGACGCCCGTTTCCTCTAAGTCGAATCTTGAATGTCAAGCTGCTATTGCTGGACCTTTTTTGCACGCTCTTTGAACGTCTCGAGGTCGAGATGGACATAGCGCGCGTGGTCCAGCTAGGAGAATTCGGACGACGACGATGGTGACGCGTGAGTGTTTCTGGACTGCCTGCCCGGACGCTGCAGGATTGTGAAGTCATGAATTGGCGAATAAAGCGATTGACTACCATGATCATAGGCTCTCGCCCATGTTCGATCTGGCGATCGCGATGAGGACGGACGACGGTGTTGCAACGAGCATTTCGATCGACTCGAGAATCGTCGCTGCATCAACTTGGTACTTCGGTAGAGGCAAGAGCTATCCTTCTACGATACACTCGCGAGATCAAGGCATGGAACGAACGGATTGCCGTCCTCGCAGACTCATCTGTGGAGACCACTACTTCGTGGAAACGAAACCCGACCACTTGATCGTCCTGGCTGACGGAGATCAATCGATGTTTCTACATGAATCGACGAATGATAGCGTTCGCGCAACGCCAATAGTTTAGGTTCGGTGGTCAGCACCTATTCCTTTGTGCATCTGAAAATTCGACATATCGTCCATTGTGAGGCTCCTGTGTCGCCAAGGGGAGTTTGGTTCGCGAGTACCGCGCAGAGCAGAGAAGCTTCAGATCAGCGCCGTAATCTCCGGGAGCAGAGAAATCTCCCTCCGCTCCGGTGATCTCGAGACGGGTCGTGATCGCGGGATGCTTACATTGGCGTTGTAGGTACGGATGTGGTACTGGTGCAGAAGGCGAAGGATTTCCTCTGTTCAGCTGCTGGAGTCGAGCTCTGCACATGGTGCTGCTTGCACCAGAGGGGGTCAAAGGCAGGCGTGGGACAGAGATGATTTCCATTTCGACATTTGATGGCCTCCTGGTCAATTCTATCCTGGAGACCTGTTTACGTCGATAGATCAATTCGTGTTCTACCTGTGCTTTCGAGTGCCAATATTGTCGGCAATGCGTGCCGAGACGAGCGGGAATGCAGGGGCAGTGGACAAGAGCAGGTCCCGTGCCGGGTCGTACCTTATTCTATTATTAACGCTTACTCGGGTTCTGCCCGGAAGATCGGCCCACGTCGCCGGGTCAGATGGTTGGCGTGAGTGCGACTGGGCACCGCGGTGAGCATGGTGCCAGTTGCATGCCATCAGCTGTGCAACACTTATGAGTAAACGAGCTGAGAGCAGAGCGATGTTGGAGGCGAACTTATCGGCACCACACTGAGGGACGCATAGAAAAGAGCGAGCATGGTCGGCGCTAAAAGAGGGAAATCTTGCAGACGCGGACACGAGATGAAACACGCGCGGGAGCATGAGTTTGTCTCATAAAATTCGTCATTCGTAGTCTTCCACAACAGAAGATAACTGATCTCCTCGTGCTATCGAATCCAACATGATTTCTACAATCTCCTCCTGTCCTTGCTCCACGGCATAACGCAGAGCGTCAAGGCCATTTCTATCCGCCGCTTTGGGATCTGCTCCGTGTTTGACAAGAACCTCTACTATCTCTTGATTACCAGATTGCACAGCGACGTGTAGTGCTGTGCGGCCGTCTGGATCCCGCTCGTTCACATGACACGCGCCGCGACGGAGTAGCAATCGGACCATGGACTTCTTGCGGGTTTGAATCGCGACGTGAAGGAGAGGTACGTTCGGTCGGGGACTGATCCGACTCGATTCTGAAGGCTGTATGACGGATAGCCGTTCGAGATCTGTTGTGGAATTTGTCGCCGAGCTCCCTTCTGAGGAGATATACGCGTTTGTGAAAGGATTGTACTGCAGGGAGACAGCCGAGGATGGTGTCTCTCCGTTCGGAGGAGTGATGGAATCGCTCGAAAGCAGCCTTCGGTGCCTGAGCCAATCATCACTCGTCAGATCTCCCGACCTTGAAGGCTGGTGCAGCGGACGAAATTCCTCCGAACCGACGCTCCCGGACTTGAATGCCTTTCCGTGCGTGTATTCTGCAGATGATGAAAGCATTGCTGTAATATCTTCCAGCCTCATATCAAGCGAGTGCGAGAGTTGTGGCGTTGCGGGGAAGGGATATGCGTCCTGCGCGTGCCACGGAAACTGCACCTGCTCGAAGCCGATTGAAGACGGACCCGCAAACTCCGGATCAGGAAGCATTTCAAGTTGTTGATGATTGTGTGGCCGATCATCATCTGTGCCTTCTATAGCACCAGCGAGGTCAAGATCGAAGAGATCACCGATGCCGGACTGCTCTGTTATCGTACCAGCATTGTTCTTCTGCTTTTCTGACGAGGAAATGTCAGACTCTCACCTTCGCATTATTCTCCATATTTAGCGGCTGCGAGACCTCACCTCGAAACTTTTGCTGTGCCTTACGGTTCTGTAGCCTTCGTCGGGTGGAGACCGCTGGCTTGTGTGCTACATCGACAGGCGGATTCGACATTGCCGCTCAGACATTACCATGTGCGTGAGGTGGAGCAGACGTTCTTTGGAAAAGTGACTGAGGGCAGATCCGTCTGATGTCTTGCTTTCAACCATCGCAAGCCACCTTGAAACAAGCTCTGGTCAAGCCCTGCATGCTGTGCGCCGCAGGTGTCACGAAGGAGCTGTACCTCGCTTTTTGTAGAGCAGGTCAGCACTAAAGTGGAATGTGCAGATCGCGCCAGCGATGCTTGAAGCTCATTGCAGTAGAGTAATATTGTGAGTACGTCATACCGTATCTGCCCATTATATCGCATGAGATGGAAGACGCAACCTCGCTTGGTCGAGTAGATGTCACTGCATCTCTGTGATACGTAGTAAAATGGATGCCAAGTGAACTCCACAAATTTAAGCGAGGCGGGCTTTCTCAGGTCTCTCTCGTCAGCCCTGCATTGGCGAAGGATTGCGATCGACAGCACTGATCTTGTATTTCCCGTACGATGTGGATCTGTGCCAAGATGATACACCAACTCACGGTGTTATCCCGTGCCAAAGCGATGCAGTCAAGGTTCCGAGGTCAATGGCCGGTGAGGAAACGTTGGGAGCTCAAGCTGAGTTCTGGATGATGTCGATCGGAAAGGGCGCCGACGGGGGTGGCCGGCCCCAATTAGGCAAACTTTATGAAGATCTCGATAGCGTGATTCACGGATGCTGCCCTAAATCAGCCCACAGCTGAGCATCTAGCTTGAAGTCCTGCACGTGCATGTTGTCCGTTCGGCTGAAACACCGCTTGTGTAGTGCTTACAGGTATCACAGGGCTCCAGCTTATTGTTCCAGCATGCATTGTCAAGACTGTGTGAATCTCTCAACGTCTGACTGCATGTTAAGAGTGATGTGCCGTCGGATCCGAGCTTATCTCTCGGATATGACCTTTGCGTTTGCATATTTAGGGTTCAAGAGACACAGTGCCTTGCCTCGATAAGGGCACTATACGTGGATGTGATAAATTCGAGACTTGTACGTGTGTATTTGCCTATCTATGTGTGTATCGTGCATGTATGCTAAGAATCCCATATGTGTACCCATGCATTTGCCCGTCTACGCATTCGCCGAAAAGAACCAAGCGCCCACAAATCAAAACCCCCAACAAAAGAGAAAATCACCCAAAACACCCACCATCATCCAACGCCGTCCCACGGATAAGCACATGTCAAGGAATATGCAGGTGTCTTTTAGCGTCGGCCACCGAGCTTGAAGTACCCCTGCCACAGTCGTATCAGCTTACCTTCAGGGTCGTACTTTCGTGCAATGCTCTTGAGTCGCTGATAGTTCTCTCGCCCGTAACCCTTTAGGACTTGCTGATCGACGCCAGCATAGTTCAGGTAGACAAAGGGGGTGTAGACGTTGTGCTTCCGAGCCACATCTTCGAGATCGGCAACAAGCTTTGTAGTAGCAGAATAGACTAAGTCATCGTTCTTGGCGTTGTGCCACAACGTGGGGAACGAGATCATAATCAAAGCACCATCCTCAGCCTTGAGACCGAATGTGTTCCCGCCGTTCCTCTTCATTCGCTCGAGTACATTTGTGGGAATAGGCTGAACGAGGGCACCCGGTTGAACGCTGTCTTCCTTCGCATCACGGAAAAGGCCATTGTTGCGCGACTCGAAAAGAGCCATAGTCTCTGCAAAGAATGCCGGTGGGAACGATGCTTTGACCACGACATTAGACCACGTCCAACGACCACCGTAGGGCGTGGAAGTGGTCTTGAGGAATGTCGTTACGGGAGCGGCGACGGTGGTGTTGTACGTCGCTCCGGGAATGCGCTGAAATGGTTCATAAACAGCAGGAATACTGGTTGGCGGCGATGGGACTGTGGCGTTCAAGAGGCCGACGTTAGTGGTGTACTGGCTGGTAGCTGTATCATAATTGATGCCGACATATGCCGTTGAACCCAGTTCTTTGGGCATACCGTTAATAGTGAGGTTCTGGAATGTGGAAACGACAGTCGCATTAGAGCTGCCAGGAAAGCCGAGATTGTTAGCCCAGATATCTCCCTGCTCAAAGGCGAAAAGATCGAAGCGAGTGACAATGCCGAAATTGAGTCCAGCTCCACCTCTGAGCGCCCAGTACAGGTCATTGTTCTGCTCTGGCGATGCGTAGACCAGATTTCCAGATGCAAGCAAGACTTCATAGCCAAGAACGTTGTCGCATGCCCAGCCGTAGACGCCAGAGAAGAATGAGATCCCACCGCCAATCAGGAGACCCGAAACTCCAACGTTCAAGTCTCGGCCTCCTACGACAGCAAGGCCCATAGGCTGGATGATATCGGTGACGTTGCCCCATCGATTTCCGGGGCCAACAGAGACCATCGAACGATCTGCAGATACAGTGACGTTGTTGAGATGCACCAAATCGATCGTAACGCCATCCACAATGCTAGAGCTTCCTGCGACAGGATTGTGCCCTCCACCTTTCACTGTGAAGCGATAGTTTCCTTGAGTCAAAATCTTCATGATTGACGATAGTGTTTCGGTATTCTTGGGCTCCACGAAGCATCGTGGTTGGGTTTCCTCTTGCTGATTGGACCAGTATCCAGTCGATTGAATGTATGCCGTGGAGTTAGGATAGGCGACATCCTTGGGGAAGACGCTCGCTAGAGCTGTACACTAGAATGATGTCAGTCAGGAATGAGAAAGGTTGGCATGGAGAAACTCACACCATCCCGGATTGGAAATGGGCGGAATGAAGAAGAGTTTGCAGCGGCTGCTGCTGCAATGCCGCCAAGACTGCAAAGCAGCACAACGTTGGAAGCTGCTACCATATTGAGTGACCGAGGAGATCGATGTAGGAGAAGCTGTGCAATCTCTGAGTGAGTATGCTCGATGGTTTACAAGATGATTCGAGGCACAAGAAGGTCATCGTCCTGACTACTTATATCTCTGCCATCGACCATTATGCCCCCATTCTAGGACTGTTCGCAGTCCCTCAGCTCGCTTACGGATAAATTTAGCAGACCAACGACGACTCACCGACTGGCTAATTCCGCTCCGCTGACCATGTGTGAAGGACACATCCTTCACATAATCAGGGATCGGGCCATAGAAGGGCGGCCGCAAGCTGAGCCTGATGAGATGCTTAGCATGGGGGCGTCTTCTCGCTTACTGTTGGATGTCTAGGCGCAGGACTCGAATAACCACGTGCGGACCACGCGGGACGCGTGGTCTGACGGAGGGCAGGATCGCTTATCGATCGGAATAGAGATGAGAGTCCCAGTAGTCAACCACGTGAAGGCGGTGCCTGCGTGTGATGTTACTTTGCGACCCCAACACTAGTGACATTCTCACCTTTGCCTACATGTGATATTACTTCACGGCCACCACAATAGTGATAATCTCACCTTTGCTTGCGTGTGATATTACTTCGCGAGTACGATGGTGGTAAATATTCTCACCGTTGCCTGCGTGTATGTTACTCTGCAACCACAACAGTGGTGACATTCTCACCTAGCCCCGATCTGGTGGCTGTGCCGGGCTCTCGGCACCAAATGCAACATTCCTGATGCCCAGCGAGCCCGATGGAATGTGGCGTCTGCGAGCGGCTTACGATGGCTGCCTGATCCCCTGCCTGAAGGATTCCAAATTAAGCGAATTGTGTGGAAATAATACAGATATAGAATCCTGCAGCTTAGCGAGCAGCTCAGCCTTCAATTGCCGACAAAGCGTGTTCTGCGCCAACTCATGTGTATCTGACGAGATACGCTACTTCCAGATCGTCGTGAGGAATGTCGTTACTTACACGCGATTGGTCAAAGACTACGATAGAACCACAGTGACTCTCAGAACGTTTGCAAACAAGTGCTGGAAACGCTAGCTTGTCGGTAAACCACCCGGTAATATTGAAGGAGACATGTGGCATTCCATTTTGAAGGTGCCGATTAAACACAGAGAAATCGGGAAGTTCCAAATTTCAATTCATTCATGTTATCGCAGTGTTTACTCTATGCAAATCGAGGAGGTTTTGCGTCTACCACGGGATCTCCTCGCGAGTGTCCACGTCGAAGAATTTTCCAGATGTGCTCTCGACAGTCGCAGGGTCGATCAGAGCGATGATGTTCTTGGCGCTCTGTTCGCTGGATGTCTCAGGAAGTGCAATGCCAGCACCGGTAGCAGCTCCGATTCCCATGTCGGTGGCGACGAATCTGCGAAATCAGGAATTAGTCTCAGTGCTTCTATGAAGGAACAAATCAAGATCCTGCTGGATCATGCATAACTTACCCTGGGTGGACCGCGAAGGCGATGAGAGACGGGTTGCCCACGCTGAGAGTCCTGTGCGTTGTGTTAGTCAGGTCACCATTGTATCGTCCTCGGCATGGAACGTACTTAGTGAACCAGTTCAGGGCGGCCTTGGAGACACCATAGGCGGCCGCGTATGGATAGAAAGGAAGAGGGGCGGCCGTCGAAGCGATACGGGTGGAGATGGAAACCCACTTCGGCGCGCTAGACTTGACCAGAAGTGGGTGTGCTGCTTGGTAGAGTGCCAAGGGGCCCACAGCGTTGATGTTGAAGCTCTCAGTGAAGGCCTTTGGGTCGGCAGACTCAAGAGGACCTCCACCAATGGAGACACCTGAACTGGCAATGACAATGTCAATGTGGTCGACACCTGCGGCCGCGGCTTCTTCGATGGCCTTCTTGGGAGAAGTGAAGTCGGTGGCCTCGATGCCAACCACGATCAAGCGAGAGCCACTTGCTGCGGGCAGGCTCTTCGCCTGTGCAGCCTGTGCACCCTTAGGGTCACGGACCGAGCCAATGACGATGTGGTTTGGTTTGGCGAGGTAGGTGGCGGCCAAGGCCTTTCCAATACCTGTGACACACCAGTATTAGAGCCAAGATCCAGCGAGCGAGCTCGGCTGAGGAAGCGAGCCAAGACATACCTCTACCGACGCCGGTAACGAGAACCACTGTGGGGGAGCTCATGGTGTATGATGTATTCTTGCTGAATGGGTTTGCTTGCTGAATGTGTATGCTGAGAGCCAATCACGGTGTGAAGTTTGAATGTTATCGAGGATGGATGAATTATCAGAAAACCTGCAGAGAGCACCTTATCAAAGAGACGGTGGCCAACTTCTTGCTTTGAAATCGGATACATCAATTATTCAGCGCTGGTGCTGTGTTGCGGCGTGGTTTGCATTTCGCGAGCAGGTTTCACGATCTACGCACAATGATGGCCTGGGATTCAGAGGAACACTCCGGCAGGCACACCTGCATGCGCCTCGCCGAGCATACAAGCCGGCGGGCGTGTAATCGTTCGGCGCGCGAACGCACGTAATCCCAATCCTGCGTCGCACGGCATCGCATTATTTCAAGGCAATCTTGATTGTAATCATTAGAAATCTGCTTAAAAATCCTCGGAGATAAGAAGCCCTGGCTATTCATAAGCAATTAGGCTGAGGTACCAGGCACGTGCGGTATGCACCTAAGCAATAGGCGCCGGGCCTTGCAGATTAGCTCGGCGATCCTGATATGCACATAAGCAAACCCCCAAGCCGACATGTCTGTTCGCGTGGCATGATGACCGCGACGTTGTGTCTGTCCCAGCCCTATGCCCTCTCGACTGCAGCGTGTATTATCATGGTGAGCAACTTTGCATGTTTGGCGTAATCAGAATCGTCCATAGACCATTGAAAGGTTTCCTAAAATTACTTGTGCATAGCCCTGAGCTTGTACGCGCCGCAGTCCCTTTCGCGCTGTGCCGCACAACCAATCATCATCGCTGCTATCCGTTGTGCTACTCTCCAGAATGGGCATCACGATAGCAAGCACGGCCGCCCTTGCGGGCATAGTCTTGTTGTTGACTGTGACATACGTGCTCGGTCTTGCATTCTATCGACTGTATCTAAGTCCGCTTGCAAAATTCCCCGGGCCAAAATGGGCAGCCGTCACGAGCTGGTACCAGAGGTATTTCGACCTCATCGCCGAACAACATGGAGGGCAATTCCCAAAGGAGATCAGACGAATGCATGAGCAATACGGCCCAATCGTGCGGATTGCACCGGACGAGCTTCATATCGATGACCCAGAGTATTGGCATGAAGTCTACGGCAACAGCAGCACGGCAAAGCCTATAGATAAGCAAGCAAAGCTTCAAGATCGATTTGGCCTTCCTGGCGCGATATTCAGCACGCCCGAAGCCGAACTGCACCGCACGCGTCGACATGCTATGGCTGGTTTCTTCTCTCGCCCGAATCTGCGCGAAACGCAAAGCCGTGTCAATGCACTCGTGGAAAGGATGTCACAGCGTATATCGACAGAGTATGCGGGCACCAATCGTGTTCTGGACGTGGGAGAGATGTTATCGTGCCTGGCGGTGGACATTGTGACGGAGGTCTGCTTCCGACGTTGCACCAATTGCATAGAGGCCCCAGACTTCAAGGCACCACTTGTCCTGACAGTCATGACCACTATATGGATGAGCCAATGGAGTGCACATTTCAGACCCGTGATTGCGTTGATTGAGAGTCTTCCGGATTTCGCTGTTCTCAAACTCCTTCCCACACTGAAACCCATCCTGGATCTTCGCGTCAGCATCAGGAATCAGGTCCAGCAGATACTCTCACAGATGAACAAACCCACAGTGGGAACCAAAGATTTTCGGGGCTCCGGTCAAGATACGATTTTTGACGAGATGCTCGCGTCCAAGACTCCGAGCAGCGAGCTTACCCATGACCGTCTCTCACAAGAAGCGATTGGTCTGACCACCGCCGGCGTAGAGACCGTCAAAGCTACCATGACGTATGCGATATATCACTGCCTGGAAGATCCTGCCGTCGGCGCACGTCTCAAAGCGGAGCTTGTTGAAGCAATCCCGAATCCGGCCGTCATCCCGCCTTGGGTAGAGCTTGAGAAGCTCCCATATCTCACTGGCGTGATCAACGAGAGTAGGTAATCTGATGCTTGTCTTTTGAGCGCCCACACTGACAAACTCAGGTTTGCGCATGAGCTACGGCACAGTACAAAGAAGCCCACGCATCAATCGCCTGCATCCAATGCAATATAAAGAATGGACGATCCCACCAGGCACAGCTGTGGGCATGGACTCCTACCACATGCATAATAATCCAAAAGTCTTTCCGGACCCGTTCGTGTTCCGTCCCGAGCGTTGGACTGGGAACCCCAAGGGTCCGAATGGCGTGCAGCCCTTGACGAACTATTTGACGACTTTCGGTGCTGGATCGAGAATTTGCGTTGCGATGAACTTGGCATACATGGAAATTTTCGTCACACTCGCTACAGTTCTGCGACGCCATGAGTTTCAGCTATTCGAGACAACGTCGGCCGACGTGGAATTCGCGATCGATATGATAGCGCCGATGCCGCAACGAGATAGCAGAGGCGTGCGGGTGACTGTCGATGCATGAACACGACATATGCCCTATGTCTATCGCGTTGGTCGTCTATCGCGTTGGTCGTCTATCGCGTTGGTCGTCTATCGCGTTGGTCGTCTATCGAGTTGGTCGTCTATCGCGTTGGTCTACATAGGCACGTCTCTATTTATTTATCACGTCCGTCTTATAGGGATGGGTCATATCGTACGGGGCAGTCCGATGACTCATCTGACACTGTTGCTTACCGATGACTAATACTCGACCTGCTCCTTTTGCCTCGATCGTCATTGTCCACCTGCGCATCACATGGTTTTTATCAAGCTGTCGTAGGCCTCAAGCTGTCATGCCCAGAGGGCTTCTGCAGTCACGTGATTTTGCCTTCGATCTAGCTAATCAGAGGCGAGCTTCGCGCTACTCTATACTATCGTCGCTACCGTATCACCTGTTGTAATGACCTTGCCTATCCACCAATGAGCCGTCAGGACTTGATTCAATACTATTTACATACAGAGCCGGCATCAGCATATAGTCCAGCTGCCAAGGCCTATTGGCCGTTGGACTGAGGCCCGCCTGGTAGCTGGGTTGCCTCAGGCACAGAATGGTGATGTCAACACAAGGACATCACACTGTGCGGTGTTGACACCTGCATGCAGGTGTAGCCAAGATGGTATTGGAACGGTGCGCCGTAGCCAGGCAAGACTTTGCGTTATATTGATTCCCACAATTTTGGTCTTCGGCCAGACGAACATGTTGTCGGGCATGCCATATCGCATCCGACCATGCTTGTCGTGTTGTTTAAATGCATGATGAGTGATAGGTAATTAAACAGGACTTGTGAATTGCGATCTGCGTGCGCCGTTGATGTTAATAAGCGAGGGTGCATCTTTGTGGCGCAAGGCGTCCCACTTAAGACTCGATGGTAAGTGAGCATATGCCTTTTGGATAGGCATGGTGACCTCTATCACTGCCAGGTTTCCAACACTTGATCAATCTTGGGTTTACCAGGACAAAATGTTCCGAAGGAAAGAAGTACGGCTGCGCCACGGACCGCCCAACGGTGCCCGGTCTTGCTGACATGCATAAGCGCAGAGATCGACACTGCGCATAAGCATTTTAGTGTCGGCTTATAAACTATCGATCCTGGCACATGGCTATGGCTGTGTATGAGGATATCGGGGAGCAGTAAGCATGGGCACACCAGGATCCATTACCCGAATATTGTCAATACAAGAAAGAAGCCAGCACGTGGTAATTGCCGGTCGGCTGACTCAGCCAGCATATTACACAAATGCTTTATCAGAATGCATTACCTAATGCTGCCCTCGTTTCAAGCGCTTGGAGACGTAATCAACCCAGAACAGGAGAGATTTCTAGTGCATACGAATTGTCTAATGCTTCACGCCATTCTTGGGTGGCATCATCCGATGAAGAAATTCCGCTTGTTTCTCAAAGACCTCCAGAGATCCCTCACCGGTCAGGATGTCCATATGTGCTCTGTCCTTGATCGTCACAAATTCCTTGTGTCCAGAGAGCTTGTCGTAAATGAGCGTTCTCTGCAATTCAGGCGGCGAAATCTCATCATTCTCGCCGGTCATCATCAACACTGGCGTAGGGTCCACGAAACCCATGAGTGCCATCGGGCGGAAGGCGGCGATGTTGTAGTAAGTCTGGAGTGTCGTCCGAGGTATGAAGGTCGGCTCAATGGCGGCATGACGTGTGATTATGCCCAGGACATCCTCTTTCTGAAAACCGACGCCAAGTCCTGCAGGTTGTTCCCCCGTCTCAGTCAACAACGGCAGATACATTGGTGCGTTACCGGCAAGTTGTGATTCTCGATCTTTCATACACTTGGCCAAGACTTGCTTCCACTTGGTAAATTCCCAGAATGTGGTGGCTGCGCATGCGACAACTGCTTTTGCTCTTTTATCGAGGGCCGCCGCACACAAAGCGATCGCTCCGCTGAAGGAATAGCCCCAGTACGCAATCCGATCGGGGTCCACCAAGTCGCGACGATGTACCTTGAGGTAGGTCAGAGCATCGTGGTAATCTTCCATGTTCTTGAGAGGTTGGTTGTCGTTGCGAGGCATTCCATCGCTCGTTCCAATGCATCGCGGATCGTAACCCAAGACGGTGAATCCTGCCGCATTCATATATTGACCGGCTTCGAAAATGATCATATCCTTCGTGAGATTGAATCCCGGAGTCATGATAATAGCAGGACCTCGTGGAGGGCCCGGGAAGAGCCATCCTCGGAGTGTGAGGCCGTCGAAAGTCTTGAACTCAACATCTTCTTTGTTCGACATCTTGTGAATGATGGTCAAGGAGCGCGATCGTGTCGAACCGGTAGACGTGAATTCGTCCCAGAAGGAAACGGTGGTAGATACCTCGATGTAAAGAATGACCAGGGTGCTGCAATCGAGCGCACGATAGTTTGCTGAACGTGCTATAGATGATAGTATCATGTCGCAAGCCATGTGAAATCATGTGTAAGCAGCTCTTACATGATTACAATGCCGAGGTTCTCCAGTACATATGCACGTAAGCCGACTTGGGAATGATCATCCAGGTCACCGACAGGAAAGCTGACAAACAGCACAGAGAATCGCAACAACAGCGAGTGATCAACATTGAAGTTGCGGGTAAGCAGCCTTGGAATCTGACCCGTAGCGTTTGCCGGATCTTGATCCTTGACATCTAGAGATAACGATTCCATTGTGGAAAGATTCAAGAAGGGGTACTTGCAGTCGTCCCTAATTCGTCTCTAGTTGGACGATCGCATTCACCACTAGATTGTGTCTCATCACACTACTGATTGTTTACACACAATGGCGTCCGTATCAAGTACTTTCTCGGACATCGACCCTAACAACTTCACATCGAGCGCCAGTGAGAGATGCTCAAGTGACCAGGATGTCGTCCCTCAACCTCGTCGTGAGACTCAAGTCCCAATTGCAATCATTGGTATGGGATGTCGACTTCCTGGACATAGCACATCCCCTACCGCACTATGGGAGCTCCTCGAACGAGGCGGCGTGGCGAAGAATGAACCACCATCATCAAGATTCTCGCTGGCTGGCCACTACGACAGTGCCAATCCTGGTCGTCCCCGGACGATGAAGTCGCCTGGAGGCATGTTCATCGAAGACGTGGATCCAGCCTTGTTCGATGGCCAGTTCTTCAACATCAGTCGAACAGAGTGCATTGCTATGGACCCACAGCAACGTCAAATACTCGAAGTAGCTTATGAATGCCTTGAAAACAGTGGTATTCCGATTGAGACTCTCAGTGGCACGAACACCGGTGTCATTGTGGGAACCAACTTCATAGGTAAGATTTCAGCCTCCGTCTTCCATAGAGCTCTACTAATAGACTCCCTTCAGATTATGGTAACATCCAAGCTCGGGATCCAGAGAACCGAGCCGAATCAATCATGATCGGCTTGTCACCAGCTCTTCTCAGCAATCGCGTCAGCCACTTTCTGAATGTACATGGTCCAAGTATGACTGTGGACACAGCATGCTCAGCGGGACTTGTATCCCTAGATGTCGCCTGCCGATACCTGGACAGCTTTCAGACAGACTCTGTCTTGGTTGGAGGCGCGAACTTATGGCTCAGTCCGGAGCACAACGAAGAAATCGGCATGATGCACGTCACGCAATCTGGTTCGGGAAGATCAAAGAGCTTCGACGCTTCTGCAGACGGATATGTCAAAGCTGAAGGTGTCAATTGCTTCTTCTTGAAGAGACTCAATGATGCAGTACGGAATAACGATCCCATTCGTGCTATCATTCGAGGTACTGCAGTCAATGCATCCGGACGAACAAACGGCATTGCCAATCCTAGCTCAGATGCACAAGCTATGGTAACAAGGCAAGCTCTGAAGAATGCAGGTATCAAGGAAGAGGAGTTTTCGAAGACAAGATACCTCGAGGCTCACGGCACAGGTACTCTTGCTGGAGACCCGATCGAAGCCAGAGGTGCTGCATCAGTATTTGGCAAAAGCCTCAATCCTAACCAGGAGCTTATCATCGGCTCAATCAAAAGTAACATCGGCCATTCTGAGCCTACGGCCGGTCTTTCTGGCTTGTTGAAAGCCGCCATGGCCGTCGAGAAGGGCATCATTCCGGGTACACCAACATTCTTCGCACCAAATCCGAACATCGACTGGAAGGGTCTCCGCCTCAAAGCCAGCCGTATGTCGTTGCCTTGGCCCAAGGTAGATGCAGATAACATCCGACGAGCGGGTGTTAACTCGTTCGGGTATGGAGGTGCCAACGCCCATGCTGTGGTCGAGAACGATGCTCGAGGACTCTCTCGACATATCTCTTCGTACAAGCAAGTGACAAGCAACTTTTTCGATGACGATGATGAAGACGAAAATAATTCCAACGCGGATAACAGCGAAGGAGGTATCCCAAAGCTGCTCTTCTTCTCGGCCAACGACCAGCCGTCCCTGGATGAATATGTCAAGAAGCTCAGCTCACATATCCAGAACCCTCTAGTTTCGCTTGAGCTGGACGATCTAACTTTCACTCTTTCCGAACGACGAAGCAGACATTACCAAGGTGCTGTGTCCATCGTGCGCTCGAATCCACAATACATCAACAAAGAAACTTTGATTCGCGGCAAGCGTATGTCGACGGCACCGAAAGTAGGGTTTGTTTTCACAGGCCAGGGCGCCCAGTGGCCCACCATGGGCGCCGAGTTGTTGAGAGACTTCCCATTAGCTCGCAGAACTGTCGAGCACCTCGATACTGTTCTGCAAAGCCTATCAGAACCACCGAAGTGGTCGCTGGTAGAGGAGCTAACAGCCACACGAAGTGTGGAAGCGCTTCGTCTGCCTGAGTTCTCGCAGCCTCTGGTGACTGCGTTGCAGATCGCGCTGCTTCGTATCCTGGAAGACTGGGGAATCATGCCCGTCGCGGTAGTTGGTCACTCGTCTGGAGAAATCGCTGCCGCCCATGCTGCCAATCTCTTGAGCGCTGCCGATGCAATTAAGGTCGCATACTATCGAGGGCAGTCCTCAAAGAAATCGCCTTCAAGCGATCGCGTGGGTATGCTCGCCATTGGAATTGACGAAACCACCCTCGCAGGATACCTGGAAGCCAAACCTAGCAAGATTCAAATTGCCTGCTACAATAGCCCCAATAGCTTGACCCTCTCAGGACTCACATCAGAGCTCGAGGAGTTACGCGATCGGATCCAAGCCGATGGCCATTTTGCGAGACTGTTGCTGGTAGATCTCGCATACCATTCAAACTTCATGGCTGAGATTGGTGAGGTCTACGAGGACATGCTTCACAAAGATGGTCTGTTCGACCAAGCTCGGCAGCCGACCGCGAGCACGTCGGTCGCCATGTTCAGCTCGGTGACATCGGCTGTTGTCGACCCACAACATAATCTGGACGCAGCTTATTGGAAGCAGAACATGGTCTCGCCAGTCCGGTTTGCGTCCGCCACCGCGGAACTGTTAAAGCAAAGCAATGTTGACTTCCTCCTTGAACTCGGCCCAAGCAATGCTCTGGCAGGTCCCATCGCCCAGATTAAGAAAGCCCTTGGTAAGGAAAGCCAATACACATCGACACTGAAGCGTAATGCGGACTCCACTCTGCCTATGTACGAGGCTGCAGCGCGACTATTCCTCGCAGGTCACCAGAGCGTGAGCTTGGCAAAGGTGAACTGTGTCAATCCGCAAACGTCCAAAGTCATCATCGATCTACCAAACTATGCATGGAACCACTCGACACGTTATTGGCACGAAACTCGTGCGAGTCGAGATTGGCGGTTCAAGAAGTTTATCAATCACGACCTTCTGGGCTCGAAGATCAGCTCACTTGGATGGAATGCGCCTGTGTTCAAGAATACCATCAAACTCGCGCATCTGCCGTGGCTGCGAGATCACCGCCTGGGCACTGATGTTGTGTTTCCGGTACGTTACATGCCTTCCTTACTCATCGCAGATCTCAAATTTCCGTTTAATCATCGCGAGGTGAACCCATCAGCTTACTAATCTGTTAAACAGGCAACTGCCTACATAGCCATGGCGGTGGAGGCTGCGTATCAGACGGCAATGGTTACGAAATGGAAGCACCAAGCCCCTCCTCAATATCGATTCAAGCTTCGGGACGTCAAGCTTCTTCGTGCTCTTGTTTTGACCGAAGAGGTACAGACTACCATTTCTTTGGCACTCTCGCCGCTCCGAGAGAGCTCAAATGGATCATGGTACGAGTATCGCATGTGCTCGGAACAAGAAGGTGTCGATGTGGACACTGTCCACTGTACTGGTATGATCTGTGTGGAAACAGGATACACGACTACTTCCAAAGTTGTCGAGCCTTTGGAACTAAGTACAAGCGCACGACAATGGTATAAAATTATGGCCGACATGGGCTACAACTTCGGAGCGTCCTTCCGGAAGCATCTGATGGTTGAATCTACGATGGGCCAGCTACAAAGCCGATCGACAATCGATCTTCAGCCTCCTCCTTCTCAGCCCGAAGGTCAATCATGGTATCCTCTTCACCCAGCCGTATTAGACGGATGCTTTCAAGCAACGACACCCGCGCTGTGGAGAGGTCACCTACCCCAGGCGGTAGATCCAGCTCTCATCCCCAAGGCTATTGGTAGCATGATCATCGAATCCGGAAGTGCACACAAATTGCGCAAGCTCGCAGAGGGTGTTGCATACGCATCTGCACAATATCTCGGTGCCGGAAACGTTGATCATGCTCGCAATTACAGCACGAGTGTCGAGTTGCACGACCCTACCGACGGTTCCCTTCTATTCAAGCTGCAGGGTCTCGAATGGGCTGAGATGGAGACTAGCGATGAGGAAAAGATCCCACATCAATTCATGAATGTCCGTTGGGACGCTGACATCGATCTGCTCATGAGCAAGGAGCAAGCGCTGAGCAAGGCTTATTTGAATACCAAGACGGTACAGCAAATCATCGACCTGGTGGCTCACAAGAGCCCGTCCCTCAGTATCTTAGAGGTCAACCTTAGCACACTCGATGGCTCGAACTTGTGGATGGATGAAAGCGAAGCTGAGTCCGACAGATCCATTCGAGCGGCAAGTTCGCAGTACCATTTCGCGGTTCGAGATCCAAAGACTTTGATTCAAGCGCAGGAAAAGTTCAATTCTCGAAGCCCACATCCGCAATTTCATCTGGTCATGGACGCGACCAAACCTGCTTCCATTACCGGGGCAGACAGCATCGACTTGGCAATCGTTAATCCTGGCCAAGAAGACAATGGTGATCTTGCTCAATTCCTTCAGGGCTTGGCCCTCTCTATTAAGGACGGAGGCTATTTGATCTCTCAGCAGCTGCCGCAAGTCGAGTCTCTCGGAGAAACAATTCACTTGGACAGTGGCGTAAGCATCTGTCGTGTACAGAGACAGCCGAAGTCTGAGATCTCGATCGAGGCTGTTGAGGAGGCTCCTGTCAGAGTTGTTACCCGCGTCAGCCTACTGAACACTGCCGCCCAAGATCTCATTTCCGACAGTCTCGCAAAGCTGACCACAGACCTGGCAGCGGAGAAGTGGACGCTTTCAAGCAGTGCTCAGCCACTTGAGGACATAACCTCCAGCACCAATGTTGTAGTGGTTCTTGACGAAATCTTTTCCTCGGTAATGGACAACATCGATGCCGAGCAATGGTCTCTGTTGAAACACCTCGCCGCAGTGCAGCGACCAATGTTGTGGGTGACAAACCGAAACGCTGATCCTACTCGAGCCGCTGCCGTGGGATTCCTGGCCACGATCCGTGCGGAGGAGCAAGTTCCTTTCTTTACACTTGACGTTGAAGCTAACTCCGGACGCGCGACGATTGATGCTATTGCTGCCTGCTTGGATCGGGTTTGGAATCAGACAACCGCCAACAAATTCGACCCCAAGATAAGTATCGATTACGACTTCGTGGAGCGCGGAGGTGTCATCTCCGTCAGCCGTGTCTACCAGGATGGCGACCTTACTTTCAACCAGAGCAGCCATGTCAGCGAAAGGAAGACTGAACTCATTGATATTCACAAGAGCGAGCTTTTAATCCAAGCGCGCTGTGAGAAGCTCGGTGATTTGGATTCGGTGCACTTTGGCGAAATAGATGCGAAAGTGTCGGCCTTACCCAATGGCATGGTCGAGGTGGAGATCCATGCTGCTGGAATCGGCTACGAAGACTTGGCATCTACATGTGAGTATCTGCCCCATGTCTTATTGCTAATGATCTTCTCAATGCTGACACAGTCATAGTGGGTTCGGCACCCGGCGATGAGACTGCACTAGGCTACGAAGCTGCGGGCGTTATCAGCAAGATATCCGAGGGCGTGAGTGGGTTGGCAGTGGGTGATCGTGTCATGGTGTTCGAAAAAGGCTCTTTCACCAATCGCGTTCGTGCACGTCCTGCTCGGATCCGCCGCATTCCCGATGGAATGGCATTCGAGGATGCAGCCACCATTCCGTTGAACTACTTGACCGCGCTTCATTCTCTCCTGGATCACGCAAATCTGACAAAGAACAAGATTATCCTCATTCACTCTGCAGCGAGCGACGTGGGTACTGCTGCCGTGCAGATTGCTCAATCAATCGGAGCAGAAGTATACACGTCCGTCAGCACTACAGAGGAGAAAGAATTCCTCAAGTCAGTACTCCAAGTTCCTGAGGGTCGTATCTTCGACACTCGCGATGCAAGCTTCGGCGAACTTATCCTTGCCGCGAGCGAGGGCAACGGAATGGATGTGGTCTTGAACTCCTCTGTTGGGGCCACGCTAGACGAATCATTCCGAATTCTCAACAATGGTGGCATCATCCTTGATATCGGCAAGAAGGATGTTTTGGATCGCACCAATCTACCCGTGTCTTCCTTCGACCGGAGCAGCTCATTCAAGACCATCGACTTCACTCCCGAGAGCGCATCTGATGCTCTGATATCTACCTTGATGACTCGGTTGTTTGAATTGATCGACAACGGCTCGATCAGACGCATTGCCGCAGCGCACAGGTTCGGATGGGATGACATTGCCGGCGCTCTTCGCTTCATTCGGCAAGGAAAACACATCGGCAGAGTCGTTCTGACACAGAATGACGAGGTGAAACTTCCGGTAAGTACCATACTCTCGTGGCATCACTGTGAGAAACCAAAGCGAAAGCAGAAAGGCTGACATGATTAATGAACAGGTCCGACGAGCTCCAAAGGCACTCAACCTTCGCGCTGACGGTTGCTATTTCATCGTCAGCAGTCTTCGCGGTCTTTGCGGTGGTCTCGCAATCTATCTTGCTCAACAAGGCGCCAAGCATCTTGCGGTCATGTCCCGCAGTGGCTATGCTGACGAGAAATCGAGATATGTGATCAAACAGATTAACGCATTGGGCTGTCACATCGATCTCTTGATAGCAGATGTGACAGATGCTGAAGCTGTCACCAACGCTATGCAGAAGACGACTGCCCCCGTCGTCGGCATCATACAGGGTGCCATGGTCCTTCGGGTAAGCTTAGTCGTTCGGCGTTGCCAAAGTGTGGTTCACATTAAAGCAAAATGAAACTAATGGATATGTAATAGGACCGACCCTTCGAATCTATGACCCTTACCGAATATCACGAAGCTTTGCAGTGCAAGATCCGTGGCACATGGAACCTGCACAACGCAGCGGAGTCTCTGCAGCTGAAGCTCGACTCTTTTACCATGCTCTCATCGCTGTCAGGCCTCATCGGCCACGCAGCTCAAGCCAACTACGCGGCCGGAAATGTCTTCTTAGATGCATTCGCCGCATGGCGTCGTGACCGAGGACAGCCGGCCTGCTCTATCGACCTGGGTATTGGCGAGGATGCCGGTGTCATCGCCGAAAGCGCCAAATTGCAAAGCTCGACGGAGAAGGGAATGTTCCGCAGCCTTAACGACGGTCAATTACGCAAGATTCTCACCTTTGCGATGCTGCGACAACAGGATATGCCAGCGGCGAACAACAATACAGTGCTCCATGGGTTGGGCTGGAGTCCAATGGTCACGGGTTTGACCTTCCCACAACCCCTCGACTCCGTTCTCAAGGCCGACGCCCGATTCTCTCCTCTTTTCAGCAACAATGAAGGTTCCAAAAGCCTGGAACCAAGCGGCACGAACGCAAACGCCGACATACAGGCATTCTTCTTGCTGCTGCGGACTGCGACCGCGGAGCCCGCCGCGAGACTCAAATCTCTCTGCGACGTAATCAATGGATGCTTCATGCGCATCTTGCGACTTGCAGAGCCTATGGATCCTGAACGACCAATCAGCGTCTACGGAACGGACTCTTTGGCCGCGGTTGAGGTGCGAAATTGGATCAGGACGGAATTGGGCTGCTTGGTGACCACCTTGGATATCATGAACGCCACGTCTCTGAGGGCATTCTGTGAGAAGATCCTCACGAAGCTCTCGGCATCGGAGACTGCTAGCTGAATTTGTAGTTGGACATGTTAATAGAATTCGGATAGTTTGATATTTGATTTTAATGCCAGCCATGATTATTTAGGAATTGCTGTATCCGAGCCGACTGCTACCTCCGTTCTTAGTTTGGGAAATGCGTATGTCTATGAACCGACACCAATTAAGTTATCGCGCAGACCGCTGCCCTCTGAAGAAGCAGGCTGGACGTACTGTCGAGACGTCAGAAAGTGCTCTCGGAAACGGAGGTTATTCCTGATCCATTCGCAGGTCCAACTCTGGATCAAGACTGAATGATAATACCAATGGCTACGCGCAGAGATATACTCGCCTGAGACATGTAGCTCGCGACTACTTAGAGAAAGTAGTCAAGCGATTGTAGACCATATCCGAAGAATTTCTCGAGATAACCCAAACCCTATTGCGGGAATTTGGGTGTCCACATGGGGAAATGCTTTCGTATGATGCGTGGCAGCAGCCACGACCAATATCTGACCGCGTCCAATGCGCTCGCTACCGGAGGCCCATGTCGCGTCATTACAGTATAAGCGCACTCCTCTAGAATATCGTTCGTTGTCAAGAAACTGCAATCTGTGTTCTTCGCGCGGAGTAGGTAAACAGATCCCGGCCAGTCAATCATGGCGGCAGACTACATGGGTAGCCAAGGATATTTTACTCATTGGCATTCCTGTTCATAGCAGATCCATCGGGTTTGGTAAGCCGCAAAAGGAAGTAAGATACATGAAGTGTCTCGCGTTTGAGCACAGGAAACGTTTGCTGGAAGCAATTCAAGATCGGCCAAAGTTTCATGATGAGAGGTCCGCGCGGCTATCCATGGATCACAGACTGTTGACATGGTCAGCATTCTGGCGAATACCTCATTATGCTCTGGACCGCAACGTTATTTCCACTCCTGTACCGCAGTCAAGAACGAATTTCAATGTTTGAAAGGGTTATGAAATTCCTGCATGATCGTCATAGTGAAGGTCCTTCATCGCCGACCGTTTGCTCCAATTGAGCTCACAACCACTTGTTGATACCACTAATTACTCCTTGCGGAATTGCCGCCGGCCCGCAAACACCCCTTGATGTTGGAAATGCTGTAGCGCACCCCTGTCTCTGGAAAACGTGGTCAACAGGAACGATGAGAGCACATTGATCTACAACACAGTACTCACGTAGTGTGATTTCGATCATCGATGCTGTCTGCACAGTGACAGCCATTCTCATTATGCTGGGTTTCCAGCGCAGGTCAGGTCAGGTCTTGTCCGCCCTGCCAAGAGCGACGTCAAAGTGAACACTCGTCATCGATCGTGTTGAGGAACTTGGCTTCTTCTTAGGTGTCCCTGGTGAGAAGGCGATATGAGGATAATTGTGAGTACTTAGGTGTACTTCATCCTTGCTGTATTTGCATGATGCTCAGTACGGCATTGTTCCGCTACATAGAATAATTCCTGTCATCGGGCAAGCAGCGCGACCCAAAGCCTGGCGCGCACCCAACTTTCCGGTACCTTGCACCAAAACCAGAGGTCTTGCGAACAGCTGGCGGAAATTATTCTTGGTCATGCCCTCGTGATGCCTTCTAATCTGTCATCGCCACTCGAATCTTTGAAGATTGTTCATCGGCAATTCACGACACCAGGTGTGCAAATATTTACTATGGCGAAGAAAGAAGTCTGACCATATTACGATCGTCGCGTGAACGGTTGGTCCGACAGGCGAGACGGCCGGACGGCGGCTTCAAAGTCAATCACGGTTTCCCTGTTATTTGCTTGGTCTTCGTTCTCCAACCAATGGGCATGTGCTGGGCGAACCCTTTTTCATGTCGAGTTAAAGTTTGGAGCCCCTGTGTAAATGGGTGCATGAATCGCGTGCTGATACTTGCAAACGTGGGTCTCGTGCGATGGACCACTGATATGACTTGGACAAACATCCTCATCCCAGAACATTGTACATGTCCTATCCTTGACCGATGTCTGCATCGTACATAGTATTGATATGTTATGATCGTGATACTTGGCCAGCCGCTGGAGAAGGGGAGATGTATGATGTATTTGAAACGGTTTTATGGTGGAGACTGGGCTTTGTCTCCCGCGTGATTGCAGGCGTTGGTTCCATGTGCTGTCTCACGGTCTCGAGCGTCACAGTAGAGCACACAAGGCCATTGGCGATTCTCATTGACAACAAGAAACAAGGCTGGGCTTTGTTCTCTCCTCGTTAACTTCTGTCTTCCAATATCTTCGAGTACGCGCGCGCGACGGATGTGCTGGGAGATGTTTGCTCCTCTGCATCTCTCTGTTTGTTCTTCATCAGGGCCCAAAATTCCACCCCCCCCAAACGCGCACGCGCCCCTTGGGAAAAGTTTCCCCTGACGATGACTGTGCTGTGCCTGACTTTGGCGCGTCCCGCCCGCCTTTGAACTAGCGTCTCCCATTGCACGCGCTATCCACCACCACCACCACCCGCCTTTCTTCAATGTGAACGGGGTAGGAGAGAGTCAATTCATCGGGACACCAGATTGCCTCTCGACACTCTCTTTCTTGGTTCCTTGTCGTGTAATCAGCATCGTATTGTAATTTTGCCTCTCTTCCACTCGTTGTATTGCTATCATACTCTTACCATACGCCCCAACTTGCGGCATAATCCACAGCGACGAAGAGCTCACCACTATCTTCGCGATAACACATCTACATCATTCCTTATCGCCTTCGCCTTCGCCTTCTCACATCGATTGGAACTGCACCCTCATCCGTCACAACCGAGAACGTTCTATCCGCTTGCCGATACGACGTTTGAACGGACAACGCCCTCTCGAGAAACGGCCTGCTGGGAACTTGCCTCTTCCTCGCCTCACAATTTCTCTCGACAAGCCTCTCACGGAGTGGACTCAGGAAATAGTCTCGCATAACCACTCGAGTGTTGCCCACTTCATCCGAGAGTGCGCCGTTGAGGACTCCATAAGACCCGATTCGCCTCCAACCTTGTACCGGTCGGTCGCGTGGGAAAAGCAACGGTGCTGGTTGGTTTTACAAGACAGAAAAGCGGGAAAAACTCGAGAAATCATGCAGCTGCCTGACAACCACTGAAAAGCGTCTCTGCATCTACGTCCGTTATCATTGACCTTCACCCTGCGTGAATTGTCACACAGTCTCTCTTTCCCTGCGTGAGCTTGCGTGCGTGTCTCGCTCTGTCGCCCGAGAGACAATACCCTCGCCCTCCACCATACCCTTTGTTTGCCGTGTTTGCACCTTGGCCGACGCTTTCGACCTTTCACACACAGCACATGTCGCTCGTTGACGAGCTTGACACTAAATCGAAATCTCTGGCAGCGAAGAACTCCGGCAGTTCCAATATCCTTACCCTATTCCCATCTGTAATCTCTCCAAGATGCAGCAGCACAACGACACCGTCATTTCGCCCGCTCCTCAGGTCTCGCTCAAGTCGCCTTTACCGGAAGTGAATCAAACAATCTCGACCTCGACTAAGGTCACCTCCGCCGTACATCATGAGCGAATCCCTTCGGTCGTCAGGATCGCCCCAAAGAAGGAGGTGGACGAGGATGAGGAAGACAAGGTCGACATCAAGCCTGTCATGACCGAGAAGACTGCAGTTTATGAGGATGAAAAATCATACATGACTAAAGATGACCGATTATCTCTAGCAGATAGCAAACACGTCTCATATACAGCGGACGAACCTCTTCGAGACGATTCAGAGCTGGAGGAAGAAGACGACGACGACGAAGAGGAATTGGAAGAGGAGGAGGAGGACGGAGAAGAAGAGAGTGAAGAGGACGAAGAGGAGGAGACAACAAAGAAGACCAATGACGAGATTAACGAAAAGGTCGAGGCCCCGAGGATCGAGAAGCACAGCGAGGTTGAATCCGACAATGAAATTGACGCGGAGCCAGAAGCTAGCGAGATCAAAACCGAAGGCGGTGCAGAGGAAGCGTTGTCAGAACTCGATGAAGAGGAAGTAAGAGCCGTTACAGCAGTGGCATCATCGCAGATGTCAGATCACACGTCTCTGCACGAGTTGCCTGCTGTCCACAACGATGTCGCGTACGGGATTGCCACATCGCCTCGCTCATCGATCGCCAGTGACAGGAGATCAATCGTCTCCGAATTGACAGAGTCCGAACTCGGCGATTCCGCCGATGAAGATGATACTGCCTTCACCTCAAGGGAAATATCCATCCGGTCATGTACACCGAATTCGGACAATCTGGCTACTCCCACACCTACATCCGAAGCACCATCTCTCTACATCCAAGCTCATCGTGGACACGACGATCGATATCTCTCTGACAGGATAACAGACGACGATCCCTGCGCGAGACCTGTGTCTCCTCTAAATGCCGAGGAGCTTCACCACCTATCACTGGATAGTATGACATCCATCACGCTGTCCGATTCCAGCTTTGATGACGATCATCGTCTTGCCGCTCAACCAAACGAAGATGTGCTGGCCACTCCTCGTGTTCAAGGCATTGGTCATCGCCGCAAGCCGAGCAGCCTGGATATTCTCCAAAATACCTGGTCCCAACCTCGTCGGCAAAGCACCTTTTTCGACAATGATAAAGACGTGGCCCTGAACGGGTCCATGTCGGCTGTTGACGCCGAACGCGGCGCTTGGCTCAGAAACAGCGTGGATGGCCGCTCTTCGCCGCTTCTTGTGAATGTTGATACAATGAGCAATGCTCACCACCAGCCACCACAGGAAGTTATCGATGACATTGCAGAATTTGGCGAGCTCGTCTCTGCCCGACCTGGATCTACTATCAGCCCATCCTCTTCCGTTTCTTCAGGTGGTGGCCCCTCTGGTGGTGTCAACTGGCTAGCCCTGGACGCCTCAGAATCGCAAGAGAAGACCGACCGCGACCTCCCGGACGGAGCAGAGGACGACGCTGCAGCTTTTCTCCTTGCCCGCCTCGAACAGGAAAATGCCAAATTCACGGCTGATCCTAAGTCTGCTGTCCACCAGGCTGTTGCTCGGGCTCGTGCTAACAGCATGCGCCCCAGTGTCAGCCAACTCAAACGCCTCGTCTCTCAGCAAACGGGAACAACTCCATCAATCCGGTATAGCCATGCTAGCACGGCCGACGCCCGCTCCATACTCGAAGGCTCGGTCGCGGGAGAGCACCAGATAACGCAGCCTCCGGCCATGACTGAGCTCGAGTTCTGGGCTGCGCTCGTACAGGATTATCCATCCACTGCGGTGCGCCTGCCTACCTTGACCACGACGAAAATCCGAAGCGGTGTCCCTCCCCCTTTGCGTGGTGTGGTCTGGACTTCCATCTCTGGAGCACGAGACACCCACCTCGAGGCTGCCTATGAGAAACTCTTGGGTGAGCGAAGTCCTTATGAAGGCATCATTAACAAAGATGTCGGTCGTAGCTTCCCAGGTGTTGAGTTGTTCCGTGATGCCGAGGGCGAAGGGCAAAAGATGCTGGGTCGCGTGTTGAAATGCTTCTCTCTCCAGGACGAAGAGATTGGGTACTGTCAAGGACTGGGTTTCCTGGTGGGACCGCTCTTGATGAATATGGGGGAGAGGGAGGCATTTTGTGTTCTGGTCCGGTAAGAATACTCACCACACTCCTTCACCGATCGAAACGATATTCTGACATACGCTTTCTAGATTGATGGATCACTACTCACTGCGCCCTTCATTTCTTCCATCACTTGCAGGACTGCACATGCGCATCTTCCAGTTCTCGTCTCTCCTCAAACAACACAACTTCCAGCTGTTCCAACATCTGACCGAACTCGGTGTCGAGCCCGCATATCTTTCTCAATGGTTCCTGTCCTGCTTTGCAGTCACTTGTCCACTACCCATGCTCTTCCGCATTTACGACGTCATTTTCGCCGAAGGCGCTAACGAAACGGTCATGCGTGTCGCCCTCGCACTCATGCGACGTCATGAAGAGCGCATGCTCGCTTGCCACGAATTTGAAGAGATTATGCAGCTTCTCCTCGGCCGCGAGATTTGGGACTGCTATGGTGGCGACGCGGATGTGCTGGTGGACGACTTTACATCGCTCGGCGAAATTGTTACCTTTGCTCGCCTTGCAGAGCTGGAGCGTGATTTCGAGACAAAGTCTCCAGGAGCAGTAGGGACTAGTGCAGGTTTCTTGCCAGATGTTCAAGCAGCAGCCTCGCGTTTCCTCGGACGCCTGTGGGCCCCTGGTGCTCCATCTACGGCAAGCAAGACGAATGCCACTTCGATCAAATCTGCTAATAATCCTCTCTCGCCACAGTCGGCGGAGAAGGAGTCCAGGCCTACCGGTCTGTTCGGCCGACAAAGCAGCTTCCTACGCCGGACGCCTAGCAAGCAAAGTATGAGCGCTGGAACGGAAGTCAGCCCTAGTGATGACAGCGCCTCTTCGAGTGGTGGTCGTTCTATGTCGACAGCCCCTACGGAAGCAGACGGCTCGTACATCGATGCCAATGGTATCCTTCGCGAAAGCAGCATGGCGGACAATATGAGTCTCAAATCGAAACCCGAGTCTGTAATGCCCAGCACACCAGGTCATCACACCCGGGAGGAGCAGGAGCTACACGGTCAGATCGAGGACCTCTTGACCGCTCTTAGTGAGATGCAACGGGAGCATGCCCAACTCGCGGCCATGCTCCAGCGTGAGCGTGAGGACCGCAATGAGGATCACACAATTATGCGTCAGGTTGTGACAAAGCTACGCAAGGACAGCTTTGGAGGCAATGGTCGCGACGCTTCCCAAGATGATCGTCGACGCACCTTGCCGCCCCCAGCGCGTGGTATGCATCTTCAAATTGACACACAACAGCACCAGCAAGCTAAAATGCGTCCGCTGAGCGTGGGTGGCCAGCCTGCATCTGACTCCGCTATCAAACTTGTTGACCGTGGATTGACTCCGCCAGAGGAAGAGCCCAATGCCCAAGACGAAGATGAAACGGCGACTCTTGTAGAAGCCCTTTCCACACGCTTGACCACTCGTCTGCGCTTTTCAACCAACCTGGAGACCAAGGCGCAGCTCCGAAGCACCCTCGCAAGGACCCGTGAGCAACTCGCGTCAGCTGAAATGCAATCACGCGATCTCGCTGCGCGTTTGCAATCTACCGAGGCTGCACTCGATGCCTTTCACGCTGACTCCGAAGACCTTCGCTCTGAAGTAAAGGAGTTGCGAACCCGCGTCAACGATGACTTCCGTGCTCGCCAGCGTCTGGAACATCAACTCGGCGAGGCCAAAGCATTGGCCCGCCGAAGAGAAAGACGCGGGGTTGCTGGAGAGAGCCTTCTGTTGTCATCATCCGCTGGCAGTGCCGATCCATCATGCTTTTCGCCTCCGCGACTGCGCAGAATGGAGACGAGCCCTGATGGCAACTGGTCGTCGGCCCGCAACGGCAGTGTCGCGAGCTTACCTGCGGTATCGATCGTGTCTCCCACAGGAGCAACGAGCAACCACGGAGGCCTTCGAGAGCTGAAACTCGTCCGCCGAGGATCTGCTTCAATGATCCCTGCCGCGAAACCGCCTTCGCGCAGCAACACTGCCAGCCTGCTCAGCAACATCCTCTCTCCCCTGACCACCGCGGTAAACGGCGAAGACAGCAACAAGTCGTCTCCCGTCACCAGTCCCTCCGCCCACAGCCTTCCTCCTCTACCGACCATCTCAACAACGTCCCCCATCACACCCACCTCCGGCACACAGCCCCAACCATTCTCCTTCAACCAATCCGCCGCCCCGCTCGTACCCTCACCTCGCCCACACGCCACACCCGCCGGATTCTCCCGTCGAACCTCGTCCCTCGCCGCCCGCGATCTCCTAGCTGTGACCACCGGTCCGCAAGGGACTCCGCTCACACCCCCGCCCGCCGAAGAAGACGCCTCCCTCCTCCTCGAACTAGTCAATGCGAAAACCTCCGAGGCTCAAGCACGCCAGGAAGTCGACGAGCTGAAACGTGCCCTCGCCGTCGGAAGGCGTAAACAGGAACAGGAACTCCGTGCTTTACGCGCTGAGATTGAAGTGCTGAATCGCAGCGCTGCTACTGCCACAAAGGGTCGCTCTGGGGAAGAGCTCGTTGCGCGAACGGCCAGTCTCACGTCGAACTCCGCGGACGGTCTCGGCGAGGATGGTACTGCGACGTCTTCGTCTTCTACCGCGGTTGGAGGAGAGGATGGCGCGACCACGGGTACGCCCCCTGCCGCTGCACCGACTACTGGAGGGTGGTTTTGGAACCGGAGGACGCCGAGTACGACTACGGCTGCAGTTGCGAAATGATTTGATTTGAATTGCAAAACTGGGGAACATGTCTCGCAAAAGGATGGGTTTCTATTGGAAATATTGTTGTCTTCATAACTGTGGTGCTGTATCGGTGTGCAGAATCTTTCACTCTGGAAGTGATGATTCCATGCCGTCGCCACCGCCGCAGCTGCGATGAGGACGAGAGGATCTGGCTTAGAATGATGAAACTTTATTTTCTCGGGATGCTGCAGAGCTTAAGAATAGTCTACTCCACAGAATGATGGATTCCTCCTCAAGCCATTTGGCGTTGAACCTATACCATTTCAAATCGACCTGTTGTTCAAATCCATTTGCACCCATCTTCTCCACGGGCAAAAGGCACCGAAACAACGTTTATTCGTAGAGGGACAGCAAACTCAGAATGTGAGTTGGTCATGCACGGCTTTTGTGATCGATGGGGTTCCAAACGTAGCCTTTCCTTGCGTTGGCCTAGCTGGACAGATCCTGTTGGAATGTGGTGATACGTATGCCAGGTTGGCTTGTGATGACTTTGGCGAGCGTTGGTTCGTTGTTAGCGCAGGCATTGACCAATATATATAACAGCCCTGGAGGGCCTTTTAGCTCCGACTTTGAATACTGGCCGCCGCTACTGCAGGTGCTTTTTACTATTGTTGGAATCTCTTCGTGACCAATAACCTCGTCTCGCTCTGAATCTCAAGCTACATCACAACAGAATGACAATTGACCGGGACCTAGTAGCAAAGAATAACCACTGTTCTCTGCCACTCTAGCTTTCGCCGCTCTTGGCTCTGCATCCGATGGTGACATTCTTTGCCAGGCACGTCCTGTCATGCGTCCCATCATAACGCGCGACGCCGCCGTATTGACAGAATTTCTTCGTCTCGATAATAATATCACTACGGACCACAATGGCGTCGCAGGCGTTGAATAGGAAAGTCCATCAGTCATGGAAATCAAAGGATGCCGACCCTGAGGCCAGAGAGGTAAGAACTTTGACACCGATCTTGGATTTACAAGGGATTTCCCATTCGCGCAGACAGAGCAGTCCCCGATCTTGAGATATGCACGGAGATGAGTTCTCGAAGACTCTGGTCGCACGAGAGGCACACTGGATCAAACCTCATATATCGTTGGCTACTAGTCTTAGCGAACATGCCAATCATGCTTCGATGGGTTTCCTACATATGTCGGATTTCTGACTCGGGATGTAGATGACTGCCTTGCGAATTATGGTGGCATCCTTGCATACGTTTGTTAATGGGAGGGGCGATTTGTCGTTATTGGTCACGAAAATGCCGGCGCTTTATCACCAGGTCTCGGTCTGCAAATGGCGGCGGGCATGTTCATGAGAACCGAGTTGATATAAAGTTCAATTTGATTGGCGCTCGGGACTTAGTACATATCGTGACTCACCCTCTTTCTCTCTCGAGAACACAAGAAAGTCCATGGCTCTCATGAATGTAGATTTCCTTGATTTAAATCTTTCCTGCATCATTCGACAAACAGTCCAATGTCATCAAGAATATACTGTATCCAGCCTGTAAGATAAAGAAAACGAGCCATCACGACAGCGCACAATTTCTTCTCTCCCGCATCGATCCAACTTGATACTGTCGAACGTGATACTTCATACTTCCAATTGTGAATTGGAGAAGGAGAAAGGAAAATCGATCTTACCAGAGTCAGAGTTGTAGAACGCCAGAAGTGATGTGTGGAGGGGAATGCACTTGATACGATCTGTGGCCTCAGGCTTCTGGTTCAAGACTGATACGCGCGCGTCGGAGAGATGGATCCGCCACGCGTACTCTCTCCCGCTCGGAAATTGGCGAAGGGCGACGACGACGACGACGAAGAAGATCAGAGATCCACCAGTCGTCAGTATTAACAGTATTACAGCCTTGCGAGTGCGCTAGGAGTGAATGGCACCGTCTTCTTTCGCGCAGACCAATCACAGCCGGAAAGGTCTATATTGCAAAGGTAAGGAGGAGGAGGCCGCTGCTTGCTTGGCTGTCCTGTCGAACAGCCCTGTGCAGGTTGGAGACTGTTGTATTTAAACCGTGAGACATCTACATCCAGTGGTAGAAGTTTTGGGGGCCTTCCCTTGTCCCCCTACTTGATCATTCAACAGCAGATCCCATTGGCGATCGCACACGAACAGTGGCCGGATGGATTCCCTTCTGCATGTTTGCGGCACAGTAAATTGCTATTGACAGCAGTAGTGGTAACCGAGGACTGCCTTGTGAGAAGTATGTGTGTACAGTAAAATATGGAAAACGGTTGAAAGAGAACCAACATGGAAATGGCCCCGATTCGTCCATCCGTCCCGTCCAATCTTCCTTCTTTCATCCAGAGCGATTCTAGTCTCATGTGCGGCCTCGTGGCCCCTTGATGAGACGTGAACTAGCGACAGCTACTGTGTGCACACGTACAGCGGCATGCGTTACAGTAGCGAACCACTTGTCGTCCATCGAATCGCAGCCCAGTCAAGAGCTTCGGCGGATGATAAATCAGAGAAAGCGCTTGGTGAGAAGAAAAGGACAGAGAGGTCAAACACGTGGAATCTCATCAAAGTCGGGACGAACTTCTTCAGGGGATCTCTTATTAGGCCCCAGACACGCTGGATGGCGACTGGCAGAACTGCACATATCTCCCGCTTTTCTGGCCTTTGACTGATATTGTGTATGAGATTTGTTAGGCACTCACGGAGGCGGTGATGGTCCCGATTGCAGCTACATCTCCAATTCTTTCTAATTTTCCGCCGCAATGTGTCTGCGACGCCGAAGTGGATACTAAAAATGAATAGTCGGGGTGATAAGAATAAAGAAAGCCGCTGAGGTGAAGAAGGAACAGATGAGGACCCTGAGTGATTGATTGTACGGATTCCACTGTCAGAAGAGTTCATTGTGTCTCATCCATTCCACGTCCTACTTTGCCGCCCGGTGTGCTGGCGGGATTGCATTCTCACCCATTTTCCGCCCGTCCATTTCAGCCCACCAAAACGATCGTCGCCCGTTTCTGCTGCAGTTCGTTTCCAGGTTTGGTTCAGCTTCGCCTTTGCGATCATCCCGACCCTGCCATTTGACGCTCACCACCACCGCCACGTGCAATCAACATCTTCACGATCACTACGCACGCCTCTATCGCCATCGCTGCGGCCAGCGCGGACAGAGAGACACACTTCGATATATCACTCGGACTTGGAGTCCCTCGGCACGAACGTCGCAGCGCGTGCGCCCAGTCTTCATTCGCTTCATGTCACTCGCTACCAGCCCGATATCACCTCCGCGACGACACCTGATTCCCATTCGAGCGGTCTCAATAGCACTGCAATAAGCCATAGAGATATCAACTGATGCGAACCATCTGAGATCATCTCTCGATCTCGCGAAAGGCAGGCACTTTCAGGAGCGCTCCAGCTCGGCGGAGGACACCTCTTTGCGACGGGGCTTTCGCAAATACAACTTCATCTGCGCAAAGGCGCGCACAGATTCATACAAAAAATGGCAGTCACCAGCAGGAGTATGACGGCAGGTTCGTGAAAACACCATGGCGTGGGGAGGAAAGGAACATGACCACTAATATCTTACAGAAGTCGAACGCACACTCCGGACAATCTTCAAACGATGTGTCGAATGCCCTCCTGGACTTCCCGACTGTTTTCCCTGCCCGACCGGTCAACAGTGCATACTCATGACCGCGACTTGCGATGCGTGTCAACGTGCGGTCTGCTCGGCAGATGGAACAGACGCGCCGGCTGCTCAAGGCCCAGGGATTGGCCCTATCGCCGGAGCGTCCGTCGCAGGCGTCGTGGTTCTTGCAGTAATCCTCTTTGTCGTATGGAGATTCGGCGTGCGAAAGAGGAGACAGCGACAAATGGAATGGATGGAGAATGAAATGCTCTCGCAACAGAAGCACACACCAGTCATCAACACCATGCGTGGTGACGCGGCATCAATACGGACTCGCGCCTCAGTCGCGGGCAGCTTTCTCAGCCGTGCCAGCAATGTCATCCAGATCGCCTTTATTCCTGGCGTCATCAACCGAAGCAATGGAGGCTCAAGTCACAATAGTCTTGCGCCCGTGCCGCCGATTCCTGCGCAGTACGCCAACAACAAACCGAAGAGCCCTCTCGCCAACGACGGTGATTTCCTCCTCTTCCGACCAGGAAGCACATTCTCCGCGACGTCGTCACGATCCGGTGTCCGTGACACGCAATACACACAATACACGTACGGCAGCCGTCAATCTATCACACCGTCTCTGGCGCGCTCCTCCATGGCTCTGGAGATCTACCGCGACGAGGGGACTCCTCCGCCTATGCCGGCGACCACCATGCTGCGTGCAGCTCCTCGAATGGTGTCGGTCAGATCTACTCCTGGCACCACTCCTAATCCCAATGGCACCTACGACAGCCCAGGCAATACACCCAGGACAGGAACTTCCGCCACCATCGTCCCGCAAGGCTTCGGTTCCTCGCCACAACACTCCCGCCAACACTCCCGTACCCATAGTCGACGCAACAGCAGCATGAGCCTCTCGTCCAACAAAGGCAAAGGCCGCTTCCCCGTGCGTTCCGCCAGCGCCGATCTGACCATGTCACCCCCTCCGCTCTCCGGCCGACGTACGCCCACCGTCTCTTCCCCACTCATCACCACCAACCTTGACTCCGAGGACGACGAAGGCAGCAACCCCGGTGACGACGACGACGATCACGCCCGTGCCCGTCAATCCCTCCTCCAACCCTCCTCCGCGACGACCCGCACCGAGAGCGGAAGTCCCACCTCTCCAATGACCCACTCCTCCTCCATGCGGCCCATGAGCTCCATCATGATCGCCAACAACCCTTACACTCTAGATCCGACTTCAACCTCATCCTCCTTCATGCAAGGCGGCGCTTTCCGCACCGCCAGCAACCCTCCTCCCCAGCCCATCACCTCGCCCTTTTTCGACGCCTCCGACCTCCCGCCCAACTCCACCCAACCTATCAACATCCACAACCCCGCCTCCTCCCAACGGCCAAACCCCTACGCCAACATGTCCTCCGCCGTAGCCTCCACCTCCCCTCCGAAACGCCACGTCGGCGCCGCCAAGAGTTTCGGCGGCCTCGGCGCCGTCATCGAGGAGGCTGCCAGGAAGGGTTCGATGCCTTCGTCTCGAGCGGGCTCGGGACCCGGGAGCATTGTCGGTGTTGGAGAGACTTTCGTCGGCGCGGGAGCGGTCGGAGCGAGTAGTGGATTGAAGAGGGAGAATGGCGAATCGCAGCGGCAGGGACCGTTCGGGGATGAGCATGAGTTGAGCTCAAATTGAGCTGAGATGGAGTTTGAGGGTCTATCTTTGAGTGAATGGATGGGTTCTTGGGATTTGAGTTATTTCTGGGCCCGTTCTCGGGATTTGGGGCGCTGTAGTGTTTCAAGGCGTTTTATCAATGGGTCGCACGCACTGCGGGATGGCCACTCGGGCAGTGAGCAAAAGGGAGCGGAGAGAAATATTTCTTCTTCTTCGCTCAGAACACAGTATAGGGGAGGAAACATCGCCTCCCGGGAATTCTTTCTCTTTCCATTTCCCCCTCGTACCAAATGGGAACGAGCGGGACAGATAGCTATATCCTAGAGAGTGGAAAAAGCCTCTCGTCAATTTTTGGAAACCATTATTTCATCCTTCTCCTTTTTGCTCCTGACATCTCCTGCGATTCTCCATCTCATTCCAACCCCTTGTATCCAAACCAGGGAGAACAAACAAACAGACAGAAAGACAAACAAACGAACTGCTCCTCTGGACGGCGGGCCCGGGACATGCAACGAACCCACCCAGCGCCCAGTGACTTTCCCCTTGCGTTGCCCTCGAGCAGGTTCATGACGAGATATTTCCAAATCAAACAGAACGTGGGAGAGCAAGAAAGCAGGCAGCGGAAGAATGAAGGGATGAAAGGATGAAAGAAAGGAACAGCTAAAGAGAGCCATGTTATTCATTTCACCGCGAGTGAAAAAAGCCCTACTGAGAGGCACACATACACAAATGCTAAACAATCGTGAAAATCCCACTCGTCCCCACAAAAGGCGTCACTACGCCCCCGATCCTCTTCGCGTCGCCGTAGTACCTCAGGCGGTAATGGCCGCTGAGGGCGCTATGCGGCGTGGGGTGCTCGCCATCGGAGTCCCGCTTGGCTTTCCTCTTCCGCCCACTCAGCGACGACGCGGAATCCCTCCTCCGCCTCAATTCCGTGCGGAGCGCGTCGCCTCCTCCCCCGGGGAGATCGTAGCCGCCCTCGAGACGGCCGTGTTCCTCCGCCGTGAGGAGGGAGGTCCCCTCGTCCTCGTCGTCGGCCGCCGCAGAGAGGGCCGCGGTCTCCGAGCGGCGGGGGTCCTCCCTCCACCGGCCCGTCTCCCAGCCCGTCTCCCAGCGGATCTCCACGATGCTCGTGCCCAGCGCGGTGGAGGACCGCTTCCAGGCGTAGACGAGGCTCCAGTCGCGGTCCGACCGGATGCGCTCCCACCGCCGGGTCCCCGGCACGAGCTTCTCCACCGCCGCGAACGTCCCCTCGAGCCGCAGGTTGTTGCGCGGGTTGGCGCCCACGAACCGCGCCGTGATCGTGTCCCCGGCGATGTAGTGCGCCGACACGTCGCGGGTGATGGAGCCGAAGGAGCGGAAGAGGGGCGCGCGGTCCATCACGACGGGGCTGATGAAGGAGAGGCTGTCGTTGGTGTTGATCGGCGGGGAGGGGCCTGGGGGGAGATCCGGGGATGAAGGGGACGAGGAGGAGAGGTGGGGGAGGAGGGAGAGGGAGCGGTTGATGTGGGCGTCTAGAGTCCAGGGCCCGTAGAGGGTCGAGGCGCCCTCGTAGCGCTGCCGGGTGTATTCTTCTGGGGTGACGATGTAGTGGGTGTAGGAATTTGCGAGGCCGCCCAGGAGGACGATGGGTTCGTCCTCGCCGTCGTTGTTTTTGAACTCGGGGAAGTGGGCTTTGGCGGATTTGTGGATGGCTTCGCGCCAGCGGCGACCGGCCATGGTGGAGGCCTCGCCTGGCGCGGCGATCAGAAAGAGATTTCCCACGCGCAGGAGCTGCACGTCGACGATGTTGGGGCTCCAGGCATAGGGGCGATCGCTCTCGCCGACGTCCAGAAGGATGGGTTTCTCGCGGTGGCAGAGTCGTTGGGTCTCGTTGGGTTTGGCGATCAGGCTGGATACCATGGCCCAGAGCGGGTTGGCATGGGGATCGTGCGGCTGGGCTTGTTTGAAGTCGAAGTTTCCCGGCCAGTCGCTGGTTCCGGCGGCGAAGGAGTAGCCCAGTGCGGCTGGACAGGTCTTGGCGATCGTGCCGTTTGCGAGGGTGAATTCGAAGGAGCTGAAGTCGACGAATTGATGCAGACCGCGGACGATCTGTCCCCGGATCGGCTTGAATGCTTTGTGGTCTTCAAATAGCTTGCGAGCGCCTTCGAATTGCCTCTGACCAATCTCATATCCAGATGCAGTTCCGGCGTCGTTGCGCCCGAACATTGGGCCGCGTGCGTGGCAGGGGTTGGTCCGTCCTCCACAGAGACTCGTCTCGAAGTCGCACATCTGACCAATTTGAGGTCCATATTCACAATAGGCGCCCATGTTGTTGGGAGAAGAGTCACCGACGTTGGCTTGGGAAAAGCCTGCGACGAAGGAGGGGTCACCTGCATATTGCTCGAAGAGGTACGCAGCCACACCCTTGTTGTCACCGTTGATCAGCGTGTTGTTGGCAAGGACGCTGGTTCCATGCACGGCAAACCAGGTGAAGATGCCGACATCCCGATGTTCGCCTGAGTCGGTCATCTGGGTGAACCGCAAAACGCTCATGGCCTTGTCGACATTTTCGCTATATCGTGCACGCTCCTCCAAAGGATTGGCAAGGTAAGAGTGCGGACTTCGATTGACACTGGCGTCAAGCACATCGATCGTACCAACACTCAAGCTGCCAGGCGCAAGGCGCTCGTGTGCCTGCACGATGGATCTGACGGCGCCATCTACAATAGCTTGATACGAGGCTTTACTGAAACCCTTGCTAGTGATGGTCGGCAGGAGATAATTGTTGTAGCCGCCCGGTCCACTATGCGAATGAGTTCCGGTGATGGCGACGTTGTTCTGTCCGTACATGGCATATTCCGGGCCCAGAGCTGCCAGCGCTTCTAAGACTCCATGTCGGACGGCCGTATCGCCAGATTGAATATCCAGGACGAGATAGACGAAGCGGTCCTGCGGTTTATCTGGGTCACCCACGATGAATGCGCGCGAGTAGAGCCTCTGTCGCAGACCAGAGCCGACCTGGCCCACTTCGGCATAACCCATGAGGTTCAACTCTACGACTGGGCCTGTGATATCGCCGCGGCCCAGGCCGACGAGATATGTATCGCCGACATCTGGGAGACTTCCAAGAACTGTTTGTTCATGGGCGAGGACTCCCACGGGAGGGAAATGTGGCTCCCAGAAGTCCGCTGTCGGAGGGTTGATATTCTGGAAGTATTTTGAAAGAGCAAAGATGATCAAGGCAGCGGTGGCGATTGTGAGGAGAGAGTTGAAAAGTCGAGGCATGGCTGTGATGGCTTCGAGAAGGGAGATGGATGATGGATGATTCTATGAAACACTACAGCGCTCCAGGAGACGGTTTGAGATACTCGGCGTCTGAAAAACTCGTTCTCGTTGGATATCTCTATCTTGATAATCTTGCACGCGCAAAGTCCAGCTCGCGAGTGGGTGAGTTGTCATAGGCTATTCTTGTCCTCTGCGGTGATTTCTGCAAGTCTGGTGACGCTGCGGCACGACCGGGTTCGAATTCGTCAACACGCCTGCATGTTTGACCCTCTGAGCACAAAGTTCAGGCAAATTTCGCGTGCACACGACCTGGCGAGATGTTTGGATTGATTGAAATCTGGTCGGGATCTTTTCACGAGAACTGAAGCGTCGTGTCGTTGCGGATGAGGCAATACGGCGTGGGATGGACAGAGACAAGGATGGAGCTTGATATAGAGAGTTGTTCAGCTGAGAGGCATGTAGGAGCTATACTGGTGCCTGTTTGTATGTGTTTGGGTCTACTGTATACGTGACCGAGCAAGCAAGCAAGCGTGTGACCGCACGACGATCCCGGAGTGAAGCGATAGGTGGTACAGTACCGCCACTGCAAAGAAGTGGTCCGCGGGTACATACCTAGGTAGTAGGAATCCTTCCTGCGCTGTCCTTTTTCCGTATGGTGGTGGTGGTCTGGTTCTATAGGACAGTAGTAGCGCAGGTGCTGGCGGTGGTGGTAATGCACGAACTACACACCTGCGCACTCCTCCAGTATTGCTGTCGATACAGCCTGTGAGCCTCTTTCTTCGTCGTGCACATCATTCCGGCTACTTTGGACGCTGATGATGCTGATGACGATCGTGAACCAACTTTCTCTCCCCCTCGCCGTCCTCAGTACACCCATCCATTCCGTCCGTATACACCACTAATACTACTATCAACACTACTACTACCACCACTAAACAAAGCATTATCCAGCCAGTGGATCATTAATCGACGACCACGTCCATACCGCCCACTAAAATCCGGGCGGGCGCTTATGCTGGAGCCTACATCATCCGGGACATGGGCTCAACACCAACACCTGCATTGCGGCGTGGGTGAAAGACGAGACGGAAAGCAGTGGTGAAGCCAAGGTACAAAGTGACAAGACCCCAAATAAACTTGGAAAATCCCTGCAGCTGGAAGACAAAATGCCATGTGAGAGCGGTAATTGGTCGCGTGCAAGACTCGGGATCAACCGTCGATCCCGCCCGCTTCGAGGCAAAGCTTTCTTTCGCTCGGCCATGATTACCTCATTCAGCTCCGGCTCCGAGAGTGCAACGGACGGGACAACTTCCGAGAGAAATATGGTTGGTTACAGTACAGCATCTCAAGAAGATCAATGTGACATCAGAGCTGATCGATACAACCTGCGGCATTGATCGCAACAAGCGCGGAACAACATACAGGCGCTCACCTTGTAGACGCGTGCGAAAGCTTGTCACGTCACATTCTTGGACATCCCAATCGCACCACTGACGACGCGAAAACAATCGCCAACATGCCGCTCATCACTTCCGCCGTCGTCGCCCTCCCAAACATCGACGCGAACAAGCTCACTCCCTCCCAACTGCAATCCGCCAACGACCTGGTCCTCGCCGACCTCGCTTCCTCGGGCGTCGACACCAACATACCACACCCTTCCATCCCCAACTTCCCAGAAGCCCAATTTACCCCTCTCATCGCCGCCGCACACGCCCGGCTCGCGGCGTCGGAGCCCAAAACTTCCGCATTGGATCTCTCCCGCTACGAAGCCCTCGACACACCATCCTCCGGCAGCGACAGTCAAACCTGGACCACCGCCCTCCGCCGAGCCGCCACCAGCGCCCAGTACCTACGCGCGCGCGAGACGAATCTCGGGCTCCTCGAAGCCTACGGGAAGAACGCCTGGTTGGTAGGCAACAGCCATCTCGAGGACGAATTGAAGACGTTGGAGAAGGAAGTCGCGGAGAAACGCATCGAGATGGAATCGGTGGCGCAGGAACGCCGGGAATCCGAGGCTGCTGTGGCGGCGGAAATGCAGAGTCTGGAAAATACCTGGCGTCAGGGTGTCGGCCGCATGTTGGAAACGCAAGCCGCGGCCGAGAAGCTTCGTTTGGAAATTCTGGAGCGGAAGAGGCAGGGTGCTACTGTTTGAGACAGAAACAGAAAAGGAACGAATAAATCTTACTGCCTCAAGAAAGGAAGGCTCGTGGGAGAAGAAATAAGCCCATCGGCCAAGCTCCGCGCGCGATAGTTCCGCGCCGTCCTTGAGAGAGAGAGACCGTCTCCACGCCAGAAAGAAAAACACGATTTTTTTCTCCCTCACGCAGAGACGAAGAAATACCACCATCATGCCATTGCCTCAGAACGGGTCAAATTTACGGCGGAGAAACAAAGGAGCAAAGACAAATATTCCTCCCATGGAGGAAATAGGACCACCAGCGAAGTCCCACATTCTCAACCCATTCATGGAACTTGCAGTCAATTAGCTTGACAACGCTGCGGTCATTTGGGCGCACCAACCATCCAACCCTCCCTCCTAATTCTGGAAGCGGTACTGCCCCCCTCGATGGGAAAAAATCACTAGAGATCAGAAAGAGAGGTGAAAGAAAGCAGTGCCAAACCGTGCCGCGAAGAATGAAAGATGGACGCTTTCCATCCCCGTCTCATAGAGGCAAAGCTGGAGGAGCCAAAGGAATACTCTACTCGGACGTTTTTGCGCCCTACGTAGGAGCACATGGGTCCGCGACGTGTACGTCTTTCACACAAAGGGGAATGGCTGTTTTTTCCATCTTGCGAAATCCGTGTTCGCTACATGCCACATGTGAAATTTTACTTAGTCAGGACGCGAGATCGGGCAGTACGATCGTGGGATGAACTGGGAACATGATCTGGGCTCCCATTTTTGGGATTCAAAGAGGAATTTCGTATGTGGAGATGTGGCGAGGTTGAACAAAACGAAAATCGAACGCAGTCCGGGGGTTTTTTGGTGTAGATTTGATATTGATAGGTAAGGAGAGCAGAGGGACAGAGAATGATACTCAAATATACATGACTATAGGTTACAGAAATCAATCACACATCAACCAATTTTCTTTTCCCTCTCTCATCTGTCTGAATACTACGAATAGTATTGACATCGAGCACTCTCCGATTGAAGAAAATTGTGTTCTTCCCACCAACACCACACCACCACGACCACCATCATGGAACAGAAAAAGCAAATAAACAACTGCCATCACCTCAACTCGCCCCTGCCGGCCGGATCTCTCTCCTTGGCCCTCCTCCCGCCATTCCTCCTCCGCTCATCCTCCTCCTCCATGACCCTCTCCATCGCGCTCTCGACCGGCAACTGCTCCATGCCGACCCAAGGGGAGTTCCTCACGAATTTCAAGTCGCCCTCGATTTTCTTCACCATGAACTCCAGCTCGGCATCCTTGCACTCGTTCTTGTGCAATCTCTCGAAGGAGGGGTACATCTTCCCCTCGCCGTGCGTCTTGTTCCCCGAGAAGGCCTCGGGTCGCGGGACCAGGTCCAGGGGGATCTGCTCGGGCAGCGTGTTGCTTGTCAGCAGCGCGGTCTCGTGACACCAGGCCCGCGCGACGTTGCGCGCGGTGTAGCCGCCGCCGCCGAGGATCAGCAGGGGCAGGCGCCGCGATTGGATGTAGCTGATGCATTCGCCGTGCTGGCGGATGTTGATGTTGAACTGGCCGAGGCGGTCGCCGCCGAGGGAGTCCGCGCCGCACTGCAGGACGACGGCGGAGGGCTTGAAGGCGTCGATGACGCGCGAGCAGGTCTCCTCGAAGACGTACTTGTATTGGCGGTCGTCGATGCCGCTGGGGATCGGCACGTTCAGCGCGAAATGCTCGCCCGGGGTGCCGCGGAGCCCGATGTCGTCGAGGTCGCCGGTCCCCGGGAAGAATTTGTGGCCCGTGTCGTCGTAGGGCCCGTACCGGTGGAAGGAGAGGGTCATGACGCGTGGTTGGCGCTGGAAGGCTTCTTCCACGCCGTCGCCGTGGTGGACGTCGATGTCGATGTAGAGGACCCGAGGGTAGACGCGGAGCATGTCGAGGATGGACAGGACGATGTCGTTGATGTAGCAGAAGCCCGAGGCTTCGCCTTTGTGGGCGTGGTGCAGGCCGCCAGACCAGTTTATGGCGACGTCGCTTTGGCCGCTGGTGAGAGCGGAGGTCGCTTCCAGGGTGGCACCGGTGTAGAGGAAGAGATAGGTGCTCATACCGTCGAACACGGGGCAATCTGCTCCCGGGCTAGTTGAAAGGTTGAACGGACCTAGTTCTACACTGTCTCCGTCATGTCGCGGCGGGATACTGGCGGCGAAATGAGCGATCTCGGAGAGTTCCCGAAAATTGTTCGGGCTGACGCGGGACAAGAAGTCGACATAATCCGGATCGTGAAAGGCCTCGACTTCGTCCTTGCCAGCCGCTACGGCTTCATACGTGTCCATGGAGTACTGCAGGCCGAAGCCCAAAATGAGGTGTTTAGCCAAGGTCAATCGCCACGGCTTCATCGGATGCGTCTTGCCGAAATGCATATCTTCGACATGACTGTTGTAGTGGAAGGAGACCTTGTGGCCGGCCGGACGCGTGATGCCCAGTTCTTCGACGTTCCGCATGATCCGGGATTGGAGTTCGGCGTTTCGCCAATGCCGTTCATCATCTTCGGTCATCGGCGGAGTGTTTGGCATGGGCGCCTCGAACCCGCAGCCGTTCGCGCCATTAGTGTCGCCGTTGTGTTGATGGTCGTGAGCGGCATCATGTCTTCCATTGACTCCGTTCGTGTTGCTTGATGTTGTGTTCGGCGGAGCAGGACTGCGGGACGCGACCGAACGTGGTGAGCGGGTATTCGTGGACAGATGCGGCGACCACGTCTGAACTATATCGTTGCGGACATCTGCACGAGGGATGAAAGAGGCCGCCATGAGCGCATCGTGTCCCAACAACGCGCGCGTAATATAGGCTGGCTTCCCTTCAGTCACAATCTGTAATATTTTAGGTTTTTTGTTCGAGGAGACCTGGTGAGTAATCAGTGTTCAGATGGAACTGGCACAATGATATGCATAATTCCGCGACAAACGGGCGGCGGCGGCGGCGACGTCGAACGGTCTCTGGTTTTGTCTCCTGCGAACGGGAACGAACCTTCACCTGCGCCTGCAGCTGCACCTGCGTCGTCTCATCGCTTCCGTCCCGTGTCCCGTGTCTTGTGTCTCGTGTGCGGCTTTTCTTTTAATAATAAGCTTTCCACGCCGTTGTCCCGTTTAGGGTAAGGACAACTTCATGGGGATTGATTAGTCATGCGGCGAATCGTCTCTGCAGGTTTGAGCCCTGGTGGCTCCGACTGCCTACTCGAGCGGGAACATCAACGTCAACAACCAACCGCAATAATCGATATTACAATCAAATCCTCCTCCGCATAGAAGCTTGCGGATTATCGAGAAACATATGCGACTGCGAGACTTGCAAAGTTTGTGAATTACATTAACTCATCGGCTGGAGGAGAATAATAGGACAACTTGCGACGAATCTCTAGGTCAAGCGTGCGCTCGCTGAGATATCACGGACGGATTCAGCCAGTATGAGTTTGGCTCAGCCCGAAGATGCCGCCTCGGTGCTCGAGCAATTCGTCCACGATGGTAAGTCAATATCTTTCCATGCCTTCGTCGCATCGGATGGAACACATCTTCACGTCCAAAATGCTGACCAATCTCCAGTCGCCAACATCCCCGCCGAAGTGACTCATCTATTAGAAGAGATTCAAGCCAAGGACTTGCAAATCCAAGCATTCAAAGACGAAATCAACAAACGAGATACCCAACTACAAAAATGGGTTCGAACCAACGGTGGTCATGTCGCAAATCCCAAAGAGGATGCCTTTTCCAACATCATCAACGACTGCTACGACAAATGCGACATTCTTCAAGCTGAGAAATCTGGCCTCGCGGAGAAGGCTGTCATTGTTCTCGAACGACAGATCAAACGACTCGACATCGGCTTGCGTGGTCTAGCCAACACTGAACAGTTTCCTGCAGATTGGAATGGACCAAGTATGCTGAAGAAAGATGGTAACGGTACCAGCATCTCTGCCGCAATTGGCGGCGCCGCCGTCGATGGGTCTACCGATTCAAAGAAATCTACCACTGGACTACCCTTACAAGTGGTCAGTGGGAATGCCCCTGGTGGCGCAAACTCCAGCGGTGGAGGTCCCGCCATCGCCAACGCCGCACAACTACGACTTGCACAAAACACCGCGGGCAGCGCAAGGTCGAATAGCGTAAGCGGTGCCTCGACACCATCTTCCGTCCCGCGCGCCCAACGAGAAGGCAGTAGCGAAGCAAACAAACGCCGTCGCCTGAACGCATCTCTCGGATCTCTCCCAGCAGCATCAAGCAATCTCCGCCAATCCTCCCTCGGGCCTGGAACACCCAAAGCTGGTACACCAGTCCCCGCAGGCGGCGCGACCAACAAATCCTCTCGCGCCGGCTCCGCTCAACCTCCCGCCCAAAAGAAAGCTGCGCCGGGCACTACGCCCCAACCTGCCTCCGCCAACCGCAAACTCGCACCGCCGCCCTCCTCCCGGAACCGCAACCGCTCCCGGCCGAAGAAAACCGGCGACCGCCGCCGCCAACTGGCCCGCGACCGCAATGCCTCCCCCACCACCAACGCCTCCCCGTCGATCGGCTCCGTTTCGGAAGACGAAGACGACTCGGCATCCTCGGTGCACGTCAACGACGACGGCGACGACGAGACGCTGTACTGCCTATGTCAGAAGGTCAGCTTCGGCGACATGGTGGGCTGCGACAATGATGACTGCGAGTATCAGTGGTTCCATTATAACTGCGTCGGGGTCACGGAGGAACCCAAGGGTGAATGGCTGTGTCCGACATGTAGGAATATGCCGAGGAATAAATTGAAGATCTCTAAGGAGGAGAAATAGAAATTGGGAGTGGGAGTGGGAGTGGGAGTGGGAGTGGGATTTTATTTTCCGATGACCAAAGGACAGAGCGAGTCGAATGGTTCTATCATAGAACCTTGGAACTTATGAAATATGAGTTCCTATTTTGATTCACACTTTTGATTTCACGCCGCTGAGCGCAAACTGCGTCGGAGTCCTGCACTGGGAAACCCGCATGGCTGTATATCATCGCAGCGTCCACCCTCGCCGGGCGACATTACAACTGTGCAGCATGAAACACTAAAAATACAAGTTTCGGCACAAGTCCACATCAATCGGCTCTTCTCGACCGCGAATTTCACCGCCTGCTACCAAGGACATAATAATGAGATCATCTCATCCCATTACTCGGGCGGCTCAAGACATATCGAATCGCGGCTTATCGAGACCCAGCGGCGTTTGCATTAATAAGGGTGTGTGTGTGAAGTGACGTGGGGCGGCGTTTGTGGGAAATGTGGAGAAATATCCAACGCGTGGTTAAGCCCGAGGATAGCCGCACTGATAACGGTTGGCGACCTCACCTCACCTCTCCACTGATAGACTGCATGCGTATATCTGTATGGCATACCGGCAGGATATGCCGAATTCTGTTTCAGCAAACCCGTTCAACGGTGCTTCGTTTTCTTCCTACTCTGTTCGTCAGAACGGTGATTCGAGGTCACGCGATGTGGTTGGAGGGTGTTACATTGAGGATTATTTCGCCGAAGACGGAGCTTGTAGCCCGTCTCTTGTCGGCGGGTTCGGTTGATACTTGGGATAGATATAGAGCATCGTTGCGAGAGTATATACCACTCATCATTGACTCGTTCTGTCTGCTCCTTCTCCTCCACCTCTTCTTCTTGACTCCGTGAACCCACAGTCCACACACAACGATGGCTCTCCATTCAAGATCACCGCAAATGTTCGTCCTACTCGCAGGCTTATCGGCCAAGCAGAGCCCATTTAGCATAGCGACGATCACCACATCCCTCGTCGATCGTCGAAGTTATCACTCCCGAAAACGACTTCTCCACTCAACCAGTTCCAAGGACATAGCAATCCCAATCACGACACCGCGCAACCTCACTTCCTCAACAGCACCATCACCAGCGCAAGCACCGCCTCCCCTCTCGACCCTCTCCCTCCCCCAAATCCTCCGCACATATCTCATAACCAGCATCTCCAGCTCCCCAACCCTGCTGTCCCTCTCCACATCGCTCCTCCGGCGCATGCTCCTTTCCCGCAACCCCCTCTTCCGCCTCGACTCCAACCCCTTCCTCCGCACCCTTCTCAAGGAGACGTTCTACAAACAATTCTGCGCCGGCGCCACCGCGCCCAGCATAACCTCCGCCTGCGAGGGCCTCCGCGCCCAAGGCTACAGCGGCGTCATCCTCGAATACGCCGCCGAGATCCTCGAACAAGGAAAAGACACTTCTGATTCTTCCGCAAAAGAAGCCGCCGACATCGCCGCCTGGCGACAAGGCATGCTGGCCTCCGTCGGCATGGCCGCGCCAGGGGATTTCGTCGGCCTGAAATGGTCCGGCATGGGCACCGCCGCGATGCACCGCATGAAAGAGCAATTGCCGCCCACGCAGGCCATGGAAGAGGCCATGCACGCGGTGTGTGCGGCGGCGCGGGACCGGGAGATCGCGCTGTTGCCGGCGGCGGAGGAGACGTGGAACCTCGCAGGTTACCACGCGTGGACGCTGGGTCTGCAGAGAATCTTCAATTCGAACAACGTGGCCTCCTCGCCGTCGTCGTCCGCCGAACCGCCGCGGAAGTGCGTGGTCTACAATACCTACCAAGCCTACCTGCTCTCCGCGCGGACCAGCCTTGCCGCACACCTCGCCCTCGCGGAGGAGGAAAATTTCACCCTCGGCGTCAAACTCGTCCGGGGGGCTTATCTCGGCAGCGAGCAGGAGCGCCGCGTCATCTGGCCTTCCATCGAAGCGACCCATCACAGCTACGACGAGATCCTCTCCGCGCTGGTGCAGAGGAAGTACAACGACTTCTTGCACCCTGCGGTCAAGGGCGAAAAGCCCGCCTCCACCGCGACTTCTGCGACGCTGCCGCCGACCAATGTCGTGCTCGCCACGCATAACGCTGCGTCTGTCGCCTTGGCGCAGAGATTGCGACGCGAGCAGCGGGCAAGGGGCGAGGACTTGACGCCGTTGGCTTTTGCGCAACTACAGGGCATGGCCGATGAGGTTTCATGTGGACTGCTCGCGGCTTCTGCGGAAAGCGGGAAGGATGCTGCAGCGGTCAAGGAGAGGGTTTTGAAGCTGACGGTGTGGGGGACCATGACGGAATGTTTGAATTATCTCCTGAGGAGGGCGGCGGAGAACAAAGATGCGGCCAGTCGGACGAGTGATACGCGGAGGGCGATGGGGAGGGAGATCGGGAGGAGGGTGAAGAGGGTTTTTGGCTTGGCGTGAGGGGGGTTGTGATTATCTGGAGGCTCCTGTCACGGACGAGGTCACTTCTGATATAGTGGGTCGTAGTACAGTTTTCGTTCGATATACAGGATCTTAATCGTTATTTCAATCATCACTTCGTTTGTCGTTTGTGTACACAAGGGAGGGTTCAGTACTTCACCTTGACTCCACCGCGTAAACCTTCCTTCCACAAACAGCAGATACTTTTCTCTTCGCACCACCGCTGCACCATCCATGGCTTCACTTCTTCCTGAACAATTTCCAAATTCGAATTTGCATCAGGCTCGGGTTCAATGTCTTCAGTAGCCTTCTTGGAGCTCTTCGCCACCTTTGTCTTCGCCTTAGGCTTCGGTCGATGGAGTTCATATCTCAGTCCCTGTTCCGTGAGCCAAGCAGTGAGATCTTCCAGCACAATAGGATCAAACAAAAGCATTTTCTCATGCCACGTGGGCATATTCATCTCCGTACTAGGGGGCGTGCTCTTGACAAGTTTGGTGATCTTCGGGAAGAGCGACTCGCGCACGCTAGGCCACGCAGCATCTGTCGCATTCAATATGGGATGGAGGAGTGTTGGGACTTCTGCTCGCCGAGGTGAGCTCGGAAGACTGAGCGGTAAGGGAATAATCGTTGGAGGCGATGAGACGGTTCTCCGCAGGCGAGGTGGAGAGGGTGTGACTGGTACGTCCGAATCGGAGATCTCGTCGATGACCATCCATTGCGATGCAACGGGCCTCTCGGGCTGAGAGGAAGCCGTTTTCAAAGGAGGCATCGCTTCTGCTGTTGATATGGTCGCAGCAGCGCCCTTCTTAAGTCTACCTCTTCGGGTTGTCGACGTAGTTGAGACCTCACTCTTTTTCGGCCTTCCTCTGGGCTTCGTCGTCGGAGCGGAGGATGATTCGGCGTTTTCCAGACCTACTGCAATTACCGGCTGCTTCACCTGCTTCTCAATCATCTTCTTCTCTCTCCCGATCTTAGACGGACTAACATTGCGATCTAGGTTCCGTAATGGTTCTCTCGACAAACCAGACGTGTTCTGCGATCCCGTAGCTATAATATGCTCGGCATCTTGCACCCAGGGCAATCGTCTCGGCTGGCTCATTTGGGAAGCGCGAATTTGTTCCTCGGAATTATCATTTTGATCACGGTCTGCACTTATTATTGTGGCTGGTTCCTCTTCGACAGTGGGATCACTCGACAACAACATCCAGTCATCCGAGATAGGCGGATCCTTTAGACGATTGGAAGACACAGATTCTGGTGCGATCACTCCGGCGTCCATCGCATCATCAGGTACGACTGCCAACGGAACCTCACGAGCAGCTAGCAGATCAGAGGTACTGTCGCAAAGCGCTTGAACGCCCGCAATATCAGCGCATTGGACGGAGACCTCTGGCAATTGTCGGCATGGCTCAACTGCACTATCATCTTGGGGATTGAGCCTTGGGGCAGTGACTTGAGCTTCGGCATGCGGAATATCATCACCCAACCCAACTGATTCGGCGACTGGCTCAGTAGCGCGGGGAGCGAACGAGCCCTTGACTCGACGCCGTCGCCCACAGGCTTGCAACCCACCTTCCCGGTCCCTAGCTGCTTCGCGCCACATGCCACGAGGTGCCTTCTCCGGAGAGTGGCCTGCAGCACGAATACGTTGGAGCAGTGTCCCTGTGCGAGATGTGTGCAAAGATGGCGGCAGAAAAGCCTCGGACTGTTCAATGGCCATCTGCATATCCCGAATGAAGGAAGGAGATTCTTCTGCCGCGAGTTGACTTGAAGTGCCGAACAAAAACCCTTGTGATTTCTCAATTGCACGTGCCATTTCGGGGACGAGAAGCTCGGGTGTGTGATCGTCTTCGTTGGACTTGACCTTGGGTTTTCGCTTCTTGGGTTTGACAGCGCTGCTTGGCTTGACCTTTCTGGCGATAGTCTGATGCGGATCAATGACCTTCAGGGGCACGCGTGGCGTCTTGGTTTTGGCAGGCTCAATTGTTGAAGCGCTCTGTTGTGCGTCACTTACATCCGGATTTGCGGGCTCCAGGCGAGGTGTGAAGAAAGACGAGACTGTACCGGCTTCGGCAGTTTCCTCAGCCAAAGGTCGGAAGGCAGAAGTCACCAGGTCAGTGATGGTCATCGCTTTGGTCTTTGGTTTCTTTGGCTTGGGGGTTTTCGGTGGTTTTGCCACCTTTTCGGCCCGGGGTTTTCTGACCTTCGGGGCGGCTGGATTTTTAGCGACTTTGGCAGCTTTCACTGGCTTGTCAGCCTTTGCCTTCTTAGTAGCCTTGGTCGACTTCACTTTTGCTACTGTCTCGGTGGTCGGCACATCACTTGGTTCGCCAGCCACGTGCTCGACGGCAAGATCTTTACCGAAGTCGATTCGACGTCGTTTCTGCGAAGACTCTCCTGTTTCTAGCCTCTGAATTGTGGCGTCATCCGCGTTATGGCCGAACCCCTCTATGGCGGCAGATAATGAGCGACTGCAATGATTGGGTTGTGGTGTTGCTGGGTCGTCCGCTTTCGCCGCTTTCGCGATGATTGTCTCGGGTAGCGTTTCAATGGCTGTTGGATGTCCCGATTCGCGCTCAAAAGGTTCTCGTTTCAGGCTGACAGATGATTTTCTACGGGCCTTGACGAGTTTCTGGAAATGTACTGACACCTCGTCGTACGGCAGATCACTCGTCAGAGGCATGGCAGTCTGCTCATCTCTCTCATTCTCCCTGACCATGTTCGAGGCGAGGATGTGCTCATGAGCTTCCTCTGCGGGCAGCGTATTGCCTTCTATGAAAACCGCCGAATCATCCTTGCCAGCAACCACAGCTTCCGTATCAGCGGTGGCCATCTCTACGGGGTCGTCCGAATTGAGGATAATCGATTCGGATTTCTTGATCACTTTCCGGGGCTTCCTTACCCGAGATGCAGTGGCTTCTTTGGTACCGGCGCGACTTTTAGGTGTTGCCCGCGCCTTCTTAGCAGCTTTCGGTGGTTTTGTCGTCGCCTCCGCTCGGAGATCGCCCTCCTTTGTAGCATTTTCTGCCACTTGAGAGTGACCCGCAGCTGGAGTATCCGCGACCGTGGCTGCCTTTAAAACCCCAATCTGCTCGTCGACAGCTCCATGTTCTCCGAGCGTTCTACAAGGACTCTTCGCCGCCTTTTCCAGAGGCTGCCGGCTGCCTTGCTGTTTTGTCTTCTTCCCTTTGTCATCCCCTGATGCTGATTTTTCCACAATGATATCCACCTCTCCAGGCGGTAGCGCGGACTGATCATCCCTCCACATGTGCGCTGCCGTAGTGAAGCCATGATGTGCCGGGGTCTTTTTACCGGCGCTCTCCAGCAGACTCTGCGCCCGAATCTGACTGAAACTCGTCGGCGAAGGAAGCCCAGTGGAGGACGAGGACTTGGTGTACTCGCGCAATTGAAAGCTCGGCGGCGTGCTAGGTCTAGCATGCACAATGGGTGGCGAAGACGAGCATATGATGATCGGGCTCCCTGTCGCCATTGTTGTCGCGCGACAATGACGACATTTCTGGATTGCGTGCAGTATGGTGTATGTTCTTGCGATCTAACAAGTCTATTCTCTTCGACATGAAAACGACTTGTATTTCGCGTGATTACAATGCACGACGCATCAATATCCTATACGTGCCTGGCTCCGGATGGGAGACGCGGGGCAAACGCGATTTCACGTGTAGCATTTACGGCTGCTCTTTGCAGAGGGCATGTTTAGGGTTACACATGATCTGTGATGGTGATGGTATCTAGATCTCTCTTCAAGTGGAAGTTCTAATGAAGATGTGTCCATTATCTTGTAATGTGGTTGGGATGATCTGTACTCTGATCAGTAGGTTATTTGAATAAATTCCACGCTGTGTTGTGGTTAAATGAGCGGACCTGTTTTCCACACCGTCACACCTCTGCTCATCCTGGTGGTGAAAAGCAACAGACATGTACAAAATCGAGCAATTGCAAAGACATACTACGTCGCGACGATATTTTCTTTGGTAGTCGTATTCACCATCTAATACATGAGGCGGATCATCTAGCTCGTGATACAGTCGCCGATGCTCATAGCTCTTCATCATCGTCCACGTCCATTCCAGCCTGTTGAGACTGCGAGCCTCGCCCACGGCCATTCAATTTTCCACTGCTTCCTAGTGCTTGATCAGCTGAGACAGGGACGGACGCTTCCTTGTCGATCATCTGTCTTGAAACGCTGACGATGTTGTCTTCGATCAATTCTTGTCCGACCGACTCAATGTGCTTCTTGGGATCGACCTTGCCGACATATCGTGTGCGGAGCTGCTCCTTGGTAAGCTCGGTTTCCTCCTTGACACGCTTCTCATAGCCTTCCGCAAGGTGGACCAGCTTCGCTAGGTTGGCCTCGTTTCGTGTTCCTTCCGCTGCAAAGTCGGGCATTGTGAGAGCTTCAGTCCAGACAGTCTTGTGCAGGTTCATGAGCATGCCCTCTTCCAGTGCAGATTTGCGATATCCGATGCCGATGCTGTAGTAGTGTCGATTCAGACCATGAATGAGAGCTTGAATGGAAGGCTTGTTCAGATGACCCAAGTTGGATGTCGTCTGCCGTGGTTCTTGTCCGAGCATGAGCGTCTGAGGGTTGATGAGGCGGAAAGCGTCAATCACCACCTTGCCCTTGACGGATTGTATGGGATCGATGACGACCGCGACCGCACGGGGCGTGAGCTGCTCGAATGACTGTTGGGTGTTGATATCCACACTAGACAGCCAGCAACCGAAACCAGGATGTGAGTGGTACCATCCAACCACCGTCTCCGGTCGACCCGTCTGCCTCAGCATGTCCATCATCTTGGTTTGGAAAACGGGATCGACAGCCTCTACGGATACACCAGTTCCTGACTGGGGCATTGCAAAGACGTCCACCACGCGAACTGTGTAGTCATCCACGAACTCTCCCAGCATGAGACCCATGACCTCCATCGGTACACCTGCGCGGCCATGACGTAACATCTTCAGTAGAGCGAGCGAGGAAATGTAGACGGTCTCGGCGTTGTCGATGATGTTGCCATCCTGTGCGCCTGCTGGTCCTCCGCCACCCATGCCTCCTGCGGCGTGCAACATTCGTGATAATCGATCCATGTTTGGTAAATGTGTATGCTTGTGGCGGTGCTCGTGTGACTGCTTCTCGTGTACCGCTCGTTGCGGGGATATCTACGCAGATGCCCAGTGATGAGGAGTTGAGGTGACGGTAGTGGTTCAAGTCTTGCGAATGCTGGTGGCGGTGGTGGTAGTGTGGAAGCAAGAGATGGTGATGTTGACTGTGCGGCGAAACGTACCAGGCTGATGTAGACGCGCAACAGTCGACGACACTTGCCATCATGAGCTCTCCGCTGTAATTCAAAGGCGGCGGAACTGAAGCCGCTGTCCGAGCTTTCACCGCCCGGCGGCAGAACCCCCAGCAATTCGCCAAATCTCGCGCGGACAGGTCCCGAAGCTGTGCCAATCGTTCTTATTAAATCATCGGTTGCGTCGCATCGTGCGCCTAGCCATATTTCCATACATTACGATTGATGTATACAAGTCACATCCCTTGACTGTTCGCACTCGACTCCCTTCCTCGAATTCGTAACGATCCAATCTCGACTAGCCCATGTGGTGCTCGTCGACAAGCCGCACATACATCATCAGAACACACCTCAGACACGTGCGATCGTAAAGTCGGGATTTAGACATTCAATCTCGACAAAATGCCCAGCGGCAATGGCATCTTCGCGCCCCTGGATGCGCCTGGCACCGGAACAAATGCGCCTCCATCACAGCCTACGAAAGTCGCATACTTTTACGATTCGGATGTGGGAAACTACGCATACAACGCGGGCCACCCCATGAAGCCGCATCGCATTCGGATGGCGCATTCGCTGATCATGAATTACGGGTTATACAAGAAGCTGGAAATCTACCGAGCAAAACCTGCCTCAAGGCATGAGATGACACAATTTCATACGGATGAATATGTCGATTTCCTGCAGCGCGTGACGCCGGACAACATGGACAGCTTCACAAAAGAGCAGGGCCGATACAACGTCGGTGATGATTGTCCCGTGTTCGATGGACTGTTCGAGTTCTGCGGAATCAGCGCTGGTGGTAGTATGGAGGGTGCAGCACGTTTGAATCGCGGCAAGTGCGACGTCGCGGTCAACTGGGCAGGTGGTCTCCATCATGCCAAAAAGAGTGAAGCTTCCGGATTCTGTTATATCAATGGTAAGTCCTGGTGAAGCAGCGAGGATCAGCGATTGACTTGGTCTAATCTATCTGTTCGCAGACATTGTCCTTGGTATCCTGGAGCTTTTAAGATTCCACCCGCGCGTCCTCTACATCGACATTGACGTGCACCACGGCGACGGAGTGGAAGAAGCTTTTTACTCAACAGACCGCGTAATGACAGTATCATTTCACAAGTACGGCGAGTACTTCCCCGGCACCGGCGAACTTAGGGACATCGGCGTTGGTCAGGGCAAGCACTATTCGGTCAACTTCCCCCTCCGCGACGGAATCGATGACAAGAGTTACAAGGGCATCTTCGAGCCTTGTATCAATGGCGTGATGGAATACTACAGGCCGACAGCTGTGGTGCTGCAGTGTGGCGGTGACTCGCTTTCGGGTGACCGACTGGGATGTTTCAACCTGAGTATGCGCGGTCACGCAAATTGTGTGAACCACGTCAAATCGTTCGGTCTGCCTACGCTCATCCTGGGTGGTGGAGGTTATACGATGCGCAACGTCGCTCGGACGTGGGCGTACGAAACCGGTCAGCTAGTGGGCCAGGAAATGGGCGTCACCCTACCGTTCACAGATTACTACGAATATTATTCCCCGGATTTCGAACTCGACGTCAAGCCCAGCAATATGGACAATGCCAACTCGCCCGAATATCTTCAAAAGATCAGCGCACAGATCTTGGAGAATCTCAAGCGCACAACAACATTCGCGCCCAGTGTACAAACACAAGAAGTTCCTCGCGAGCCCATCGGGATGCCATTTCAAAATCCTGACGGGGAGCCAGAAACTCTAGATGAGCAAGAAGACCGGTTAGACGACGAGGAGGCAGACGCCGAAGAGAGCAAAGATCGACGATATAACCAAAGACTGTGGGACAAGAAGACAGAACGTGATGACGAATTCGAGGAGAGCGATGACGAGGAGATGAATGAAGCAAATGGAGTCAAACGACAACCCGGCGCGCAACGGCGGCGAGGTATCATGGACTATAGCAACCCTCACGCTCCCGCGGAAGAGAGTGGCGCCGGAACCCCTGCCGGTGACACACGAAGCGTGAACGGCGATGCAGACGAACCTATGGGTGATGATCCTGCGACCGGGCTAGGTGGCGCAAGTGATACTAAGGAGGCCAATGCCGTAGTCGGTGAGGCCATCTTGGCCAGTAAGATCGAAAGCAACGATGCACCGGATGAGCCACTGGCAGCGACAAGCGCACCACCGGCCAACGACGCCAGCAGCACCAATGCCAATGCCAATGATGAGATGCAGGTCGACCCGCCAACCGCGGCCGCATCAGTGGCTGCAGAAGCTGGATCAAACAAAGGAGCCGAGACCACCGCCGATGCGATCGCCGCTGCGCCTGAAACCACCGAAGCTGCAGACTCCGTCAAGCCAGACGTCGAAATGGAAGACAGCGAGCCCGTAGCAGAGAAGAAACAAGCCGAGAAGGACGAAGGCGCCGCCGAACGCGAAGAAGAGAATACGACTGCGGAAGCCACCACCGAGCTCGCCGGTGCGGGCCACAACGCGAGTGGACCTCCAGCAGCATGAACTTCCAACGATCGGCTGGAAACTTGCTCGGATCAGATCTCGAAATCTTAATTGGAAACGGGCGGCGTCAAAATTTGGGCAGCAGCATTAGCGAGGGCGTGAGTGGCGTTTTTGGGAGAGGAGGAACATCTGGACTCCAGGGCTTGCGACAGTACATCATGTCAATTCTCGCAGAGGAAACGGCCGCGACTGGTTGCCAGGTCACAGATTGTGGTCTATGCCTACACTGCGATAAAACTTGTATTCGTAGCTGGATTTGTCAACATTCCTACTCATGAGACTGTTGCATTTCAATATAGTCGCGAGTAGTTCTAATTGTGTGTGGTGGTAATGGAATATGCTCGGGCTATATGATAACAAATCCAAAGGACTTTTCCAGAAATGGATCGAAGGGTCCAAGCGGCCGGATCGGAGCTTCCGCGCGGCTGCATCCGGGCTTTTTGAGATTCGCGAAAGCAATAGTTTCGCGAAAGGTCACGACCACGCTCGAGACATACTTCAACACCTGCCATACTGCCAACATTTGACCACCACGCTTGCAAAATTCTTCACGAAAAGCCAAACCAATTTTCTGGAAAAGCCTAGCACTACGAGACAGCGATACTAGGCACTTGACGACACAACGCATCGCGCGCGAACCGAATAGCGCTCGACATTCGCGAACCGCCTTCAAACAAACCTCTTCACCTACCACAAATACATCGCACTCCATCACACACCATCAGTCATGGCCAACTACCTCGCGTCCATCTTCGGCACGGAGCAAGACAAGGTCAACTGCTCCTTCTACTACAAAATCGGCGCCTGCCGCCACGGCGACCGGTGTTCCCGGAAACACGTGAAACCCAGCTACAGCCAGACGATCCTGCTGCCGAACCTGTACCAGAACCCGGCGTACGACAACAAATCGCGCATGACGCCCAGCCAGCTGCAGAACCACTTCGACGCCTTCTACGAGGACTTCTGGTGCGAGATGTGCAAGTTCGGCGAGATCGAGGAGGTGGTCGTGTGCGACAACAACAACGACCACCTGATCGGGAACGTGTACGCGCGGTTCAAGTACGAGGACTCGGCGCAGAAGGCCTGCGACGCGCTGAACTCGCGCTGGTACGCCGCCCGCCCCATCTACTGCGAACTGTCGCCCGTCACGGACTTCCGCGAGGCGTGCTGTCGCCTGAACTCCGGCGAGGGCTGTGTCCGGGGCGGATTCTGTAACTTCATCCATCGCAAGGAACCCACGCCGGAACTCGAGAGGGAGTTGGAGCTCAGCACGAAGAAGTGGTTGAGGCAGCGTGGAAGGGATCCCAGGAGTGAGGAGAGGGATTCGGAGAGTCCGGAGCCGAAGGCTGCGAGGTATTGATGAGGTGGTGGCGGTGGTGGAATGAGTGGAGAAAGGTATGAGTCCGGATGGGATGCAGAGCTCGGATGGGAATACGACCCTCCCATAGGTGCGATTGAACTCTGGTTCCCCCGGACGAGTGCTCGGCCATTGCGGTGATCCCGAGTCTCGTCTTCTACTTTCTCCAGGCCACGATAAGCTGGAACGGCAGACCATTCGCCCATCGCGACTGGAGAACCAAGTCGAGAAGTCAAGAAACCTGCCGTTCTCCCCGTGATGCAGCCCGGCGGAGCCGATCACCTCAAGGCCAGATCGCCTCGATCAACGACCAATTCGAGGCATTCAAAGCCGTTGCTAAACACCACGACAAATCCCTCGAAACGCAAAAGACAACCTGGGAACTGGAATGGAACAAAGGCGCCCGAAAACCAACAAAACGGGCCCCGGACGTGGCGAGAAACGAGGCAGACGCAGCGCTGGAAGAAGCCATGGCGTCCATTTCGAAGACCTTCCCATGCCCTGCAACCCAACGGTCCAAGCATCCTCAACTGGGAGAGAAAGCGACGCAACATTTGAAACCACCGGCGCGGTCCTCGCTCGAGGCTCTCCGCTCCTTCCGGGCCCACGCGCACAAAACATGAAGGGGGTCCCCTCCCGATTGCGGGAGAAGAAAAAAAGGAAACCATGCACGTAACTCCGGGGTGTATTTTTATAATCAATTGTTGTATCTGTCATCGCGCACGGTCACTTACTTCTCTCCACCTTTTGCCTTTCCTTGTCTTTCCGTCTCCTCCTCGGTGGTTTCGCTTTCTTCGCCTGTTCCCTCGTGGGCGATGTCGTTGCGGAGTTGGAATCGTTGCATTGGTCGAGTAGGAAGTGATACCATCTCTTCAGTCCATTAAAGATAGTCCTTTTTCCCCAAACTCTAGTTGGGAATAGACCAGGGGAGGAAGGGAGGGAGGGAGGGAGGAAGGAAGGAAGGAAGGAAGGAATTAAATTGCAGCGACCTGTAGTACAGATCATATCCCGTCCATATAAAGATTTCGTTTTGTGAACAAGCCGAGAAACGAAAGAGGAAGAAACGCCCTACTGTAGAAACAACTCTTCGCAGGCGGGAGGCGAAAAAAGGGGATTTTCTTCAGGCATGTCTGTTTTTCCTTGTCTACCCCATCCGACGACCTCGCTCAAGCGATGGAAAAAACAAACAAACAAACAAGAGCAAAAACAACCAGACGACCGAAAACCAGAGAAAAAGAGTAAAAGAGTAAAAGAAGAAAAAGACTGCTTCTCCTCTGCCCAGCGCCGTCGCTAATAGAACATACACGAATGATACAGGAAATCAGGAAAGGAACATCCGGACCGAGCGGGGACCGGTGGATGAGCTGGAGAAGAGCCTCCCGTTTCGCGGCCGAGCCGTGACGCAAAGCTCGCAACGGCACCGAAGCCGATCTCGTTCCCCCAATCCCCATGATCTCTCCTCGTCCACATCGCAGAAAACCTGCCTTGTGGGGAGAAGAGAAGAATGGGAGGAAGGAAGGAAGGAAAATCAGAGCTTCAACCACTCGTCCAGATAGACGCACTCCTGCGGGTTGACGGGGCCGCCCTCGGCGCAGATCTCGAAGACCGGACACGTGCCGCAGGGCACCTGGGTGAGGGCGGTGCCGGGGCTCTCGTCGAAGCCGGGGTCGTAGGTGACGCCGCGGACGGTGCGGTAGCCCCACTCGGCCATGCTCCGGTTGTAGACGCGCTCGAGCTTGGTGTCCCACTGCAGCACGTTGATGCAGTCCTGGATCTCCTGCACCGTCAGGCTGCTCGCCTTGCTCGGCTTGATCACGTGGCTGTTGGTCACGAACGAGTAGATGTCCTGCGCCGTGGGGTAGTTGTGCGTGCCGACCCGGTGGGTGAGTTGGATGGTCTGCGGCTCGCTCGTGTGGCGTTTGGTGGGGAGGCGGTCGGCGGCGTCTTCGATGTCGAGGGAGGCGGCGGGGTGGGGACGTTTGCGCTTGCGGGCGGTCTCGTCGGGGTTGTCGGTGGCTGCGCCGTCGATGGCGATGGGGGACATCTCCCGGCGCGGCGGACGGGAGCGTCGCTTGGTCTCCACCCAGCTCTGCGAACGGACCCAGAAGACGATCAGCTTCATCAGCTCGTCGCGGAAGCTCTCGTCCAGGTCTCCGGCGTCGTAGAAGCTGTTCCCCGTGACCTCTTCGCTGGGGACCAGGTGGGCGAGCATATATGTCCTCTGGGCCGGGCTCTTCACGCTCTTGATCCCCTTGATGAGGTTCGCCTTTTCCATCTTCTCGAGGCATCTCTTGACGATGTTGTCGGCGATGCCGCCGGCGCGCTTCTTGATGTCGCGGCTCCAGATGCCCTTGTCGTGCGCCTCTTCGATGACGCCGTAGACGACCTTGTCGTCCCGGTCCAGCGCCTTGATCTGTTTGGCCGCCTCGCGAGGTCGGATGCTCCATTGGAGTTTGCCCTGAGTGCGGGTGGTCCGGAACAATTGGTTGTTGGAGAGGTATTGGATCAAGGGCATCAGGGATTTGGAATCGGGGAGACCGCTGAGCTCGAGGAGCTGGTCCTGGTTGAACTGTCGCGTCCGGCCGCCATGTTCGTCGAGGGAATTCTCGGCGACGGTTTTGTAGAGTTGGTCGCTGTCGTTGACGAGTTGATCGACGTCGGCCATGATGTCTTTTTTTTCTTTTTTGGAGGAGGAGATGGCCGCTCTTCTGGGCGGTCGCGTGGCTATGAGGCTTTGGTCGACATGCGAAATGTGGCGGATGCAGGGTCGATCATTTTTCTTGGGCGAGTGTCAGGTCGCGTGTTGTTTGCGTGTGCGAGGACCGACGATGAATCTGGAGAGCAGCTGCAGGTGGAGAGAGCTGGGAGCTCGTCATGAAAAAAATTCCAGCCGGTTTGGTTCGGCAGCCCCACAGTCAGGGCCACAGGCACAGTCACGCCCCATCAAATCCCGCCCCGATGCTCCGACCGATGGTGATGGATTCGCAAGCCGAGCTGGTGGGGCCCCCGGCCCTGCATTTCCGAGCGGCGGCGTGGATATGACGGGCATGAGGAGGATGCGGCGAGGGAGTGATATTGTTGATATTATTGATATTGTACTGTACAGTATCGTATATATTCTCATATATGATATCATATGCATAACCACTCGGAGGGTCGAATCGTCATCGAAGCATTTTTCTCATAATATTCTGTGCAGGACAGGGGCTATAACTACAGGTCCGTCACATAAATCCATTTTTGTCGATGGGAGCATTCGTGGATTGATATGGCACTCTCGATCCCGTGATTGATGATGGTGCTCCCGATTGTCGAATGAAGCATGGGGGCATCGGACGACTACACCGGTGTTGATGAGGACTATTTGCCATACAGCCCAGCATAGATCCATGTGGACGAGAAGCCAGGAAGAGCATACAGATTTCATGTACAGGACAGCCGCTTGTCATATCGGAGAGCCCGCCAGCAGATAGTATAACTTTCAGCCGCTTGGGACATTGTGTACAGTACAATAACCGATTTGAACGGGGTGTGGCATGGCAGTAATCAGCAATTGATGAATGAATGGTGCACACTGTACTGGAGATGGCTACAAGTCTTTGGTGGGAAGAAGATGGGCGAGGTGTGTTTTGCCTTGCCCTATCTGCCTGCCTGTCTGCCCCTGCTGATCTCCATCTCCATCGGAAAACTGTTGGACTCCCAACACAGGGCATCTTTTCATAGGCGCGCTACCGTTGCCGCTCACAATTTCACCCTTCGCACCGGACTCGAGCCTATTTCACGCTATGACTTGTGGTATCTGGGTGTCGCCCGTCCGTCACATCTCTCTCTCTCCTCAACGAGTGCGCAGGCAGGTCTTTGGAGGATGATCTCGTCCCATTCCCTTTGTCGCCTTTCCTCCGCCATTGCGCTACATCTCACGGAAATCGATGGGAAAGTCTCACGGGAATTCTTCACGAAATCCGAAGTCGACCGGGCTCAGAATTTACGTGGAATGCCGTTTGTCCAGTGGGCGGACCTCCCCCTGCATATTGGCTGGCTGCATCATGCTCCCTCCCATTCGTCGGGCATGACGCCCAAGATCTTGATGATGGATCCGGATCATCTATCCACAATCAATGGGCAATCGATCGATGAATGCTCGATGGAAAGTACGTCCAATGACCCGGAGAGCCGTAGATGCTCTCAATGGGAAGAGTTATTCGGAGAGTACTGGACTTGATGGTAGCGGATTGACTAGGGAGTCAGTCACTCGTATCATATTGTTATCATAGGTGGGCGGCCTTTTCTTTCGTATGGACAGGATGGTCTGTTCAATTCAATTCGATCAATCAATTCGCTGAGACGGACGGTCCGAGGAGACTGGAGGCACCCATCACTGTGTAGACACTAGTCGGAGCTCCCATCACTTTCCCTCTCTCTCGTGCCTGTCTCTATCTCTCTCTCCACCCGATCGTCCTGCCTCTTGACTTCACTGTCTTCTCTTCCTTGACCCGTCCGTAACTGTTGTTGGCGCTTGCGCATTTTTCGCGATCCTCCCTTTCTGATATCTCGCGACACACGACACTCCTTTCACACGTTCTTACGCATCTGCTCCCATTCGAATTGCTTGCATCTTCGCATAGGACCAAACGCTCATTCGCCTGGGACCGGGTCTCGCGCATACAACAATTTACCATTCACGCTCTACTCATCATCCGACAAGACTCGTCGGCCGGAATCTGGAGCAAACGATTTGACTTGTTGCTTCGAGATCGCCGCCCTTACCAGCTTTACACATCGACCACTGTCTTTACATCTTCTGCGAGAGAACGAACGCGCGACACCGAAGAACACGAAACTGAGATACACTTACTCCCTCAGGCCGTCCCTTTCATTACCATCGATTGGAAAGGAAGAAAAGGTGACGTGAGCCTTGTTGTGACGCCAAACCACGACGGGACCATTATCAATACCAGCGTGTGCCAGCGACACACCCATACTTTACACCACAAAACCCAACGACCAAAATCTACGATCCAATCCTTGACGGACTTACATACTATACCAAACCTCGTGTCATTTTCTCTTCGGACCCACGGACCGAGAAACCTCCAATCTCACCCAAACTCCACAACTTCCTCGACAAACCATGGCCGGCGTCCGTGACCCGGCCTTCTGGAAACGCTTCTCCACGGCCGTGCACAAGCGCGAAGAGGTCGTCGTCGACCCAGAAAAGAACGAAACAGCGTATGTATCCCTCCTCCCTGCCTCCACGATCAACCCTCCTCTTCGTCCCTCTCTTCTCATCCTCCATTTCTGACATTCGAGAAATAAAGCAACGCCTGGCTCGAACGCGAAACCTCCAAAACCCGCAGACGCGCCTGGGTCTGCCCGGTGTTCTGGCTCTGCATCTTCATCCTCGTGCCCGCCACCACCCTCGCCGTCCTTTGGCTGTTCCGCTCCGGCATGTTGGATGGTTTGGATCCCCAGCATACCGCCGCCCAGCAGGGCAACCCGAACAGCGACGTCACGGGTTCGTGAGCGACACGACGATGGAAACGCAATCATGGTGTGGGAGGGCAGAAATGACCGATTGGAAAGACTAAGGGTCGAACGTATCCACCGGGCGGCCGAAGCGACAGGAAATTTGCCGCCCATCCCTGAACCTTGAGCCCAAGACACAGTTTCGAAATGCATCTCGGCTCTTCTGGCCGAGAAAACAGATCCCGAGTCCTTCGCCTCCGAAAGAAAGAACGAAGAAGACCCAAGCGGTTTCCACAAACGCTAGCTTCGGGAGAGGCCAAACCGAGAAGCCGACAGCTCGCCCTGGGAAATCCCTGACATGGTGTGATGATCCACGACGGGTGTCCGACGCGCAAACATGGTGCTTGCACCGTTCACCTTTTCCCGCGAAAGCCGCCTGCACGGCAATCCCTCCGGGCCTGTGCGAAGTCCGCCCACATCACTCCTCGATCCCATCACATATCCCATCTTCGACGAGACGGCGGACTTCGAACTACGCCCTCTCGTCCAGGCGCAATCCATCTCGAGAGAAGGAGAAAATGGCGCCACAAAAAAACAGAAAACCTTCGATTCGGGATCACTACAGGGATGAAAACCCCCGGGAAGAGGAGAAAGCAGTCTTCAGGGGAGTCTTCGCGATAGAAAGTAAGCGTGAAGTCTCGGGAGATCTGGGGAATTTCTTTCCGAGATGATGGGAGAGGAGGAAGGTGGTAGGGAGAAGAGGTGCTCTGCTGCTGCTGCTGCTGCTGCTGCTGCTGCTGTCTCTCGCTTCTCATCCATGCACACACGCGCAACACCCGATGACATATCATTCCAGCTGGCTCGGATGATCTCGTCGTTGTCGTTGGTGTTGTCGTTGTCATCGTTTCGGTTCCTGCTCTCTCGAGGTATATATGTATATCTCTATATGTACACATGTACTGCACATAAAACGAATCAAAACCCAATGACGGGGAGCAAGGCAGGGCAGGGCAGGAATCCGCGCAACCTTGGAAATCTTTTTTTGGCTATACGTCGCACATCCATCGTGTCTTGTTCTTTACCCATTCATCCCACAAAATCTCCAGTTCAACTGGTTATGCCCCTTACCTACCTGATCTTGACCAATCGTACTGTTTCTGTTCTGAGTGATATCGCTGTTTTGTTAGTAATGATGATGCTGAGTAACGCGTATCTGTCTATCTCTATAGGTGAGGGTGTTTGCTTTTTTCCCCTACAAGATTCTTCCCGGAGTGGAGACATTGTTGGTGGCGGAAGATATACACCCCTAGATGTACCTGGATTGATGTTGTACAGTAAACCATACCCAACGCACCTGCTTTATTTCATTATCTGATCAGATCGATCTCGGAATACCCGTCTGGGGGGGAGAGAGACATCATGTCACTGCCATAATTCACAACATCACCAACATTCACCATGTCATTACACTCCCTTCATGGTCCAAGTGCTCAGGGTAATCTCTTCGTCTTCGATAATTCCCTCCTCCTCCGCGCCGAAAGCGGGACTTCGGAATCGAAGATGACGCCGGCGTCCTTGGAAAGCTCTCGCGCGCACTTTCCCCCCCACGCGAATCTGTGATGACCATTTCCGTAATAATAGTCGACTTGCGATTTCCCCCTCGCGCGTGCTCGCCCTCCGAATGGTCAAGAGGTTCGCAGAGGGGACCAGCCCTGGAGCCGAACTCATCACGGTGAGGCGGAGAAGCCCTGGGACGATTGCTGTGGTGTTCCACCGGCGATGATCCAAATTGTACCTCCAATCATCCATTCACGCCTCTCTTCCACCATTGGAAGGGAGATTGATGGTTTTTTTTAAGCTCTTTTCTCTCTCTCGATTCGTATTTTCTCCTCACATCGCTTCTCGAGAAACTGTTCACGGTGGGGATGCAAAACACGGTTCTCTTTTCTCCATAATTCCCCTCCGGTCCGTGAACTCTGAAGGGACGAAAGAGGGATTGATTGCTACGATGAGGTCTATCCCACCATGTCTTTTCCTTCTCGGCGCTCTCGCGGGAGAATGCCTGGCCATGTCCAGTCCTCATATACGAGCGAGGAAGATTGCTGCTGCTGCCGCCGTTGCTCATCGGTCGTCAGCCGCCAACTCGGCATCCAGTCGTCCGACCGCTTCTGCGGCGCCCGAGTCGTTTCGATACCTTACATCGAAGACCAAAAGTGGGAATCTAATCTTTTCCGACAAAACCCGACTGAAGAAGGAAAACCCAGAACTGATCGAAATGTATGACCAGAGTACTTCGTCGACGGGACCAAAATCCCCGATGTGAACTTCGACATTGTAAGAAAGCAAAGGGCTTTCCTAATTCTGTTCCGAATGTTCGAAACCCTTTCCTCTCCACTAACGATCTCTTTTTGTCTCCCTCCCAGGGCGAATCCTACGCCGGTCTCCTCCCCGCCGCCGCCAACACAACCTCCCTACGCAACAGCCTCTACTTCTGGTTCTTCCCCTCCTCCTCCTCCTCCAATCCACTCGCCTCGAACGAGCTCGTCATCTGGCTCAACGGCGGCCCGGGCTGTTCCTCCCTCGAGGGACTCATCCAAGAGAACGGTCCTTTCCTCTGGCAAAGCGGGACCTACGCTCCGCAGAGGAATCCCTTTTCCTGGACGAATCTGACCAATGTCGTCTACGTGGATCAGCCGATCGGCACGGGGTTCAGTCCCGCAGCGGAGGGCGAGCCGGGGAGGATCGTGGATGAGGAGAGGGTCGCGAGGGATTTCGGGGTGTTTTGGCGGAATTTTGTGGGGGCATTTGGGATGCAGGGGCGGAAGATTTACTTGACCGGGTGAGTCTTTTTCCCCCATCTTTGTGACCCCTTTTCGTTTTCTTTTGGGTGTGTTCTTGCTTGCGAGGGAATCCGGGGGGTTTTCGTTTTACTGATGAGGGATTTTGTCATCTCTGGGATAGAGAGAGTTTCGCGGGACAATATATCCCGTATATTGCAAAGTACATGCTCGATGCAAATGACACGGAGCATTTCAATCTGAAGGGCATCTTGATCAACGATCCGGCTTTCAACGAGGATGATGTCCTCTTCCAGGGTATGTTGCCTCGATTCCCCTACATGAAAAGCTGAGAAAGTTAAAGAGAGGACTCTGTTTAATGATGAGAGATCTCCCCGATACAGCTCCCGCGGTCGCTCACCTCAACGCTTACGCCAACATCTTCAATCTCAACGCCACCTTCACCGCCTCCGTCAACGCCCGCGCCGACTCCTGCGGCTATACCCCCTGGCTCGAGCGAGCCCTCCGATATCCCCCGCAAGGCCACATCCCCAGCGCTCCCTCCAGCAGTGTCCCCGGCTGCGACGTGTACACCGACATCGTCAACGCCGCTCTCCTGGTCAACCCCTGTTTCAACGTCGACCACCTCACCGATTTCTGCCCCTATCTCTGGGACATCCTCGGATTCCCCTCGCTGGGCGCCGGTCCGGATGACTACTTCGCGCGGGCCGACGTCCAGAAAGCGATCAACGCACCGCGCACGCCGGACTGGGCGGTCTGCGGGAATCCCACCCTGGGGCTGAATTTCCAAGATCATTCCCCCCCGGCCGGTTTGCCAAGCGGTCCTCTGGGGGCCGTCATCGAGAGGACGGGAAACGTCGTCGTGGCGCACGGGAGCCTGGATTACCTGCTCCTGATCAACGGCACGCTCGCCACGATTCAGAATCTGACCTGGCATGGTCGGCAGGGCTTTCACGTGGCCCCTTCCTCATGGGAGGAATTCTACGTCCCGTACGGGAGGAATCTCGCATATGCCATCGATGCGTTGACCCATCAGTCCGTTCCGGAGAAATCTCTCGGCCTGGTCGGCGGAGCGGGGGTCATGGGGAGGACCCACTCGGAGCGCGGATTGACGTTCGTCGAGGTGTGGAACTCGGGACATGAGTTGGCGCAGTACAATCCCGCTGCGGCGTTTCGATTGTTGGAATTCCTACTCGGCAGGGTGGAAAGGTTGGATGTGAAAGGGGGTGGATTCTCGACAGAGAGGGAAGCGAGATGATACCTTTCCTGTTTCAACTCGGACTCTCCGAGTCTGCGGTCTCCGCCTGGGGAATCTTTGTCAACGCCATCCCTACTTCTGATGAGACGATTGGCAGAGGTACGGGACGCGAAGATCTTCTTCGCGAAACTCACAACCAGCATCTTCTCCAACAGCTCGTGCTCTGCAGTAGATTTCTAGCCCTGCACAGAAGGCCTGCGTTCCCACGATGAAGAATTATTGGGCCATGTCGAGATCGATACGCGAGATACGTCCATCACTACAGAACATTCTGGCGGCTACCAAGAGATTCCGCGCTGCCCTCCCCTGATTCATCTGCTATCGACGGCACACAGGTTTTGAGGGGCTGTATGACGGACCGCCCATACGTATGCAACACGCTTGATTACTATTTCACCGGTGACCCGACGAACCAAGACTTGGGATTGCTGCATTTCTGTTTTCGGTCTACCTTTCAGAATAAATGACTTTCGGACTTCTCGGATCCCTGTCGCATAGACCGGTGAGTAGATCGGCCAATGGGAAGCAAGGACGCAGCCGCAAGAAAACAATTTCTCGCAGCTATCTCAGGTGTCGCATTCTCAAAGGAAGAGAAGATCTGACTAGACGATCTGCAACGGAGGCTGCCCTCCGTCGGGCCGCCCTCTCGCACTGACTCCGAAGCACTAGTGCTTACGCAACGTCGATCGGAGCTTGGCAGTCAGCATGACATTGGTGCAAATCAATTGCTTGGAAGTCAGTGTCGAGAGCTTGCTACGAGAAGTTGACGCCTGGGGGACCTGATTTACTTAAGAGAAATCCTGCAATCATATTTTAATCACCACATGCACATCGTCAACGACTTCGATCCAACCGGAGAGGGCTGAGCTCGGCCTCACATTTCAGCTGCTTACTATTCGTATGGAAACAGTCGGGGCGATGCCCGTTGCTAGTCGACAGGCCACCCGGAACTCATCGTGTTGGCTGGACGCCTTGATCTCAATACGACTCGGATGTAACGCCACATTTGGCGGATTGATGCGAAAGCATAGCATATAAGAGAGACATGAACGATCCACATCCTGGACCTTGATACACTACAACAATCCCCACCTTCAGTCTACCATATTCTCATCTCAGCATGAAGATTCCCGTGGCACTCCTGGCTGCTCTCCTCGGCACGGCGCACGCCCGATTCAGCTTCAACCTCGGAGTCCACGGCAGATACGACGCCAACGCGCCCTGTTCAACCGGATGGGACGTCAACGACGATCAACTACAGCTGACCCGTGAATTCGGATCTTACGAATGCACCAGAAGCTCGAAAGAACTAGGGGGTTTCCCTAACAAAGACAGCTCGTTCTGGAAGACTCCAAATTGCCGCGGGAACACACACGCCGACATCACCTGGTACGATCGAGCAGCGGGACCATCTTGTGTCAAGTACGAACGCTGCGGTTTCACCACGTGTATGAATTACCATCGCTCGCGCGTTGGCGACACTCTGTTCTACGCTGGTGACGACTCGGGTGCGTGGCCGTGCCGACCTCGATTCGCCGGTGAGACCGAACCTTGCTTGCGAGTATGAGTCTTAGGACATCGGCCAAAAGGTCGGTATCGGTTCGTGCTTCTCTGGGAATGTCTTGGTGTCGAGGCCAAATTCAACTTGCGGTTTACCAGCTGCACTGCACAGCATGCGGGACAGGGTCGCTGCTGAGGCTCTGAGAGACATTTCCTGTCAGACTTTCCACGCATAGCAGGATGTTTCGGCAATACGAAAACGCGACGCCGTCCTCGTCCAAGGCGTGCGACAAATGTGGCACCAAAGTCTGGGTTTATCTTTCTTCAAATGCTGGAAATAGCTTCAATGGACAGGGGTTTGAGAGATTCAGTCGCTTGGTACAAGACTCGGAACGAAACTATCTTGGGTTTTGTACTTTCAAGTAGTTTGGATCAATGTCTAGAAATATCGCTGAATCCGAAAGTGAACAAACGGCTTTTTATCGCATGCTTTCATGGGTAAAGTGAAATGACCACGCTTGACTGTCCCATCGTTCCTTCCTCGAGCAAGACTGTGCCTTTCCGTCGTCTGCCTAACGAACCTGCTACAAAGTGCTCTTTACCGGTCAAAAGCTACAAACTACCGCACCTCTCCCTCCTATCATCTACATGCAAAACGTCAACTCCCATTTGAAACCATTACCATATCATATATCAAACGGAAGCGGCAAAAATTTGATCAGGGTGGGACTCGAACCCACGAAGATTGCTCCACTAGTAATCTTGTCTTCAGCACTGTTTTTAGTTCTTAGCCTGAAACTAGCGCCATAACCACTCGGCCACCTGACCGATAGATTTACGAGCCATGAACAAGGAAATTTCTCCCCTTGTGGATGTCCTGAATGAAACAGGCAGGAAATTTGCGGGTATATCAAACTTTGATGTGGACTCGTTCGGGATGGAAAATGCTGGAGATGGCGATAGTTTGCAGTGAGTCTTGTGTGGCGGTGATAGACACAAGTTGAAATGTGTGATGGGCGAACCGCTTGCTGTCGTGTCTTGCTGGTCGATGCTGTGGCGCCGGGGAGGTGGTCAAGACGATCGCGAAAGATACAGAGAATGTACCTCAAGAACAATGAGCAAAATGAGCGGGAAAAGTAGGGAACCATTCGAGAATGTCCCCTTTGAATGAAACATTTCTTTCCCAGCTTTTTCCAAGTGACGAGAAGGAGGAGATTTTGTGAGTTAGGTTGACATAGACATGACGAAAGATGGTGAACCTTGAGGTGAACCTTGAGGTGCTTTGCCGTTAGGGTTGCCCCTTTCCAAGGCCCATTGATCTGGAAGAAATCTGCATTTCCATACAGCACTTTTACAATCGCAACGTGTTTGGGAGGAAACTCTCTCCGTAAGAAGCGTGATTCGTGTCTTTAAGGATCGAGCATACAACATTGAACCTGCCTGGTCTATATTTATTGTGGCGCACTCGGACCTCCTTCACCATCATCCCCTTTTGATTCCTCCTCCTCTTCTACGTTTTCTTTGACAACTTCCTCCACATGACCTTCTCGCAACATCTCTCCCGCTGGTCCCTGCTTCACAATCCGTCCATTACCCAAGACGATACAATAATCCGCATTCTTTACAGCCTCCAACCGATGAGCGATAGTGATGACAGTACTCTCCTTCATCTCCTCATGCATGACCTGTTGGATTTGCGCGGCAGTCTCACGATCAATCGATGCGGTCGCCTCATCCAAGATGATGATGGCACTTCGGCGGAGTACGGCACGAGCTAGACCGACGAGCTGTCGTTGACCCTGGCTGAGGTTTTTGCCGCCGGCTTCGACCTTGGTATCCAGTGACCACCCCTGACGCGCACAGACACGTTCTAGGACCGCTGCACAAGCTTCATCAGTGTGCTCCTTGACAGGGTCGAGATTCTCACGCATGGTGCCAGGGAAAAGTACAGGGTCCTGTGCGAGGAAAGTGATGCGAGTGCGCAGAAGTTGCTTGTCAACTTGCGCCAGGTCGATATTGTCAACGGTGATACTTCCATCGTTGGGTAACATGGTGGCGATGAGCGAGAGAGCGAGGGTGGACTTGCCAGATCCGGTACGGCCGATAATGGCTGTTTTGGAGCCTCCTTTGACTGTGAATGAGACCTCGGCCAAGGCGGGATCAAGGTGCGGCGCATATTGGATAGTGACATTATCGAAAACAATATCTCCCGAAAACGATGGCCACCAGGCTGGGGGAGTGATGGTCCCCTTTGGCTCTTGATCAAGATGTAAAAGCTCCACGACTCGCTCGACCGAGACGAATTGCATCTGCATCTGACCGTACTGCTTGCATAAGTAATGGGTATTGGTAACAAACCGTTGAGCGGCCAGAAGGACAAACGCGGTCAATCCGGCGGAAAGATGAGTCGCGAGGGCCAGCAAGTAGAGCAAAAAGGTGGCAAAGGCGGATAGTATGTCATACCGGTAGGTGAGCCAGGTTTGAGCGCTCCAGTAAAAATGGTCCATCTTCTGAAAGGTATCCACGACGTGGATGACACGGTCTTGGAACCGTTCCTGCGCGTGAAAGGCACGCACGGTCGCCAGGCCTTCGAGTAGGGCACCAAAGTTAGACATGAGTGGCGTCAAAGACACTGTCTCGAGCCGACGGAGACTCTGTGAGGCGGGGATGAATCGCTGAAAGATGAGGATGAACGTGACCAGCAATAGGACAGTGAAGAGCAAGAACAGAGGAGTGATCGCTGCAATGACCACGACCGATGACATCCACGAGATGGTCATCCAAGATATGCTCATGAACTGGTGAGTGATGCCGCCATCGATAACACCGATATCCGAGGTCATTCGATTCATGAGTCGACCGACAGGAGTAACGTCATAAAACCGGAATGTTGCATAGGCGACTCGTTCCATAATCTCGCGGAACATGTTTTTACCAGCAGTGTAGCCAATGACGATGATCATACCCTGCGCGAGAACAAAGCAGAAAGAGGAAACAAGTGCAATGGCCAAGAATACCAGTAGCCAAGGACGTACATCGTCATCCGGCGGTGGAAGACGGTCAGAGATCCAGGATTGTGCCGAGACAATGTCCTCTGCAAAGATCATAAACCTAGATTGCGATTCGGTCTGGTACGATTCACCCCAGGTCTTGATGAACCAGTTCTCTCCGAGGATGGCGAGGCGGAAAAGGATTAGCCCTGCAATAGCTATCGCCCACAGCGAGAGCTTGCCGGCTTTGATATACTCCCAATAAACACTGAGTTTGACTCCGCCGGATTCGCGATGCTCATCATCTAAGAATTTCTTGGGCGCAGTTTTATCCTTGTCATCCTTTGTGGGGCCTTTTGTTTCGCTGCTTGATTTAGTTTTCTCACGGGTATTGCTGTATTGGATATTCGTAGGCTTGTCTGTAGAAGTGGTGACAAGACCATTCTCAACTGTGAGGAACTGTTGCGCAGCTTCAATAACCAATTCCTGACGATGTGTGATTAAAAGGACAACGCGACCTTTCATGAGTGGGCCACGGAAGCACTCGTTGACGATCGACTCGGCAGTCTGCTGGTCAAGTGCCGAAAGTGGATCGTCGAGAAACAAGATCTTTGTTTGGCTGTAAACTGCACGAGCGAGTGCGACTCGGGCCCTCTGTCCACCGGACAAGCCTATGCCGTTCTCTCCAATAAGCGCCTGATCACCACCACTGAAGCCCGCCAGATCATGTGTGAGGGCACATGCCTCGATGACACTGTTGTATCGCTCTTCGTTGAATTGCTCCGAGAATAGGATATTTTCACGGATGCTCATACTCTGCAGCCAAGGAGTTTGAGCACAGTATCCTATAGGCTCGAGCGGTCGGATGAGCTGACCCTCGAGCATGTCAAGCTCACCCAGAAGAGCCTGTAGGAGAGCAGTCTTGCCGGATGCAACTTCGCCCGAAATGACAGTAAGGCCGGTCGGAAAGGAAGCATGGACCTTTTTCAACACAGCCTGGGAAGTCCCTGGCCAGGCGAACGTTGCATTGTACAAGGACAAATCGTCCCCGACGAGAGCTTCGGTGGACATTTCCTCGCGATTGGGCTCAGCCATAAATTCCTCAATGCGATTCACTGCAACCCATGCATTGATCAAAGTTGTGATCAACTGTGGCAATTCGTTCAGCGCAAATGTCATCATTCCGAACAGAGAAAGTGCAGGAAACGCAATGTCCACTGTCAGGTGCTTCTTTGCAATGACAGTGTACGCATAGAAAGCAACCACAGGTGTGCAATCCAAAGATAGAGTGTTGACGAATGAGATCAGTAAAGAGACGCATGACGATACGACCCGAAGATTGAGCTCTTTCTGACGGGCATCAAGCACCTGGATTAGCCATGAGCCTTGCCAACCATACCAACGAAGATGTCGGAGAGCTTCGACAAATTGCCCAATGACTTGTAACTTTTTATCAGTAGCGACTCGACGCTTGCTCTCGATGTAGATCATGATCCGAGCGAGTCCGGCGCTGATGAGCTGAGCACCGACAACTACCGCCACGGCGATCATGGCGGACCATCCGAGGTAGTTGACAACCAATCCCATGGAGAAGAGAACACTCAAGGGAACGCGAAGCAATTTGTCAAATTCCCAAAATCGCTGTGCAACTTCGTAAACATCGTTGCGCATCAGGTTCAAGATTTTGCCCATCGAGGCCGGCTCTTTTGCTTCTTCCTTCGTTTTGCGAGAAAACAATTTCTTGAAGCGCTGCCACAAGGAAGGCTTCTCTTTGACCGCGTCGGCACTGTTGGCGTGACCGTTTGCGGATCCATTGGCGTCACCATTTTCGGGAGTCTCTTTCTTCTCCTGTGGTGCCTGGAAGGCAATCTTTCGTCCCAAGGTCTTTTCATGTAACATGGTAATCATCTCTCCGCGGGATCTTTCATAGCATCTTCGGCCGAACCAAAGATTGAAGACGCCCAATTGACTGCTGATCAAGCGAATGACGAGTACAATGAATGCATACGTGACGGGCACTGATTTTGGTAAGGTCGGATCTTGCATCGTGCTGAGAATCAATTGCAAAAGAACTGGTGCCGAGTAAGTAGCGACCAATTCGAGCAAGCCCAGGAGGACGATTAGACCAAGATCGATGGCATTCGCAGCGATGAGACGAGCGATAACAGATCCTTTGAGTTCACGAAAATGATCATGTAGTCGTCTGTGAGAGAAACCGTATGGAAGAGACCAGACATCTGTCTCCTCGAGTTGCCTTTGTCCAGCTAGCGTGAGAAGCGGTGCAACCCATGACACTGTCATGAACTGCCAGAGATTAACGATATCTTCTGGACTGCGTAGGGTTGCCACAGGTGTATCGAACGGCTTGCTGATGTCCTTTGTAGACCAGTATGGGTCGCGAAGCGGCATGAAAAGTAACGTGACGATAGCAACAATTCCGAAGATAGTACTAGCGATGCTGAAGGACCGCGATGAAGCGTTATTCCAGAAAAGATGACTAGTTAGTACCGCCTGTACGATACATTGTATGATGAGCAGCCAAAATACAGCGTATGGAACTGTTCGCGGCCTCAAAAGGACAAGTTGAGAAATGATGACGAGCCAAGTAAGGATTGGAACAAATACCGCGAGCCCCGAACGATCGAACGTAGAGGCCGCGACTTGTAGAACCAGACCGACCAGTGAGAGTGCAGACAAGGCTTGGGTATAGGCGGTCCATCGTCGGCGGCGCACGAGTTCAACCTCGACCACAGGCTCTGCGATCTCTTGTACAAATGGGCGCATCCATTGCGCTCGCTGTGGGATAAAGGCACGCGAAACTTGACCAAGCAGGATTACTATCGCAAGGACAGCTGGAAGCAAGGCAATGCCTGGGAGGAAGCATTCTGAGATTGATGCGGATCGCGAATCCCAGATGCGATCAAAGCAGAGGTTCATGCCTGTGTGAGCCATCGTCGGCGATGTTTACGTGTGTGCCGTACAGTCCAGTCCAGACATTGACACGCCAGACAACAAGATCAAACCGATAAGAGTCATGGGAAAAGACTTGAATGGGGCAAATGGCCTAAATGCTGACATACCTAGGTACAGACTCGCACGGCACGCCCTTTGGAGTTGGACCCAGAAAGCTTGCGCTGCAGCCCTTTTTCTCAGCCACACCGCCACTTGTTTTAGCAGGGCAAGAACGTCATTCGTTCGCGAACAGTACGCGCCACAACGCGGGTCACACGTCTTCCAATACTACCTAGGTATCATCGCATGAGTGGGATGTAGGCGAGGCTGCACGCGATCATCAATCAAGATTCACGCGCATGTCTACAACATGGCAGGCGAGAGGCTCGAGTGGTCTGACGACGATGGCGAGCCCGAAGCTGTCTATAACACTTTTAAGAAGCGCAGGGCAACGGCTCAAAAGCAAAATCGCGAAAGCATCAAGCGGGCAAGAACGACCGCAACATCTATGGTCGGACGAAAAGCGCGCAGAGCTCTGCCGGCAGTAAAAAGACTAGCCGAGGATGACGAAGATACGGCTCTTCTTGAAGTCGCCTTACCGGAGTACCTTCAGCAGCGTCGCAGATCATGGGCCGAGCTCCGGTCACGAGATGGTCTCGACACACTGCTTGTGCCTCCTTATTATGATGACATTTACTTCTCCGATGATGAACATCTTGCGGATCTTCGAGAAAGACCAAAACTCGATCTGGTCCCTCCCAAACCTTATCAAGACATCGAATTGAAACTGTCGGCTGGCACCATTCCTGCTCCTCTGGCACAGTACTTGAAACCGTATCAAGTTCAAGGGGCCCAATGGCTGCACAGGAAATTCGTCTATCAAGAAGGCGGCATTCTTGGAGATGATATGGGTCTCGGAAAGACCATTCAGGTCATCGCTTTTTTAACGGCCGCTTTTGGCAAGACGGGTGACGAAAGGGACAACAAGAGAATGCGAAAGGTACGACGCATGGCTGATGACAGATGGTATCCTCGAATCATCATAATTTGTCCTGGGGGCCTCATGCAGAATTGGAAGAACGAGCTCGACCGCTGGGGCTGGTGGCACGTCGATGTCATGCACGGTGCCAACAAGCTTGATATCCTGGCTGCAGCTGAACATGGCCGTCTCGAAATCGTCATCACAACATATCAGACATATCGACTGAATGAAAGCGCGATCAACGGCACTCGTTGGGACTGTGTGATTGCTGACGAATGTCACATCATCAAAGAGCGAGGATCAGCCATTACAAAATCCATGAATAACATTAATGCTCTGTGTCGCCTAGGTTTGAGCGGCACCGCTATCCAGAACAACTACGAAGAATTATGGACTTTGCTCAATTGGGCGAATCCTGGAGTCCTAGGACCAATCAGCGTATGGAAAGAGACGATTTGCTTGCCGCTCAAGATGGGCCAGAGTCATGATGCGACGGTCGCCCAGCTGTCCAAGGCACGACGGATTGCGACAAAGCTTGTAGATAACCTCCTCCCACGCTTTTTCCTTCGACGCAACAAGACACTTATTGCCGACCAACTCCCGAAGAAGAGTGATCGAGTTGTCTTTTGCCCGTTGACAGAGATACAAACAGACGCATACAATAACTTTGTCGATCATCCTCTAGTTCATGCGATCCGTGACTCTGCTCAGCCATGTGATTGCCAGTCAGGACTGAAGCGCGGAAATTGTTGCGGGAAAGTCGTGGAAGGATACGGCAAATGGCAAACCTGGGTCTTCCCTTGCCTAATGACTATTCAAAGGCTTGCGAATCACGTCGCCCTGCTTGTCCCATCTGCTGAGGCTGACCTCGACAAACATGAAAAGGATCTTGAACGGCTCAAGATCGCATTGCCGGAGACGTGGAAGGAATTATACGAGCAGCGTGACAGTCTCATCAACTACGCAAACATCAACTTCTGTGGCAAATGGATGGTGTTGAAGAAGCTGCTCCGACTATGGTATAGCAATGGCGACAAAGTGCTCGTATTCTCGCATTCGGTCCGACTCTTACGCATGCTGCAGATGTTGTTCAAGTCCACGACTTCGTACAACGTGTCTTACCTAGACGGCTCTTTATCATACGAAGAGCGACAGAAAGCTGTTGACGAGTACAACTCCGACCCCGCCCAATTCGTCTTCCTCATCTCTACCAAAGCCGGTGGTGTAGGTCTGAACATTACCAGCGCGAACAAAGTGGTCGTCGTGGATCCGAACTGGAACCCCTCCTACGATCTGCAAGCACAGGATCGGGCATATCGTATTGGGCAAACCCGCGACGTCGACGTCTTCCGCCTCGTGTCCGCCGGCACGGTCGAAGAGATCGTATACGCCAGACAGATCTACAAGCAGCAACAAGCCAACATCGGCTACACGGCGTCCGTGGAACGGCGATACTTCAAAGGCGTGCAGGACCAGAAAAACATGAAGGGCGAGATCTTCGGGCTGGCCAACATCTTCGCGCCGCAGAGCGAGAACGTCGTCCTCCGCGCAATCGTCAACAACACCAACATCGCCGAGACGCGCGCCGGCGTGGAGATCCGCGGCCTCGACATGGAAGCGAGTCAGGGAGACGACGACGACGACGACGCGGACATCGACGGGAATCCACTACTCGGCGACGACCGCCGCGCGGACGCCGCCATGAGCCAACTCGCGGCCGAGATTATCGACGCGCCCGCCGGCCGCCGCACCGCCGCGCTGGCCGCCGCCGCCAAGAAGAAGAAAGACCCCGTCCAGGCCATCCTCGCGTCGGCCAACGTCCAGTACACGCACGAAAACTCCGAGGTCATCGGCACATCCAAGATCGAGACGCGCATCTCCCGCCGCGCGCAGCGCACTGGGGACGATGCCGCATATGTCGACCGCACGGCATTCTTGAACAGCCAATCCCAGCAGGCGCTGGTACCCACAGGGGTCATGCCGGGCGCATTGGGGGAGCCGAACGGCGCGGGAAATACGCCTGGCATGACGCCGCTCGATGCGGACGGCAGAATCAAATACCGCTATCGTCCCCCGGAGGATGTCCGTTGCAGACAGTTCTGCACTATGGCGGCTCGTTTGGGGTTCGAGGATGATGTTCCGGGCTTCGCGCTCGTCGTCGAGGGAATGACGGCGCAGCAGCGAAGGGATTTCCTGGACACGTTTTATGCTGACAGAGAGGCTATGTTGAAGGGCGAGTGATGACGGGAAGTGTGTTCGATGTGGTCTTTTACTTTGGGACGGCATCGTGGCTCTGGAATGAATGAGACTCGACGGGAAGAATGATTTGATATGATGCATGATAACGATGATGGTGGTGGTAATGATAATGGTAATGAATATATGAATCTACGATTCTGCTTCGGCGACAGTATACCATGAACGAGCTCGATGTCTGGTGCAAAGACCGTGCATACCGCCGAGTGTGTCCCTTCCTCCGCTTCCCTCGTCGTTGCTTTTCGTCGCTCGTCTTTCCGCCTCCAGAGTAACCTTCTCATCACCTGATGATTTTCGAAGTATATAAGTCCGAGCGTTTCTGCACGACCCTCCGCGAAAGCTATAGGAGACTCGAGTCGTCGTCGTCCTGCCAATGGACCACCAGTGTTGCAGCGACGAGAGTGGTGCTTGCAAAGCGTGTCCGGTGGATCGAAGGACCGCACTCATGAGCTGAGGGGGAAGTAGTAGCCCATCATGCCGACTGCGAGGAAGACGCCGATCGAGGACCTCCACGCTCGACATAGACGACTGGGACGAGAGCCGGATGGCTGCCGATGCGAACTGCCGCGACGCTTCACGACAGCGTCCAGAACGTAATTCACAAGAATGCCGATGCGAACTGCCGTTTGTCAACGAAGCTTCACGACGTATTCCCAGTACGATGTTGACGAGAATTGTAAGTATCACAGGAACTCAGCTTGACCGACACTGTCACGAATCCACTCACTGTTGGGATCAACGTGACTCGCTGGTTGAGACAGTGAAACCATCGTTCGCGAGTGACACCTCGGATCGGAGCACTGCTCTCGCGTTGAAACCTGTGGCTTCAGAAACAAGCATCCCCTGTCGAGAACACACGCGTCCTGTTGCGCTTCACATGATCCCGTTTGGGAAAAAGCCTGTTGTCTCTGTGACGTAGATGGCGACGCATGGATGCTCTGAGAAATACATTGTGCTGTGCTGATTGTGATGTCGGAACGGCGTCGAGGTGGAACTTCCGTCGGGACTGATGAACTCACCTCGTCGGCGTTACCCATGCAGGTCGAACAAAGAGACCAGTCGTATGATTTGTACGTGACCGTACGATGGGTACGTGTAAAGAGAAACCGGGGGAAGGTTTCGTACTGAGAGAATAGCGTACCTGAAAGTCTGCATTATGCAACAAAGGACGTGCCGTACGGAGAGGATCCGAGCTGAATTTCTATGCTGTGAGAGAGGGATACTCAAGGCGGCGCAATGTGGCTTCCGACGATGGTAGAGGAGATGTTGTACTATGGGAACATGCGAACTGCTCCGACGAGTGAAACGCCCCTTTCCGAGACGAGTGAGTGACGAGGTTCGTTCGGAGCCCATCATGTTTGAGGTTACGCAGATTCGGTGATAGTGATCGACTTTTGTGAGAGAGAACTACCTCGAAGCAAGGCATTCACAGAGAAGATGTTGTACCTTCGGAATATCGCAATGACTCCGAGATAGTGAAACCCCTTTTCCGAAAATGGTGGGATAATAAGGTTCTTTCGGTAGTCGTCGTGTGCGGTTGTGCGCAATCGGTGGCTGTGATCGATTTTCGGCGGCATCTAGATACCTGTTCGGAAGCAAGGGAGATATGTAGATGCAGGAATCCGCTGGGTGAAAAAGTGAAACTGTTGAGAGGACGCAATTTGCTTATGCAGTCATCAATATCGCAATCACGTCGTAGCCAGTTTGCTCGCTTAATACAACCTCGGAGCCTGTCAAAGGAGCAAAAGATGTACAATTGAGTAAGGATTTCTTTGTCAGGAGTCATCTCGTTTGCTCAGACTGTGCGAGTGACTCACGACAAGTCAAAGGAGAAGGTTTCCGTGCATGGGATGGGAGAGGTACAAGAGAGTCACTGCGTCTCACGACGACGATAGACACAAACCGGCATTTGCCGATCACCGGTGCTCACGGCTCCTCGAACAGCAGTTCTTTGTTGAGAATACACCTTTGTCGTTTCAAAGGGATGGTTGATTGCCCCTGTCGCACTTGAGCATCCAGACGGTCCGGGTGAGGGTGTTGTGCACATCAAGTTACAATCAACAAAGAATTCGCTTCTATTCTGTTCCACTTTCCTTGCAAACCAATGTTCCTGGTGCTGAGAGGTAAGAGGATGATACAGTTCCCTTTAGATACTAGGTATGCTGTGATCTGGTCGTTTCTCTTCGCATGTTTCGGTTAGGAATCCCTTCCCTAGCGTACCACCACAGCCAATTTTGAGACTGGATTGGACTTGAATGGTTAACAATGAAAGGCACTTGTGAACGAGTACCACCACTACCACCACCATCATCATCACCACCCTCACGTACGAAACAGATCCACTTTCATACTGCCGGAGTATCAACTGTAGAACGAGGCCGCCATGTGTAGCGTCCGGATCGGTCGATGCCTCACGTTGGGACATTTCACAACATGATTGAATCCCAATCGGAGCTGACGCGTCCAAATGACGAGGATGTACAACGCACTCAACCTCATCAAGACGGTGGCTGTTCCACCGACTGATTGCCCATGCAGGTATTCAATGCAGAGTGGATGTGGAAGTGTCACAGCCGAAGCCATCGCAAGGGCAGAAAGGGCGGCAGAGGACCTTCATGCAAACGCTGCTGCATGATTGCCCCGAAAGTGATTGGATACAGATCAGCCACTTGGGGTCCGCAATAGCCGCCGCCTTGTGTTTTGCAATAAAAAAGTGAACGGGTCGGTGCATGAGGGGCAGTGAATTGTTACCTAGTATGATTGTGCTACACATTTGCTACGATGCTCGCGGCCCAAAGAGAAATGTTGCAGGAGGCGGTTTGATTGTCGCCCGCATTGAGCTATTGTCTGTCGGTACTGGGCCCGAAGTAGCTGCGCACTCACACTTCTCGCCAGCCAAAGATGGGAGAGGGAAACAAGCAAGCAAGCAAGCAAGGAACTGGCGCTTCGCGAAATTTGAGTCCATCGTCACTTTACCCCTGAACATACAATGAGCAGCATAGCCAGTGTTTGCATCAAGCAAAAGGAAGTATGTTTCTTGCGATTGGGGCGTTGGACGTGTCGAGTAATCCCTTGCAGCATCAAACATCGCCATCGCAGCAGTTCTCGCGCTGATCGGGGCCTTGCGTGTTTCATGGGCAGCCGTCAAATGTTACACGCGGTAACCTTGGCATCATTTCGCACCGCATCGAGAAACAAGTGACAACAACAACAACAAAAGATACTCGACCGCCTGTACTCTTCCTGTGCAGCATCGAGTGTATCGGATGTCACCCTTTGCGAGTCTCGCGCATGAGAGGCCGCACCTTGTGACGGACCTCGTCAAACCCGTGCTCTTCTGGATCCAAGTCATAAAAGCTCACCCAAGGCGCCTTTGGTTATTCAATCTCGTTCAACGCTTTTGACCATCTCAAACGACTTGTCCGCTGAATCGCAGAACTTGGCACTGTTCCTTACCACTTCCTGAACTCTTCTTGTTCAACTCTTATTAAATTCTTCACGCGTTCCGACATTCGCCAAGCCATTCCCTCATCATACGACGTGCGCGCTTCACTCGCGACCGACAACACCAACTTTTCAGATCCTTATTCTCGTTCCTCCAGCAATGAATGTCGCACAAACGAAACAATACGCTCTCCGCTTTGTGGGGCTCGAGCAATGGAAGGATTGGGATGATTGCCTGTACCGCGGCGTGAAATTCACCCCTCCTGGCGGGTCCGCATTCGTCTTTGCCGCCAGCAAGGAGTCCGCCTCACCTTTCAGACTCTTGTCACCGGTATCGCCCAGCGAGAGCAGAAGCGCGAGAGCCAATCCACTCATACCACCCATCGATGCCGCGCGACCCGCGGCCTTTCACTCGTATCGGACCATCGCCGGCAAGACGTACGAGTTGTGGTCAATCGCACAGGCCTTTCCGGATGCCATCATCGGCAGCAGATCCTTCGTGGTTTTGCTGCCTCACCACGCGTGGCATAGAAACCTGAAGCGATATTGCCCTGGCGCGTTCAGTGTCATCACCATGACTCTGGACAGGGGCGATAAGCTCGATTCTCGCGCTGGCGGGCGGGACAATGGCGAAGAGTGGCAGCAAAATGTGATCATCGATGTCAAAGAGGCGATTCAAAAGGAATTGGACCTTGCGAGGGACTGGAACGAGATCAACGCGGTTCTGCAAGCGCGGATGGATGACTTTATGAAGGTACATCGCAATCTCCTAAAAGGCAAGCCTGCACTCGATCCGGAGCTGCTCCTTTTGATCAGCAATTGGATTGTCCAATCATTTGCCGCTGATACGTACGACAACACCATCGCATACATGGGACTGAACGACAACGTCGACTCAGAGAACGGTCATCTTTCCCGGCTTTCGGGGGACGAAGGATCCTCGAGCAAGCGAGGCAGACGTCGCAGCCGCGAGGCCCCACACGGTGCAACGGACCCGTACGTTGATCGGGAGGACGTCACGCCCTTCCCGGAGAAGGAATACCCTCCATCGTCGGATCGAAACGCGCCTGTGCATAATCAACGTGAGCAGCATGTGAATGATGACTGGCCAGACTGGTCCGGTGGATATGACGATGAAAGCATCATGTCCAGGACTGAACGGTTGGAGAAACGACTCGAGCAACAATGCAATTGAAGCCAGAAACATATGCCGACCTGGAATCCTGAAGTAGCTGCCTTGGAGCGAATCGTCTGGTCGTTGGATCATGGAGCGATTGGTCATGGGGATTCGTGGGATTGGATTGTTTTTCCTCCTTGCAGACGCATTGTCTTGTTTATAATTTTGTTCCAAAGCGTTTAGTCAGATTATCCTATACCACAAGTATATACGCCTTCTTGCATCCATGCCGATTTTCCGCACACACACACATTTCGCGGTAGAACGCCTGAAATTCCCAATTTGTCAGAAAGGCGGCCGTGACGGCCTGCTGCAGCACGCCCATTGTACCCATGCATGTGACAGGTTTGATCAATGAACCACACTGGATCCTTTCATGGACATGCCTCAGGAATATTCCGTTATCAAACTCGGCAGCCGCTCTTTTGTGAGACGTATCAAGTCAAGAAAGTCCAATCATTCGTCTGATCTCCCCACAGACGACATGATGAAGTCGTCGTTCATCTCAGCGGCCCGTGCGCCAACGGGCCTTCGCGCGCGTGCTCTTTTCTCCACAAAAAGCCTCGGTCCAATCGCGCATCCCCGAAATGGCCATGATGAAACGACAGCATTCCTCCGACTCGATAGACCCAGGGAAGGGATAGCGTCATCTTCAAATCAGGCCCGTCGAGATCGATCAGAGAGACTCCATTCGACACACCACGCAACACAACACCAGGACCATCTGCGGAAACAGATCACAACATCGCAACATCGCCTCGACAGGCCACGAGCATGCGAACGACCACACCCTGACCACGTGGGCCAATCACTCACTCATCTCCATCTTGAAACCAAAAAACCACCTCGATGGCCGACTTCGCCGCCGCGCAAGCCCGCATCCTCCAACGCCGCGCCGCCCGCGAAGCCTCCCTCAACGCCGCCGCCCAATCCTCACGAAATCTTACCTCTACCAACGACTCCCTGCCCCCATCCAACCGACTCTCCCGACTGCCCACACCACTACGATCCCTACTCACCAGCACAAGCTCCAGCACGCGGACGCTCTTCAACCTCGTCTCGAGCCCCTACGGCACCAACCCGGCCTTCCGCGTCGGCCAGGTCGACGCCGAGCTCCTCGACGAGGCGCTCCTCGACCTGCTCAAGAAGCAGGCGGGCGAGGGCCTAAAGCTGTTCGGCCCGCATCTTGTCGACGACTGGGAGGCGGAGGTCCTACTGCTCCTGCGGATCGTGCTGTGGAAACTGTCGATCTGGGACCACGGCACGAGCTATGGCGCGAGCCTGCAGGGGCTGAAATACATCGACGCTCGGGGGAGGGGGAAGGTCGGCGCGGCGTTGACGGCGGCGGGGAAAGAGGCCAGTCGGGTGCAGCGGGCGGGCCATGGGCTGGTCATGGTCCTGGGCCGGTACGGGTGGACGAGGTGGGAGGAGTATCTCTCGGCGCAGGAGGGCGGGTACGAGATGCCGAGCGCGCTGATCCGGAGGTTAAGTCGTCTATCGGGTCTCTTGACGAGCGGATACAACGTCGCGGCCCTGGCATCCTTCGCGGTATTCCTCTGTAATGGACATTACCGGACGCTGACGGACCGGATCCTCCGACTCCGCCTCGTCCCCGTCTCCAACCAGACCAGTCGCGAGGTCTCGTTCGAGTTCCTCAACCGCCAGCTCGTCTGGCACGCCTTCACCGAATTCCTCCTCTTCCTCCTCCCGCTGGTGGGCATCACCCGGTGGAAGCGCTGGCTGGCGCGCGCGTGGAAGAAATTCTCCACCCTCCCCATCTTCCGCCTCCGAAGACCCGGAAGCAAACTCCACCCCAACCTTGACGGAGACGACGACGACGCCACCCCGCGGCCCGCCGGCGAGCTCTCCTTCCTCCCCGAACGCACCTGCGCCATCTGCCACCAGGACCAGAACCCGACCAGCGGCGTATCGGAACAGGACGTCCTCGCCGGCAGCGGCTCCGGCGGCATCGCGGGCTCCGCGTCCACGGACATCACCAACCCCTACGCCGCGGACCCCTGCGGCTGCATCTACTGCTTTGTGTGCCTGGCGCAGCGCATCGAGGGCGAGGAGGGCGAGGGGTGGACGTGTCTGCGGTGCGGCGAGACCGTGGGGGCGTGCGCGCCGTGGGACGGGGACGTCCTCACCGCGGCGGCGGGGGTGGCATCCTCGAGGCCGGGCAGTTCCGGCGGCGGTGGTGCCAGGCGAGGCTCGACGTCGCCTGCTTCCCCGCGGGGCAGTCGAGCGGGGACCCACCCCCGCGGCGCAGCGGGCGAGGACGAGGATGAGCGGCGGAGCGAGCGCAGCGCGCACTCCCATGCGCCGCCGCGGCGGCGGAAGAGCGTCATGTTCGACCTCGACGACGACGACTCCGAGAGCTTGAAGAGGACGCTCTCCGCGAGGAGCAGCGATGGTGGCGGCAGTCAGTTGAGCCGGGTGGATCCCATGCCGATGGACGACGACGGCGACGCCGCGATGATGATGGGCGGTTGGAGCCGCGCGGACGAGGACGACGAGGCGATCGAGAGCGGAGACGACGAGTACGATTGAAAATTCTCCCCCGGGGACGATGTTCTTTAATTCTTCATTTTTGGCAGGGGAGGGAATGGACCTTTTTTTCTCTCTCAGCGAAGAGGTCTGGATCGGACATGGATTCTTCTTCTTTTCTTCTGGATTCTTCGTTTCATCTTCTCCTTCTCCATCCCTCTTCGTCGTCTGCTTGCGCCGGGTGGTTGGGGTCTGTGTATCCCCCCCTGCACGGCCTTGACCACGCTATCTACCACGGCCAGTCCCAATCTACAGGTCTTGCCCTCCCCACATATAAGAATACATTCTGACCAGAGAAGGCAGTGCCGCGGATCCCCGGCCGTGAACATCCCGATTTATCGATGGAGTAACGTCCATCCCTGTGACCCGAGACGCACTGTGTCCCGAGACATATTTTAGAAATTGCTTTTTATTGTCGTATCATTCTTATTTATATATAGAACCAATGATTGAATATCGACGACGAAGTTGAAGTTCCCAACATATTTAAAATTGGTCTCGCCTCGACCATCTCATCATCTGCTGTCGGCATGATCACTGCTGTGGCTGAATGTGGCGTAAAGTTTGCACGTCTCTGTGTAGTTATTCTCTTCGATTTCTGCGGCTCAAGCCCCTGTATGATAGAGTCAATCGACCAGATAGGAGGATATTCAGTCCAAACTTTATTCCATCCGCGCCTTGTGGAAGCATGAAGCTTTGAATCTAAAGCATTGAAAGTTGATGAGATGCAGACGTGGCTGAAGGGTTGAACATGCGCCATATGTGGCGCGACCACTGCGGCACAGTTGATTGCATTCTAGAAGTATCTATGGCGACGTGGTAGCTGCGAATGTGCCATCTTCCAGTCATCTCTAGTCGTGAACGTCCAAAGAACAACAACATGCCATCATCGAGTCTTTTCGTGACGGCGACGATGGATCCGGCCAGCTTGGTCCTTGCACGATCAAGGCCTGAAGGGGTACCAAATTTGTATCGCGCGCTCGCCGATTATGCTAGTGTTCCATGCTCCACCCTCCACCACCGCGCGCGTGGCCGACAGTCGATGCGCGCGAAGGCTGAGCGTCAGCAGTATCTCATACCCCCGGAAGAGCAGGCCGTAGTCGAATTCTTGCTGCATATGTCTAAGCTGGGGCAACCAGTCCAAATGAAGCATGTTCCTTCGATAGCTTTTAGCGCAACGCGACACCGGTGCACAGCCAATCGACCGCGGAAGCCGCCAGGTAAGAATTGGGCGAAGGGACTTGAAAAACGACATCCGGAGCTCAGGGCGAAAAGAGTTGCTGCGTTAGGTTGGAACCGTCATGAGAAGAACATATACGAAAAGATCACAGAGTGGTTCACCAAGATCGAACGTGTCCTGCAGCGTCCGGCTGTCTTAGCTGAGAACGTGTATAATATGGACGAGACGGGCATCATGCTCTCGATGCTTGGTTCTATCAAAGTGCTTGTAGGCAGTGACGATACGAGAGGGTACAGAGGTGCACACGTCAAACGCACAACTGTGACCGCAATCGAGTGCATCAGCGCGGACGGGCGATGCTTGCTGCCGATGATCATCTGGCCGGCCGCTACCCATCGCAGCAATTGGACCACGTTCCCGACTCCAGGGTGGCACTATGCGTATTCGGAATCCGGCTACACGGATTCCCAAATAAGCTTCGATTGGCTTCGCTTGGTGTTCGATCCACAAACGAAGGAACGAGCTAACGGCAAGCTACGCGTGTTGATCTGCGATGGTTTTGGCACACATGAAACGCTCGAAGTCCTTGAGTTTTGCTTCGCCAATGATATCGTCCTCTGCCGCCTTCCTTCCCACACGTCGCACAAGCTTCAGCCATGTGATGTCGCGGTCTTTGCACCTTTGAAGGCAGCTTATCGCGACAATGTCGAGCGCCTGGAGCGCGGCGGCGTCAGTGCAATCGGGAAGCAACACCTCACATACCTCTGTAGTCCCGCCCGCGAAAGGGCCTTTACCAAACGCAATATCCTCGCAGGATGGAGCAAGGCCGGGCTCTTCCCGTTCAACCCGGACAGAGTTCTTCGAGACTTACCGAAGCCTGTCGTTACAGCGCTTGACCTTAGTGCAGAACCAGCCACAGAGCCAGTCCTATCCCCTACATGCACAGTACCAGTAACGCCAGTGACACCTGTTGCAGCCGAATCCGTGACCGCCCTTCAGAACATGATCATCAGCTACGACGCACGCGCCCTCGACGGCGCGAGCAAAGACCGTCTTGAGCGCCATGTAGCAAAGCTGGCCAAAGCGACGCAGAAGTCTTTCGCTCACTGTTCGATGCAGCGTCATCGGATAGGGTTGCTGTTGAAGACCAACGCCGAAGCTAAGCCCCGAAAAGAAGGCAAGTCGATCGTTCTCGGCAGGGCAAGGATCATGAGCTATGATGATCTTATGGAAGCCCGTAAGACGCGCATTGAAAAAGACCTGGAAAGAGAGCGAAAGAAGGGATGCAAGCGCGGGAGACGGAGAGGCAATACGAAAGTCGTTGCAGCAGAGAGTGTCGTAGTCGATCCATTGCTGTGCGACGAGGCGACTGCAGCGAGCCATATTCAGGGTGGAAACAGCCAGGGTGGAGCGATTGCGCGAAGCCCATCGTGGAGAGCGCCGGTCGCGCAGATGTATTGATAGATTGATTCGAGGTCATACAATTCTAGAAGGCAGATTCAACGCAGCAAGGTGTTTGCGATCGTAGATTTAAAATTGGGAAATTGGGCCCAATAACTGCCACTTTACACGCGAAACCGTTGATGACCGGGGAGTTGTATGAGCACGGCGACATGGCCTGTGAATCGCACGTGCGTCTAAGGTGCCTCAGGCTTCGAAAGCGTACCTGTCAAGCGGATCCGTGAGCACGCTGGCTGACACCGCATGATGCGTGTGTGATCTTCCTTTGCAGCGACCTGAGCGAAATCTAGCCCTGTCGTCATCCTTGGTGCCTATAAGTCCAGCCTGTGATATGCGCGACGGTCAGATCATGACTTCTCAGCAGATACGACATGGCGCAGCCTGGTGGGCGCAGCATGCCGCCATTCACAGCCACAGCCACAGTGATGGAAGCGTCGCAGCCTTGCCGGCGTGATTCTCGATCTTCTGTCTGCTCATCACTCTCCACTACTATGCCTCTCAACACCTTCGTCGTACGCAAGCGTCAACATGCGACTTCTCAATGTAAATACTCTCACTTTTACCGAATTCCTAGAAGACAAAACACGGCCAAGGTACGCGATCGTATCGCACCGATGGGGGAATGAGGAGGTTACCTTTGAAGATGTGCAAGAAGGGCGCAAGAAGAGCAGTGCTGGATACCAGAAAGTCGAAGCGTTCGTACAATATGTGCGAGATAACATAAAACCGGTGTGTTGGCTGTGGATCGATACTTGTTGCATCAACAAGAAGGACGCAGTAGAGTTGTCGTATGCGATCAACTCGATGTTTAGGTGGTACCGCAATGCAGAACTTTGCATTGCGCAACTTGCTAGCATCGCAACTGGAACACTACCGAGCGATATCGGGCAGGACGAGTGGTTTCGCCGAGGCTGGACACTACAAGAGCTGCTAGCACCGCGCTTGGTCGTCTTTTTGACGAAGGACTGGCGCGTCATCGGCAGCAAAGGCTCCTCACTCTACCATTACGAAGATACTTTTGTTGGACCCGATCTTGGAGCAGAAATCTCGAGCATCACAAGAATACCTAAGCGCATATTAGACGACTGGGAAGCAAGCATCGATGTGCGGGCTCGGGACAAGATGCTATGGATGGAGGGCAGAACTACTTCCCGGGAGGAAGACATAGTCTATGCTTTATTCGGCATCGTCGGAGTGACTTTGAGCATCATCTATGGAGAAAGAGAGAGCAATGCCAAGCAGCGACTTCTTGCTGAATTGCACCGACGCAACGAGATCGACAGTCAACACAAAGAGCGATTTCAGAAAATTACTCAATGGCTGAGGCCTGCTGATCCATGGACGAATCATAAGTCTGCACGGGAATTGCACGAGGAGCGGACTGGAGAATGGCTGCTACAAACGAAGGAGTATCAAGCGTGGAAATCTGGAGAAGACCAATGTTTGTGGCTGTATGGCGGCGCTGGCTGTGGGAAGACTGTGCTGTGTTCTACTGCGATCGAGGATATGAAGGCGTATTGTGACGGAAAGGGCAATGTTGGCCACGCTATCTTCTACTTTTCGTTCTCAGACGAGCGTAAACAATCGTACGACGATCTTCTGACTTCTCTTGTCGCCCAGCTTGGACACCGGGAGCCGGCCTTCTCGATTCTCCAGCAAATGTATGACAAAATCGACCGCAAACCACCCGGGCAAGGGGAGCTCGAAAAGATTCTGCATACAGCGCTAGCATCGTACGAACGGTTTTTCTGCCATCTGGATGCATTGGACGAATGCCCCGAAGAAAACGAAGCTCGACAGCGCATGCTAGAAAACATAGAGAGGCTGCTACGACAAGCACCGAACATGCATTTGATTGCAACCAGCAGAGACGAGCTTGGAATTCGCGATGCTATGGAGCAGCTCGGCGTCAAGTCTATTTGTTTGACTGGCAAGAAAATAGACTCTGACATTCAGCGATATGTGTCAAAGCAACTGGCTCGCATACCGAAGCTTTCGCGGCTTGATGCTGCTACTAAGGAATTGGTTGAAACGACTTTGACAGAGAAAGCAGATGGGATGTAAGTCAAGTGAAGTTTTGCAGCTGTTACCATGCTAATCAACGAGCGCAACGATGCAGGTTCCGGTGGGTCTTCTGCCAACTCCAAGAATTATCAAAGTCGAAGCGCACTACGCCCATGGTGGTGAAAGCTGCGCTGCTCGCCCTCCCTGCGACCTTGGACGAGACATATGAGCGGATGCTGCAGAACATTGCTGCTGAAGACCAAGCATATGCACTGACACTTCTTCGATGGCTTACATACTCGCAGACCCCCTTAAGACTAGATGAAGTAGCCGAAATCAGCACTATCGTTCCGGGCGAGGATCCTGCTGCCGACGATATTGTGGACATTGACAATCGAGGCGGATTGGAAGATGTTTTGGACATACTCGCCGGACTCGTTGTCATGGTTGAAGCTGAAGCTTGGACTGAAAATGCGGCTACTGAGAATTCGTCGCTTGGCGATATCAGCAAAGGAAACAACGAAGTTAATGGCTTTTCCAGGCGACTGATCGAGAAAGACACAAAAATCAGATTGGCACACTTCTCTGTAAAGGAATACCTCGAATCAACGCGGATAAAAGGAAGCGTCGCTCAAAGCTTTCGACTAGTCCCAACCCGAGAACATCGATGGATCACACAAAGCTGCCTCGTGTATCTGATGCACTACAGCACCTCTGAGCAAAAGGCTTCTTCTAAGCAAGATCTTATCGTGTTTCCTCTTTTGAATTATGCTGCTGCAATGTGGTATCGCCATGCCTTGCTTCAAGAGGCCGAACACTATCGCTGCGAGATACAGCTGCTTGAGTCTAAGACTCATCGAGCCGACTGGCTCAAGATACACAAGCCCGATAAGTCTTGGAAGAGACCGTTCGACAGCGATCATTACGATGATGAGGCGAGCTCATTGTACTATGCAAGCTTCATTGGGCGAGTTGGTGTCGTGCAGCTGCTGCTGGAGGCCAAGGCCGACGTCAACGCGCAGGGCGGACGCTTCGGCAACGCGCTCCAGGCCGCATCTTTCGAGGGCCACGAGACGGTGGTGCAGCTGCTGCTGGAGGCCAAGGCCGACGTCAACGCGCAGGGCGGAGCCTTGGGCAACGCGCTCCAGGCCGCATCTTTCGAGGGCCACGAGACGGTGGTGCAGCTGCTGCTGGAGGCCAAGGCCGACGTCAACGCGCAGG